TGTGCAGTTATTCCGAGGTCATTTTGATTACTCACTGGCATCCAGCAATCCATAGTTAACCTGACAGTATTTCTAGTTTGGTCAGAGTTCTAGTTTGATTGTTTCAGTGTTTTATGTCAACAAAAACAAAAAGGAGGACCCAAGGGCAGAACTCAAACTGTTTTATTGAAGCACCAAAAACTTACTTCAAACAGAAAATGTCCGAACCCAATAAACCAAAAACACCAGGAGCAAGCAATCCAAAGGAACCAAAAAGCACTGGGAAAAACATGAGGTTAGAAAGGTATGACAACATCGACAATGAAGCAACACAGAAGGAGGGGAAGACAGGGACTTGATACACCCTGGGAAACAAGCAGCGGGTGAGGCAGACAAGACAGGTGAGACTCATGAGTAACCAACTGGGGAGGGAAAACTAAGAAAGTAAAACAAGACTTGACACACAGGGACAAATACATCAGGAAACACTGTAAACTTAACCAAAAGACCAAACAGTGAAAAACAATAACAAGAATATTAGAATAATGAACACAGGGAAACAGGAACAATTGGGAACAGAAACACAAGGAAAAACACACAGGAAATAAAACTAATGTAAAACCAGGGGAAAAAAACAAAGATTAAAGAAAACCTCTCATTTTTCACATTTTATACAGATGCTTTCAGCATGATGGTTCCTTAGATTAGAATCTTCCAAACTGTTGAGCGCCCTGTCTTCAGTAGCCTTCTTTTAGCAAGCACAGTTCACTAGTTAAATTCAATTTCATCCACAGATCTTTGTGACTCACGCCCACTGACATATTTGGATCAGCTGCACCTGTACACTCAGCTTGTAGGCGGTAGCTGAAAGTCACAGCTCAAACTTAATCTTGATCACCATTTGACACAATCAGCATGACTTGCCAGCTGAGCCAACTGGGAATTTTTCAAAATGGATTTTGCTGCTCAGGAATGCAGTGGTGTGATAATTTCCTATCAAACAGCAGCTAGATGTTTAGGTAACTTAGCTACAGTATGCAAAAGTTACAGGATGGCAAAAATTGATTTCTGCTTCAGTCATGAGACTCCATGATTATGTTTCATGTGAATGGCCCCTTAGTTGAGGATAAAGGTCCTCACACACCGCTGCTGTCACGAATAAAGAACCTGAAGTTTTGAAATTTTCAGAGGAGAATTTTCACGTCCCGGGTGGAAGCGAGAAGACTGACACAACACCAGACTGACCATACTATTTTGCTGGACTATAGATAGCATGCACTGAGTTGGGGCCAGTACCAGATAAACGCATTAAACTATAATCCATAAAGGTAAAGTAACAACTAAGACCTAATGGTGCTGTGACAGTAACGAGATTGAGTTTGAGACAGTGAAAATACATATGGTATGTTGTATCTGAACAGGTTAGCTTACGAGCTAAAGTTACTTAGCACAGATGAAAGTTAAAACAAAGACGTTTAACAAACTGTAAAGCACTCAAACTATCGTCATATGAGAGATCCGACACTATGACTCTCCACAAGTTGTCCTTCAGGTCGTTATCTTTGTAATGTTTGTGTTTTTTATCAAAAAGCACTCTCTTCTCCAACACGTAAACAATCAGCCGGTCGGCCATGTTGGATATACCAGTGAATCAGCCGTCGCAACAACACGCAATCTGATTGGTCAGAAGTGGACACACGGAATGCGAAACTTAAAAAAATCGACCATGATCTGAAAAATAAATGCTGCAATATCGCAGAACGTGGAAAACATTGCTGATGTGAACGCTACTATTGACAGGATACGGGTTCAAAAAAATATTGACATATGAAATAATCGCACGTAACAAAATGGTCCCGGTGTGAAAGGACCTTAAGATGGAAAGTCAGAAACATTCAAAGAAAGCGTGTTGCTTGAAAATGACAACCACAAACCAGTCAGCGTTACTTCCTCATGTCTTCTGTGGTTTATTGGAAAAGATGTATTAGCTAACACATGTTTGCCACAGAATGAATTATTACTTAACATCATGTTGTGGGTTGTTCCTTTTTTTTTTTTTTTTTGTACTTTTTTTACAGCACCTTCTGGCTATTGTTAGGCCACTTTGCTAGTCTGAATGGATCTTTTTCATTCTTGGTATTGGGACTCTGTCTACTGAAAAATTACTCCCAGTCAGTGAAACTGTCCTACTTTTGAGCTATCAGTAACAAATATGTGATTGTACTGAGAGTTGGTGTGTTTACATGATTTTTTTTCATGTATGAATGGAAAGTGGAGCTCAGATAAATGAAAGTAAAATGTGATTCATATTTATGAAGTCATTTCTTGCCAAACAGAGATTAAATCACATCCTGATGTGATTTACTGAAGCTTTACCTAATTGTATTAATGTGAGTTGAAGCCCCCTCAGCTACTAAAATTCTCACTTCTATAAAAGTCTAATCATCACAGATGATGGGAAAAATGACACCTCATAGAGAGGGTGTACAAACGGCGTCATGAAGGATGAAGTTAGGTAGTTTTGAATATTTGATGAGCCTCAGGGAAAGAGGAATGAACCGCAATAACATTTCATTAAAACTGTGAATGCTGGAAAAGTCAATTTTGGCACTGACGTTAGCCGACTACACAGAGCATTAATATTCTCTTTAGAGAGAAAGATGAATTTATAATGTGCCGTGGAGTGTGGAGAGTGGAGAGTTCTAGAGGAGTTGGAGAGCTGTCTTTCACACATTCACAACATTAATCCATTAGTACAAATCAAATCTGTGTCTTGCAGCATCATTATGTCGAGAAATCACACTGTGAGAGGAGGCAGCAGTGCACTGAAAAAAACAGATCTACGAAGTCAGACGATTCTTTGAGTCATCTGAAGTCTAAGAAGTTAGACTGATGAAGTGAATTCTGTGTCATGTGGGCATGTCAGATGGTTAATAAGGTGAATATTTATTTAGTAACAGCCAGTAAAAATGTCTGTCAAATGTTTAAATGCAAGTTTTATAGGGCATGTAACTTAAATATTGACAATCCTACAATGCTGATTTGTATTTAAATGTGTGTGTACATATACATATATATGTCTACACACATACTTTATACTTACATATATATATATATATATATATATATATATGTGTGTGTGTGTGTTAGCACTTATCCATCCCTGATTCAAATAACATACATATAACAGGAAGAGAGAAACTCAAGGTCATTGATCGTATTATAGATAAAGCTTGTTGGTGCTTGTTGATGTCTGTCTTTCCTTCATGTTCGTGAGACAACATAACAATGTTAAGTACAATATGGAATGAACTGGTTGTCACAGTTTAACGAGTGACCCTGTACACTGGGGATATTCTGCCTGTTACTATGACAACCCAGTTCATTATGACAAAAAGAGCATTGAAAAGCACCTCTGTCCATCTCTCCCTTTTTGCATCTCCCTCTTTCCCCTCTCTAAACCCAGCTCAGTCTCAGCAAAAGACTGTCTAACATCAGTCTGGTTCTGCTCGAGGTTTCTGCCTGTTACAGGGAGTTCTTTGTCTCGACTTTAACTTGATAAATGCTGTGAAGACCTACACTCATTTGGTTGAAGATGGGATGGGAGTGGGTCTGATCTTACTGTATGAGGCTCAATCTGATTCTGTCTTTATATTGGGTCTTTGTATTTAACATCTGATCTAGTTTAGCTTTTATAGGTGTCTTGGGATAACACTTGTTCACTCCCCTATCAACTGTGTGTTGACTAGTAACAATCTGAATGAGGACCAACACTTGACAAATATTCTCATCAGCCTGAATGTCAGTTGGGTGTTTGACCTCCTCACTGTATATTAGTAGGTTTATTGGCCTACATTAGTTAGCATCTTGAAGCTATAGACAGCGAAGTACTTGTTTCACGCCTTTGGAAAAAGAGGCTATGGTGTAATGACGTTGGGGTGGACCTGCAATGGTGAGTGATTTGACCTGTTTTGAAGCATTGCAGAGAGAACAATAAAAGGGAAAAAAAATGTTGTTTTTTATCATCTGAATGAGAGAAAAGCAAAAAAGCTTTCCTGAATTTTGTAGCTCCAAAGCTCTTCGTTTTTTTAGGTACAAATATAAAGAAAGCTCCAGGGATCCAGAGAGCATCATCCTCTCTTTTCCTGTCTTTTTTGCTTCAATGTGAGGTTAGCAGGATCTGAGGAAGTGCCAGTTTTTGGGAGAAATCTTGAATGTAAACACTTCCCCTCCCAACCAGTTTTCCCCTCAGCTCCTCCTCTCCCCTCCCTCTCTGCTCCAGCAAGCCCCGCCCACAAACAGATGTTTGCGCTCACTTGTATCATTTCAATTAAATTCAGATAAAATGCAGATAAATAATTCAGATAATTACAAATGAGGCCCAGTCAACGTGAAAGTAAAAAGCATTGGTGCTACTGTAGATGCCAACAGACTACCAGCAAACACAATGTTTGCAGGACTTCTACAACTAGGATAAAGTGACATCCTCCAGGACCCGAGGTAAACAGTTTAGCGGAGCTACAACATGCAGCAGGTCCCGTTTGAAAAGAAACACTTCTGTTACAGACTCTTAGCTTACTTTGTTAAAGCGGTTCACCTGTCCAACAGAAAGGTTACAGGGTCCCCAAGATCCCCAAGCGTCCCCCATCGTTTATGCTTCATTTATGTTGACCCGGCTTTTTAGCTCTTGTCTGGTCTACCTCCTTTGTAAGCACCTGTTATTCCACCAGAGTCTCCGGTATTTACTTTGTTTTCTCAATTGTGTTGGCAGTCGTGGTCAAAGGAGGATTCAGACACTTTTGCATACTTTCTGGTTGGTTTCTACTATTTTATATTGTAGCACGCTAACTTTGTTTGGGGCTCGTGAACGTTATTCTAGGATTTGAATTTCTTTCAATACAGGAGGTCGGGACTGTTATGGTGGGTAAAAGGGGGACTTTTGGTGTCCAACCCAGAGTTTCACAGTTCATCCATGCATTTAAAATGTACTTTTGTTAAATAAAACCACATGTCAAGAAGAGCAGGGTGTTAGATACTTTATTTAAAGTTTTTTTGTGGTTAGAGATCGGAGCACAGAAATTACATTTCTTTGGGTGAGGGGTGGGGGGCTTTCTACTGTTTCAGCTCTTCAACGCAAGAGCACACACAGTTCTAGACTGGTACCCCCGTCAGTCAGTCAGGCTGAAATGGGCCGAGTGAGGGCTGACGTTGGTGAAAATGTGGAAGAGAAGTGTGAGGGGGAGAGAGGAAGTGAGGGAGGGAGTGAGGAGAGAGGGGAGAAGTGAGCTGACAAACAGAGATGATGAGGGAGGGAGAACAAAAATGGAGCCTAACTAAAAACAGTGTCAGTGGTCCTGGAAGTTTCTCCTTTACTTTGGACCTTTCTTTTCTATAGTTTACACTGTTGCAACAACTAAAAAAATATAACCCCCCTGTATTCCCTCTGTCCTGTTCTTTGCAGCCTAGAGGATAGTGGACATAGGAGTATTACACTCTATCTTTCCTTCTCTCCTTCCTCACCCTCCCTCCCTCTCCTCTATCTCTTTGCTCCATCTCTCCTCCTATCCCTCTCTTCCTCGTCTTTGCTGAATTTCACTTGGGGGTCACAATGTAGCAGCCATGTGGATGCCACTGCATGTCACGAATGCGCCTAATGGACTGCATCTGGGGGGTGCGGGCACCGAACTCGTTGAAATGTTTGAATTCACCCTTCTCTAGCAGGTACTGGCTGCCTCTGTATCCAGGGAACTGGTAGCCCACGAAACTGCGGTGAAAACAGAAAGAGGACAGCTTGCTTTTGAATGGTGGAGTTTAAGTTCAGGACAGTAAAGTACAGGAGCAAAAAAAAAAAGATTCGGTTTAAGGATGAGCAACATGTGAAAAGTGAGAAAAGATGCTCGAAAGACAGCTGTGAATCAATCAGAAAGGATAAACATGTTGCAAATGAAGACATCAGCTGGTTTGTCATGCTGTCAGGTGTGAAACCGCAGGGCAGATGGCCTCCCAGCTGTTTGTTTCAGGCACTCTCAAACACAACAAATGGAGTAATCTCAGCAGTTAGTCTCAGTGTCTGCTATCTTCCACACCTCCCTGAACAAACAGAGATGGAAAGCTCCTGACGTTCATGACACCCTCGGCTAGCTGCTGATGAAAAGCCTCTATTCCTGAACTCGCTCTCAGACAAACACTCAGTTGGTGATTATGCTGCCTTGTTAGAGAATGACGACACGGATATGGTAACTGTCTGACACAGGCAGCAGCAGCAGCAACTTTGACAAACTTTGAGTTAGAAAGACAGGGTTTGGTACTGTTACTGACTATTTTGGAAACGGTTTCATTTTGAAAGTTTGGAAGCTAAAAATACAGCAGGGATTTCAGATGGCTGAGTTACAGCCCCATAGTCAAATCAGCATAGGAAGGGACAGACACACACTTTCTTTACTGTAGAGACTTAAACTCTCATTTGGCATAAGGTTAGTTTAACCTGGGAACCCCTGATCAGTTGTTAACATTGCAGAGGAGACCTGTGTTTTTAATCCTAAGCAAATCCACCATGTCTGTAATTTGTTCGGCATATTCCAAGCAAATCACAATATATCCAGCCTGGATAGAGATCCCGTCATTTTTTTTATTAATATTTTTTAAAGGTGTCCTTGACTTTTCTGCCCCTTTTCCAATGAACATTGACAGAGACCAGACTGGACACTGTAAATGAACCTTTTAAATGAACAGGCCTGGAGCTGGGTTTTAAAACAAACTGCTCTATTTCATGGTAACTCATCAACTTTATGTGCTATTAAGTTTGAGGCATGCTGTCTGGATGCTCAAGAGTGTGATGCTAAAGATGATATGGCAGAAATATTAAAAACTTGAATTACAGGCTTTGCTTATCGGGTGCAAATGCAACACACAAACAATGATGTCCATACATATATTACCAGAGGTCTCTAGGTATCAATCATTAAGTGTGTTCATGCTGCATGCCTGACATGAGGCTGGATGCAGCAGCCTGTTAGATTAGCTTGGTAACAGACTGGAAATTGTTAATATTGCTTGGCACGTTTTATCTGTTTTATCAGAGGAACTGTAAGGAGATTTGAACTGGAGGCAGTCTTATACATGTGCCTCCTCATGACCTAGATAGAAAATGATTGCCCTGAGGCAGTGCTTATTCTTCATGCTGGGTTTTAGTGCCTGGATTCAAGTTCAAGTTTCAGTAAAATAAAAGTTGAGTCAACATTCAGTTCAGGCGGGAAGACTCTATGTTTAGACGTTGGTGGGCAAAGAGGATTTTTTTCTTGCCCAAAATGTTGGCACTGAGGGCAGAATCAGCAAAAAGACGCATGTTAAAGTACTGTTTTAAATCAGCAAACATCCGAATAATGAGGCGGTTACAGGAAACATCTCACCAGAAGCTTCCTCACTGTAATGAAACAGAGTTTACTAGTTAAGTTATTGTTTCGTTATTGACAAATCAATATATTATTTTACCAATTTATGAGTTATCTTGAATGACAAAAAGAAGCATTAAAGAGATCAATGCTTCGTTCATTTGCATTCACAAACGCACATACAAGCAAGAGCCATTTCACTATGGCAGCATGTCATGGTGCTCATGGGAAATGCAGTCTTTCTACATTTCAGCTGTGACCAAGACTGTTGAATCTATTGAAGTCCAGTGTATGCCCCTTATTTGCTGACATTCATGGCATTTTCAAAAGAAAGTCCTGTACTTTTGTGATTTTGACTGGTTGGTGATCAAGAAGGGAGACTTAATATATATAGTATATATTGTATATAGTTTTATTTTATTTTATTTTATTTTATCTTATTTTATTTTATTTTATTTTACTCTTCCCTTTTTCCTTTTTCTAAATTTTTTCTTGATTATAACATTTATTTAGTTTCTTAATATTACAATCTTTATTTTTATAACTGCATTTTGCACTACCTTTGTCTGTGATGCTGCTGTGGCAAAAAAATTTCCCCCATGAGGGATCAATAAAGGAATATTCTATTCTATTCTTCTTAAAATTGCAGTTAGCACAGCAACAGTGGGCTAAGTGCAATAATGGTCTTACTGGACACAACCCCTTACCCTCCATGCATAACAATTCTAAGGCTTTTTAGAGGCGCTGATAGTCAGGCTAACATTCACAGCCTTAATAAGCTCAACTGACTGGCTTTGGAGCAACCGTCTAAAGCAACAGATGTGAAAATGGCAGCTCTGTGCTTTTCTTATCAAAATCTCTGAACAAGTTCAAGTATTTTCTTTTTGTTTTGCCTAAACACTCACGTTCCACAGCTGACCAAAACGCTGCCCACTCTATCAGTGAAACCGTGGGCAGACAGGCTGGGGACGTCGTCATCGATGATCTCCATCTTACGGCCCTTTAGGTCGCCAACCTCAAAGAGAGTGATCTTGTGCTTCTCAGGGTCCTTGAAGACAGTGAGGGAAAAGACAAGATGAGAGTACATGTCATGCACGGATATCAGCTGATAATGTCCGTGAAGTATTTCTTACCATGCGGACGGGTCTGAGGGACAGCAGGAGGTCGTTCTTCTGGCTGTTGCTCCAGGAGTCCCAGCGAGGATACTCACCCTTCTCCAGGATGAACATCTCCCCACAGAGGTTCATCTGCTCAAAGCCCACAAAGCTGAGGAAGAGAGGAAAGGTCATGAGGAGGAGAGGAGAGGGGAGGGAGGTGGTGAGTTAAAAATTTGACCCTGACTGACAGCTTTCAACGGAGCTCTTTAGTCGGTTTTCGCATGATGATGTTGGAAAAGTAGCCGAGCACCCGCTGCCTCCATTCTGACCATTAATATCTATTGTGTCTCTCGTGGACGGCCAGCATTATGAAAGCACAATCATAAAAGACTGTTATATAATGAAAATACTTTGTGGAATAATTTAATAAAGTTCTGCTGTCTTCTTTCTACCTGTAATTATAAGCTCTTTCCTTTGACAACACATTTCCTCCACATCGACTCATTATTTCCTCTTCTATTGGTCCCCCTTGTTTTCTCACTCACCGCACTGCTTCATTTCAAAAGTTTTAGTTTTGTCCTGTAATTCATTTGATTTTTTAAAGTTTATTCTCCTATTGTTCTCTCTGTGAAACACCCAGATAAAAGCATTAGCCTTGTGCTTAAAATGCAAAGTGTAAAATGTCACATAATGGTGGGGTACACTTGTGAAATCACCTGCTCTCCTCTCTGATGAGTGGGTGTGTGTTTGGTACATTATGCGTTCCTAGGTGGGTGTGAAAGTGCAGCTGCAAATGCACAGGCTACTTACGGACCACTGTCAACCTTCAGGGAGCGCACCTTCTCCAACCCCAGGTCACTCACACTCATACACTCCCCGGTGATCTCCACGCTGCGGCCCTGGAAGTTCTCCTGATCAAACAGAGTCAGCTAGAGAGTAGAGGAGAAGTAAAGATAAGAGGATGTGAATGAGGGACAGAGCGACGCAGGTGGAAAAGAGAAACTCAAAAAAAAAAAGCAAAAGTAGAAGAAAAAGTTATCAAACAAGAAAGAGGCAGAGTCAGATGAGACGTCTGTGGGTTTTTGACAGATTTCTAACACGTTATTTTTCCGTCAGTTTTGGCTGTCGACCGCCTCCTCACTAAGCAATACGACACAGCGGGTCATGATAATAGACATCAGTCCAGAAGGTAAAGCTGTTAGTGTGATGCCAGCTGCTTATCATGGTGTGAAAATACTTAAAGGTATATTTGAAGATGGCTGATCGTCATCTGTACATATCCTGTCTAGTGTGTGTATATCGCGTACCTTGTAGGACATCAGGCCTGGATCAGACATCTTGCTCTGAGCCGCTTTCCCATCAGTCTGGGAAGTAGGCTTGGATTTCTCTCCTCCAGCAGACATGATGGCTGAGAAGAGAGAGGAACGAGTCTTTAATAGACATCCATTACTGTCACACTGAAGGACTTAAGCATTTGAAATTATGTTCGAGTCAAATTAAAAAAGTAAAAACAGTTTCAAGCTGTGAAAATCATTTCTTTTTTAGCCTTAAGGTTGGTGACAGAAATCAGTGCGACAGCTGAATGAGTGAAAATAAAACCCAACACTTCATCCATTAATAAAAAAAAAGTCACCAAACAGTTGTCAACTTGAATTTGTGCTAAACTTGAGAAAAAAATACCACTCCTCTTTTCTTTTTCAATCATGACATGTTGATGATTTTTTTTTCACATTTCATGCAGTGCAATTTTTGTTTAACAAATAATCATTAAAAAAAATGGTAGCTGCCTCAGCATCATTGTATGTGTTAATCTTGGAGTTAATGCTCAGTGAATAATGATCATTAAAGTCCCTCCAACCTGCACAAAAGACTTCATGATAGGACAATGGTTCAAAGTACAGACAATCACATTTGAAAGAAGTAAATACATTTCATTTTTACAAAGTTTTAATCTTTCCACTTTAAAGCTCCTATGGACAAAACTGCAAACCTAACATCTGTCCAATTTCGAAAACTACGAAAGAAAAAGGCTTAGAAACAGTCTCGTCTGACACCTATCCCTTCACTGCAGTTTCAGGCATTAAACTTACAAATGCAGAAGTTGTCAAACTTGTTGCTGATGGTCTTTTTTTTTTTTTTTTTTTTTTTACTGGTTCACTCTGTCCCGTAACCATCAAAATTTATCACAGGAGTGATATCAAGTTGAACCTTTTTCTGTTGGTAACAATCATACACACAAGCTTTATGTATGATGGGAAACATACACATAAAAAATTACAGAAACATTTCAACAAACTTTTCCGCTTCAGAAGTGAAACCAAAATTCAGCCCCTATTTGAACGTCAAACTTTCTCACGTCAGAGTTCCTCCCTCCTTGTCTTCCTTACTCTGAAAACCGTCTGCCCACTGTCTTACCTGTGGAAGTGTGTGTGCGTACAGGAGTAGACTCAGGGCTGAGACTGGCGCTCTGTGTGAGAGTGTCAGGCCCATTGAAGCTTTTATATGCTGGCGCCCTTAGAGAGGGGATTATGGGCACAGAAACAAACTCGCTGAGCTCACAGCCCCCACAGAATAGAATTACCCCCATCATCAAAGAGGGGGAGGAAGGCAGAGACAGAGGGAGAGAGAGGGAGAGAGAGAGAGAGAGAGAGAAAGAGACAGTGAGGCAGAAAGACACTGTCTGAAAGTTGAGAAGAATATCAGCAAACATGAAAATCAATATCGTTTTGGCCTCTGAAAACTTAGTATGTGGCAGAATAACTAAAAGAAAAAAAAAAACATTTGATGAAAACATGACTCTCTCTCAGCTCAAAAGAGAGTGCAGTCTGTGTTTAAGTGTCTTTTCTCTGCCTCAATAATGGTAGCCAAGCTGACCAGGTGAAGATTTAGCAGCCTGTCGCAGAATTACTCCCCTCTTTCCCCCGCAGTGCTGTAATCAGGAGGCAGAGGGACAAACAATAACAGGCAAAGCAATAACCTGGAAGAAGCAATAACCCGACCGCTCCACCTTGGGTGTGCAAAGAGTTTAAGAGCGTGTATGGACAATAATCAGACTCTGCTCACAAAAGGGGGTGTAGGCTATTAAATAAAACCCCTCTGCCTTTTCCTTGTGTGGGTGGGTTAAATACTGTGGTGGGTGTCAGCTGCAGTGAAGGAAAGACTGAAATTCTTGTTCTGAAGTGCACAAGAGCTAACTGGTCTGATGAGGCTCCAGCCACAGGCCCTGTACAGGGGGGTGGGGGGTTGCCATGTTCTTCGACAATTAGGCTTCACATGTATTAAATGAGACAGGAAAGGAAATGAGGGCAAGGCACTGTTCACTAAATGAGATTCTGGACACGACTTACATTTTCGGTGGTCAGTGTCAGTAATCCTACTGTTTGAATTGCTTTAAAACCTTGCATAAGCATCAAGGTGAGAAGATCAAATTGCAAACCTCCCTCCAAGTGTCTGTTGGACATCATCCGGCACTGCAATGAGTCAGAGAAAGACAGAAAAAGATGCAAAGTGTCCAACAGTCAGGGGAAGTGAACACCTCTTGGGAACATATTTGATTCAAGCATCTTCATCTCCTCCCCATTGTGGTGTCAGATTTAGATTTTCCACTGTGGACTGGATTTATTCCTGTTCCCAACAACCTGAAGATCATTCAAGATGACACACCACGCCTCTAGGCAGTTAAGTTTAGAAAAAGAAACTAAAGTGTAAACTAAAGGATGCTTAAAGAATCTTCATGCAATATTGTGATTTTAACCAGTATAATTTGACCTACCCAAGAGCCTCTTCACATACAGAAGTTTGAATGGCAGAATAAAGGAGGGCTAGAAAACACACAAAAAGAAACAAAACACTTGCTCTGGGGAAGCGGTGGCTCATGGTAGTCATCTGTCTCATAGTGTGAATGTGACGTCAGAAAGTAGGGAAAGCGCTTTGTAAACATCGCCCATTTACTATCTTCTGACATCAACAATTATGAACACAGTCAACAAGGATAGAGTGAATCATGAAAGTACTTGAATTGTGCTCAAGGATAAATTACTGCCTTCTGCACTGATTTCACATTTGCATGCATCATCTTATCCTTTCAATTTGATGATCTATTAAAGAGACAAGAATCATGATCATTGTGTCTGATCTGCTGTCACTTCTGCCAGTGCTGGTTCTCACTCCATCACATGACTCCACTACATTTAAAAGATTAATATTGTTCTATTGACACCACCATATGTCTACGTAAGTTCTCATCGCTCAATTACTTTACACTGAGGTCAGTTGATGAATTTACTTCTCGTTTCATGAATCTGATCAGAAGGGAAATAAAGTGTGATAGTGTAGTTGGTTGTGTAGTTTGTCCAAGTGGTGTTGCCATACCTACTGTGGCACCCATGACTATGTTGCACCCATATTTGAATAATGTTGTTAAAGTCAACATGATATAGCACATTGTACACCCATATACTCTTGAAAGCACTCGTGCAAAACCCAACGCTGTTTTGAGATTTTATTTTTTATTTTTTTTACTCAACTGCTTAAACTAATGATTTCTTTGTCTTGAATTGGAGTATTATTGGATGAAGGGTAGGGGTGTTCTGATACAACTTTTTTACTTCTGATATGATACAATATTGTAGCCTTCAGTATCGGCCGATACCGATATGGATCCAATATTGGCACAAACTTGTACATGACAAGTGTTGCACTCAGCTGCCACTCAGCCGACATCACTCCTACTCCTTGCTACTTCGTTAGTAGCTTAGTACACACAGTCGTTGTGATCATGTGGGCTCAGCATACTGGATCGAGGCACTGCTAGCTAGAGGTGCCGGAGTGGAGTCTGGAATGGACTGTTTGTATTGGAGTGCTGATATTGGAGATTTTAGATGCAGGTTGAGAGAATCCGATATTTGTTTTTTGGCTGATATCTTATCAGGTCAGTCCTAGTTGAGGGTATCTATAATTTGACCCAAGTGTCTACACTCTGTGTATGTGGTCGACCACTGGTGAAAAGGGATTGAGTCCAAGATAAGACACCAGTTTAAAAAACAAAAAAAACATCTCTGCTGCCACATTAATAGTTTTGATCAATACACTGTGAGTAGTTAGCCAGGATTTAAATTCTGAGACTTGAAAATCGCCAGGAATGCACCTGAGAAAGAATGGATCATGGACTCACCAAATACTGCAGCCAAATTGAATCTGTAAACCGGTGAGATGTGTTCATCCTCCTGAAATATTTGTGGACTGCATGGTTCAGGGCTTTAGAGGGTAACGTCCCTCATATAAAATCAGATCAGAAAACTGCACATGCTCATCTGAAGCAGAAAGATACTGCTGCTAACTTGATGAGAGAGGATTCTTTGTATCATCTGCTTACATGCCCTTGAAAAAGCTATAAATATGTGGTGCACCATCAATGCATCCTCAAGTGTTGCTGTTTACTTGTAAATCTAATATACTTTGTTTAATCTCCCTTTCCACAGTCTAGAAATAGAGTGCAGTCTGTTGTGCCTGTATCAACATTTTCATATATCATATACGATCCTTGATATTACCTGCTAGTTTCAAGTTGAAAAGGAATTAAAAACCATAATTAGCTTCGAATACGGCAGCAGGTCCTTACACTCACTGAGAAAAACTTGAGTTCATTCACAGTATGAGGGTCTTCAGATGAATACTTTTTTCCTATGCATGTCCTTGTTACATTTATAAAGGTTACTGAGAAAGAAATTCTCCTATATGGATCCTGATTTCTAAGTATTGTCTGTGCCTTTTCATGATTGCATGAAGATGTGTGCGTCTACATTTATGACCGTGAACATGTTAAGGAGAACATGACTTGAGCCTTCTTGTTAGCTATCCAGATGAAATGTCGAGGGCCAAGGACCAGATGGGTTGAGGTGATTGAGGATGTTACCATGGCAACAATGGCCCTTTTATCCAGAGTGATGAACAGGAGCGCCTTCATTATTAAAACATCAGAGCAAAATGGGTTTGACATGGGTTTACATCATTGGCAGAAATGAAAATGTACCTTAAAAAAATCACAAAATTATAAAGAAAAGACACATCCTGTCTGAAAATGATGCAGAAGAACTGGGTCTGTGGATTTGTCCCCTCTGTGTCACTCTTAGCTCAAGTACTGGCTGGAACTAAAAAAAGAGAGCTTTTCTATGTTAGCTTCTCTACTCTGGCTCCACACAAAAGAGAATTTAATGCCTCATTTTGTGGCATTTTGATCTTCTTGCTGACTTTTTTTAAATATTTAATGTAGAAAATCATAAAACAGGGCTTTTTCTTTAGTGACCCCTTTGTCAACTAACCCCTAAACCAATTCCAGAAATAAATAAATTACAGTGTAAAAATAATTAATCTTGTTGCTGGTGGTCATGTTTGCTTTTCTTAAAAAGGCATCAACATAAATTTCAGCCCATTTCATTAAAACAAGAGGAGTTTTAAAATCCTTCTTCTGACCTGTAAAGATCTTCATAGTCAGGCACTATCTGGTCTCAAAGAGTACCCCATTTCCCCGGTAAAACGTTACCACCCTTGCGTGAAGACCGACTCTTTGTAGCTGAAGCCTCTAAAAGTAGTAGGGGAGGTCGAGCCTTCAGTTATTAGACCGCTCTCCGCTGAAACATCAGAGTCATGGAGGCAGACTGTGCTTTAAGAGTCAGCTTAAAACTTAACTCTGATTAACCTTAAAGTTACGGCCGGCTCCAACTCTCAGTTTCATTGCTTTAAGCTTAGACTGGCGAGGGAGCTGACACATTGAGCTCCTTCGTCTATAAATGGTGTTTTTAATCACTGGTTTATTGTATTATTATATAGAATTTAAACCATAGAAGCAGTGTGAGCTTCTCAGTTCAATCTATCCCTGTGAAAATGTAAGTCGGTGCTGTTTTTATCATTTTTCTTTAATCTGATTTTTCTGATTATTCTGATTATGGTCAAACTTTTAATCAAAAAATATAATTTCTATGTTATATTTAAAGCTATTGTCATGACTTGAATTCTTCTTCTGTCAATCCCTTTATTTTTAGCTGTAACTATTGAAATGAGCTCGCCAGATGGCTCTCCAAATCCTCCTCATTCTGTGCCTATAGCCCCAGTCATTGTTGTTCTATACGATAGCACTGCTGACCTATACGAATAGACCAACAACAGCCACCCACCCCCACCCTCACCACCAACACCTCTGTGCCTGCGATCTGCTGAGTCGACAGGCTGTACAGAGCCACAAAGAGAGAAAGGGCACAGGAGACAGGGGGGGGAGAAGAGCTACACGGCAGGACAGGGGTGATTTTAGGATCAGACCTTTTAGGGTGCTCAGCATGATATAGAAAGAGCGTGTGCGCGGTATAAAACAGCAGCACCAGATTTGAATCAAAGTTTATGTGAAAGAGGAGCTGTTTGTTAAACAGAAAGAGAGGTAGGTTAAAAATATCCAGGTAAGCACGAGTGGGGAAAATGAGTGATAACCTCCAATCAGCTTCATTTATTGGATTCAGAGTAAAGTCAAAACCTGACTTCAGGTTTGGTTGTATTTTTCCTTTTTTTGTCTATATAAAATTACTTAGATTTAAACATCAGATTCTTGTTTGATTTTTAGGGGTAATGTTGGTCTTTACCACCAATAAAAAGATTTAACTTTGACTTTATGCTCTGACAATTTTTGTCTTGTAAGAGACCTTAAAGTTTCCTGTTTTTACCCCCTCTCAGTTCTGTGGATTTTGCTTTTATATCATTTTTATTTAACTTAAAAGTTGTAGCCACATGAGTCACTGAAACCCACATGATCTCACCTACAGATACAGCTCCTTTTTTTAGGAAAGTTCCTGCTCAGGAACACAGAATAAGAACATAGAATGAGCATATATTCAATACACAGTCTCGTGCCTCCCCCCGTCCCCCCGAGGGCAGATGACGATTACGTTTAAATGGAAACTTATCCAGGGAAAGTGTCAGGAGTTCATATCTAAGTGCTGCAACATCCACGACTGTAGCCTGGACATCATGGGCTCCATCTGAGTGGAGAGAGGAGCATGAGTCACACAACCTGTATGAGCGCAAGTCTCTGTGGACCGGTTACTGACCCTCTGTGTGTGAGATGGAGTTTGAGTGTAACTGAGCAGGGAAGGAGCCTACAGGTTCACTCTGATGTGTGCACCATATGCAAGGAGCAGCCATCATAGGCAGGGGTGAGGAGGTCATCTTTTCTTCACCACAGCTTCCGTCTTTAAATGTTACTCTTCATCACGATCACCTGAGGAGCCGAAGGGGCCTTTTGTCACTCCCACTACAAAAGTTTCCATTAGAGGAGGTTAGTCAAAGCTGGCACACGAGCCACGCTGAGGGTTGTGTGTGGGATTTCATTCCTTTGATAAAAAAAACCACATGGCAATTTCTTTTCTCTTACAGTGTTTCAGATCAAAAATAAAAATGTCTCTCATGAAAAGCGCACTCAATTTTTTAGAAATTCTTCTGAGATCTTTCTTATCTACTTTCAAAACTTTGGCATCTTTTTCTGCCGTCCAGTCAATTCCAATCCTCATCCTAATAAATTTCTAAAGTTTGTCCACAGCTCTATAAGGATGGCTGGAGGAGGCGGGATCTATGACCTATACCAGAGGGTGCTGCTCTCGGGGTGGCTTCACCCAGCGAGGAGGCAGACGGCGTCCATTCTATATACAGTCTATGGTTTTAACTCTTGGTTCGCTGTTTAATAAGGGTAGATTGATAATCTGTTGAAGCTGTTTGTTGGTGCTGAATTCAACATTTGGCCAATTCTCTGTGATTGTATCAACTTTTTATTTTACAGATAGTATTACAAAACTTTGTCTGATTGGTCAGACATCACTCCTTTCTGTGATGTGACTGTACTTTAAGTGTTACTGCTTAATTGTTCATTCATGTATACGATGTTTGAGTGAAATACTTTGCTAAACACATTAAAAACTCATTTTTTTACTTTAATCAAATAGATGTAAATTCATATTGATGCTCTATAAGTACATCTCAAAGCAAACAAAACTAATTTTTAACTCCTGAAACTGGTGCCAGGGAGTAGGTGTCAGCCGAGAAGCTAAAGAAATAGTCCCATTTGTAAATTTTCCACATAAAATTGATTGAATAAATGATGCATTTGACAATCAAAAGTCAGCAGGATGGGACTTTTTGTCAAAGTCGCCTCTCAAACACGTGAGGGACAAATTGTGTAAAGACCACTTTGTCTACAGGGGGCGCCAAAATTGACGCAAACCAAAAGTTCCCTTACTAGAGCTTTAAGTGAAGTTTTGTGTTGGTTTACGTGATATTTTGAATTCTAAATTTTGATAAGAAGTTTTACATTTTTTACAGCCAATGCACATCTGTTTCAAATATCAGCAATCAGTCATATCATATCCAACCTGAAAAACCCATATCAGTCAACTCCTGCTATTTAATGCTATACAAAAGGCTATTACACCATGATTAAAATCTCTGCTGACAGCTCATACAGTGTGAATTACATTACTCTATGTATTCTGTAGGTGATATTCACATTTTGATGATGTTTGTTATCACTCTGTTATAAGTATTTAATAAATTCAATGATGCTGAAAATTGTTGTCTTAAAGATATGGCATGGAAGTTGGATTATTTATTCTTTTGTTGACCAGCAAGATATAGTCCACATATATTTGACAGAGGCGTGTTCGTGTTTTTGTCTTGCTGTTTGATAATGATTCAAGCCAACAAGACGCATTTCTAACACTGAAGAACCAGAGGTGAAAAATAATGAAAATGTACATCTGTGAGGTTTGGTTGAGGATCCCTCCGGAAAATAAAATCCTCAATTTTCCATAATTCTTTTCAGTTGTTGTTTTTTTTTATGTACAAGTTACATTTACTCATATAAAATGTTTAAATTCTCATGTTACTGGCTGCTGTGTTGGCTTTTACAACAAACAAACAAAGCAGGTGTCTTTGGTTGTTCATTGTACTATTTGGGCCTCTTCGTATGCAGCAGGATCAGCTAATCCAGTCAATGATGTAGGAGAGACTGACATATTGTGAACTTTGATATTTTTGCATCTCAGTTTTGTATGATGTTAAACTTGATGTGTAAGATCAATTGTTAAACACAATAATTTGTCCCAAGTTTTTAGCTCAGTCCTTTACTTCAGCAGCAAACACAGTGTATTTTTTAATCCATGGACCATGTGTTGTGTCATTGTGCTGTTAAATGCCAATGAAAGTGTCTGTGTTCCAAATGCTTAGGACCACAAACCCCTACATTGTCTGTGTTCCCAAGCATTTGCTTGTAATTGACACAGCTGCTCCAGCAGGATACAAGGGATCTCTCACACTCTCGAGTTTGTACAAAGGTTTCCCTGCTCTTTCCTTTAAAGAATTGAGACACCTCTTTCCTCTGTAAACCCTGCTCCATATAGGCTAGGTCTCCAGATGTATCCATGGTGGATTATTGTATTTTGTCTCTTTAAAGTCTGCTGTTGGAACAGCTCAGTGTGCTGTATGCAGAGGAGCACTTTTGTGTGTTGAATCCACCAATGATGCAAAAAAAAAAGGCTTCTGATGGAAAAGTGATGCCTGATTTTGGCAGACCAGCATCCACTGTGACTAGAACACATCAAAATTACTAAAATATCCCTTAAGGTTGAGGTTTAAGGTCGTTCGCAGAAGCTTCAGTCAGAAGACAGAAGTTTCTTTCACAGTGCACTGGTGTGCAGTTTTGCTGTCAAAGGCTGCAGATGAAGTTAACTGTAAATTGCTGGTAATGGCCTTCGAGTTTGAGGTTATGGAGGCCACCTTCTTTAATGAGGAAGGAAGGCAAGACTGGTGGTTTCTTTTATAAGTGGCTGTAGCTGAGCTTGTTATCAGAGGTTACTGGAGATTTATGACAATGGTGGTAGTTAAAGACATTGGCCGATAGTATTCAGAATAGATACAACTTTATTTACCCTTTTGGGAAGGTTCCCCTTCAGGACAATGTTATAATTTCAATCACACTTTGTTTCAAATTGATGCACAAAAGAGAGTAAGTACAACACAAGCAAGGGTCTAGACAGGAGGAAACATGAATAGGTGCTACAAACTGCCTTCAATCCAGTTAGACACATGTGCTGAGTAGATGCAGTGGTAGAGGCAATGCACAGGGTGTATCGGAGCAGAATTTTAAAATAAATCTTAACCAAAGCAACAGCAACAACATTAAGCCAACAAAAACAACATTAAGCCAACGAAAACAACATTAAGCCAACGAAAACAACTCTGCAGAATATATGTTTAGCATTTGACTGACAAAATGCCTATGAATTTTGCAACTCTGTTCGTCGTCCACCACAACGTTTTCGTCTAGTCTCGTCAACATAAACACACATTCGTCTTGTCACATTTTAATCATTTAAGACTTATGTTTCATCGTGGAAAAAAGGGGGAAAACAACACTGTCCTAATGAAACCTTAATACTATCATCAATGCCATTGTTTACTGAGAGCTGGGTCTTAGACTCTCTTAAATGTAGACTAAGACTCTGCAGGTTGCATGTGGTCTCTAACAGTTGTTGTCCACAACTGGGGACAACAGATGAGAAGAATCTCGCTATCGGCAATTGACCACTTCTTATGAAGGCACCAGGCACCTTTTGTTGGCAGAGCTTAGTGCAAGAGGGAGTGTAGAGGTGGGTGAGGGACTCCAGGCAGGTAGGAGCCATTTTTTGTCACTGCTTTGTATCTGAGAAGTAGGCTTTTGGTGGCAACAGGAATTTGTAGAGAGAAGTAAATAGCAGCCACAGGTTATTGCATGCTTTGCCAGGTATTGTTTGATCTAGATTTTAAACTGCAGATCTACGTGATCAAGCAATCAAAGCCACATGACCCTTAAAGGTTTGCTGGTCATCAAACATGACACCCAGATTCCAGGTAGACTTGTTGGCGATGAACTTAATTGATCCAAGCTGGATGTTTGTCTGGCATGAGTGGCAGCCAGGCCCCACACTTATCTACACTCTACAAAAGCCTTCAGTTGGCCTCTTGTTGCTGCTGCTGAGGCTGTTTGGTGATGCTTTTTAGGTATGCCGTGTTGGTTTCTTTTATCAAAGAAGCTTCTATGTCTTGACTAATCTAAACATCATTTACAGATATCACTTTCACAGTAACTGGGTTGGCTGGCCCTGAGATGGATTAACTGCTGTTTTGCCCCCATATCTCTGTTATTTTACAGCTTGGTTGCCTTAGTTTAGCAAGTGTTTACTTTCATTCAAGGTAAATTGCTCTGATCATTTCGAGTTCTCTGCCTTATCAACTGGATTGTGTTGTGTTGTGTTGTTTTGTTGGTTGATTCTGTTTCTTTCTTTCAGGGGCGTTGGTTGCTCTGTAGGGAGGCTCGACACCCAAGGTGAGGGTCCCCCACCTTTGCATGCAAATTTAGTGCACTAGTTCACAAGTAGGCTGCAGCATCGTATTAAAAGTTTGGTCATGAACTTAAGCCTTTTTTGTCTGTGCCACAACAGCTACTGCTTTATCCTAGCTTACATTCTGTTGCAATTCCTTTTGCATTGAAATGAAAGAAATCAAGTTTAGAAAAAGAAAAAACTCTGAGTCAGACTTGTGTGGCCTTCTCCTTGACACTCAGAGCAGCGACAAAGTTATGATTTTATAAGCTACAATTGTCCCAAATAAAAATGCTCATCTGCACTTCAAGTGATAATGAAATACTTTCTTTAAAAGGCATAAGCTACTTTTTACCTTACCCAGATATAATGCTATGATCACTGCCAGGTGACATAAGTATCATTGATTTTCTTTTCACAGTGGTACCTGACAGCTCATGAGAGATGTAGGAATTCAGGGAACAATTAGTTCTCCAAGCTGACGTGTTAGAAGAAAGAAAACATAACAACATCCTTATGTGGGTGGCTCTGACAAAGGCTAAACAACATGGTCAGAGCATCTCAAAGACAAAAAATTGATTGTTAAATGTCCAGTCTGGAGAAATGAGCACCTTCTAGACATGATCCAAGGAGGGAAAACCTCTGTTGTGATGACAAGGTCATGGGGGGCCAAAGTATGATGTATTTAAATGTGGTCCAATCCAACAGCCAAACTACTGAAGCTCAAACTGCAGAAAGATGTTGATGCTGGTTCTGATGGAGGGGTGTCAGTTTGGTGCAAATCGGGATGCATAGCCAAGTTCAAAGTGTTGACTCTTCACTAATTATCCAGATCCCAATCCTCTCAAGCATCTTTGGGATACTGCGTGTCCTCATTGGCGTACTGGAATCCAAGTCCATTAGGGGGAACATATTGATGTATGAATATTAGCGTTTCATAATACTTTATTGTTTTGATTGTGTTCAGGAATCATAACCAAAACTAGTAAACATTAGCTACATGACTCTACAGCCTTGTGGAGTCTGATACCTTTGTTCTGTTGCAGCTTTAATACAGAACTTCAATTACGCCATTTTTTTTCAATTGAATTCTTTGTCCTGTTATATAAGCACAAGCCATATGACTTATTTATTCTTTGTTTTTAATGTGCTGGTATGTTCTTTTCAAAACAACAACTACAAGAAAATGCTATGCTGTCTCAGAAGTATCTTGGTGTTTCCATGGTGAGAAGGGTTTGGTGTTCATTGCTGATTTGATTTAAAGGTGACTGAGATTTCAACACCCACTGCTCCCAAACAGGAAAAAAAAAAAAAAAAGAGAAGAAACATTAAAGACTGCAGCAACACTTCAACACAACTTCTTGGTGTTTGTAGAGGTGTAATACAAAGTTTATTCCAGTCCAAAACAAAACAATTGTAGAAATTTTTCAGAAGAGTTTACATAAGTTCATTAATAAGAATATTTACAGGATAAAAAAAGATGAACTGCTAAACAGGACGCTGTGAATTTTGACCTTTTTTCTTTATATTAATGATACATTGAAACATTATCTCTTTTTTCCCTTTGACAGAATAAACAACACATAAACCAATCCCAGCCCAGTTTCAGGGTAAAGTACCTACAGCAGAGACAATAGGCCCATTAGTCCAATATGACAGCCTGGATCAAATCAGCTAAACAAAAAATCAGTCAAAAAGTTGTTAAGATTTTTGAAAGAACATGAAAAAGCTGTGGTTAAACCAACAAAAGAAAGAAAGAAATGTATGTATTAGTTTGTGTTAGACTAAATGTGAGCCAGCATGCATCCAAGCAGAAAAGTTTTTAAATGGACTTAAATAATTATATGACTGAAACAGTTTCTCTAACAAGACAGGCCAAAATCTTCTTAATGAAAGAGGACAATTCAGTAATTAAAAACTGTAGATACTGTCATATCTGTGCAATTCTAGGGCATATGACCTTTTTTTCTGATATATTTGTTTGCTGTTCCAGGTCTTGGTTCAAAGACGTAAATGTTTTAGGCTCTGCCGTTACATTGGTCACAAATGTCTTTTTTTTTTACCTCAACCTTTACAACAGCAGTCGGTTAACACCAGTCATTCAAGGTGACACATACAACTGACCTTAATTATGATTTTTTTTAACAAACTTTTGCCGTGTCATAATTCATTTTATCAATTGATTAATTTACAGACAGATTAATTTTCTATCTTTCTATCTCACCAGGGTCAAAGTCTGAATTCATCCAAAGCTTTAGTTCATGAGCTAATATCTGCAAAGATAACATCAATCCCATCAACTTCAGCTGTAGCTTCATATTGTGCAAATCTGCAAAGTTCAGCATGCTCCCATAAACACTTAGATGCTAAAGTTTAAAGATCCTGAAATAGAGACCATAGCATCGTTTATTTGTACCAGTTCAAGCAATTCAAGTCATACCTCACTGGTATCAGCCATGACAGGCAGATTCGTACCTGTTACAAATCAGGCTGTCCTCTGGCTTTAACATACATTCATTTTACTTACAACTTCTGCAACTCTGTCTTTCATACCTTGTTTTCCCTGCGCTCATTTGAGTCGATGTATAATATGTTTTTTTTTTTCCCCTTTATTTTGACTGTGTGTCTCTTAAAGCACTTTACAGCCTCTATCTTTGTCATGCTAATCTTTTAGTCTCAATGGAAACTATCTACTGAGATATGGTTAATACACTCTACAGATAAAATTATGCACTTGTGTAAGTTAAAGGTAAACAAAGAAGACAGAAGATCAAATGAGTCTGCCCACACTGATCACATTCAGCAGGACCAGAGTCTCTGAAAACTACTGAATAAAAATCATACTCGCCCTGAGGGAGTCTGAGAAAATCAATAGCTAATTTCTTTTCTGTCTTTTGAGTTCTTTCATGTGGGATAAGTTCTCTTTTTTAAAAAAATCAATCACAAAACGTTCCCTTGACAAAGCATAAGAACATCCAAAACGTGTCATGATTGTACATTCAATAACTGAGATACAAACCGTGGTGCAAAAGAAAAGCAATCTCTTTTGTTGGAGGTGAGTTGCGGGCTTGCTTTTACCAATATGTGCCTCTCAGACAGCCACAGATTGTTGTCTTTACAGTTTTTGTTCCCTGTCCTCTGGATCCCTTTTGTGATGATTGTCAAAAAGCTTACTAATGGTAACAAAATAAAGCCATGTCATTCTGTATAAATATCTATGAACTCTACATCTTTCTATCGCTTACCTGACAGCTGTTTCCCTCCCTCTCCTCATTTACCCTCCCTGGCGCTCCTCCTCCTCCTCTCCCTCCTTCACATTGACATCCCCTCCTCTGGGGCGCTGACCACCAAACATTCTCCTTCTGGCTTTGGGTGAGTCAGCCCCCAGGACCCCTGCTCCTTGGTCTCCGTCCTCCATCTGCTCTGCTTCCAGCTCATCTGCCGCCTGCCCCCTGTCCTCTTCATCTTCCTCCTCACTCCTCTCAGAGTCTGACTCATCTGAGTTGTCCTCCTCTAGGTACCGGTAGCCTTTGACCTGCAGAGACAAAGGATTCGTTACGACGTTAACAAGGGAAAGAAAGAGGGTGGAGCGTAGTTTAGCTGGGGCGTCATGGAAGAGGTTAATCTGTGACTTCAGTTTCTCTGAGATATCAACAGCCTTTTCGTAGTAATCTGCGACCACCTTCATCACCGACACCTCACTGCCTGAGAAAAGTGGCTGTAATGGCCCATTACATGCACATACGCCCACTTTACAGACACACCTCCACCTGCTCAACAGCTCTACTATCCACTAGGGGTGGGAGAAAAAAATCGATACAGCAGAGTATTGCGATATTTTGTCTGGTGATATATCGTATCGTCTCATTCACCGTCTCATTCATTGATATTTTAGAATTAAATGCTAATATGAAGTCAAATCTATGATAATGGAAAAATAAAATCCACTGTTTGTCTAGTGAGGTTGGCAGAGGTGACATCATAGAGCAGGAGACTGTTAGTACAAAAAATATATAAAAGGTTTGCAAGATGTGCTACAGGAAAATAAAATACGTCTGAATAAGACAAACATAAAAGAAAGACAAATGTTAAATTAGCTAAACGGTTAAAAATGATAGAAATTGCAATATATTGTATCGTAATACTCACTGTATTGCAAAATGTTAAAAATCGCAATAATAACGTACCGTGGCCCAAATATCGTGATAATATCGTATTGTCGGGCCACTGGTGATTCCCACCGCTACTATCCACTATCCGTCGGTGGTGGAGGAGTTTGTAGCAAATAGGGATCTGCTCTATCACTGGAGCTTGTTTGGGCAGTGTTTGTTGTTCTGTCCATATCATTAGTCCATGTTTGTGTTGCTCTCACTTGTACGTTCTCCAACGGGAGTTTCAAGGAAATCAATTACAGGATTGTGGCTGCTGACCAGCAACTGGTGGACTGACTGTAAATCATGTACTGGCTCCTTTTGTGTGAGACTTTCTTGTTCTTTATTTATGTCCTTCTTTAAAGCTTTTTGAGCTGCTATGATCATTTTTGATTGTGATCGTTACTGAACTGAGAAAAGAGTACATATTTTTTAACTGTGGGGACAAAGCCCAGTCTGGACTTTTTGAACTTCTAAAAGGGACATTTTCTTTTGTCTTGCCTTGAAAAAAAAAGCCTAAAATTGCATTGGACTCTAATTTGGTTCTTTGTTGTCTTTTGAGAAATGATGTTGCTCTTTAGTTGGGTTTTTATTGAGTTCAAGAAAGGTTTTTCACAACTCTGCACAGGTAACTGAAAAAGGTGGTATTTGAGGGGAAAAAAAACCTCTTTGGTGCAGCTGTTAAAAAGTTTCCAGGTAACTGAAAATACCTTGTGCAGGGAAGCAGACAGCTACAATACACCACAAATGGAGGCAAATTTACAGCTGTGTCGACGTTCTCCTTCACAGCCCCCGTCAGTGCTCCTGTCCTCTTGAGGGTTGACACCCTGAGGTGCAGTAACTCCTCCTCTGATATAAAATCACAAGGTTCCCTACACATAAAGTACTGTATTCTTGTACATTTATGAGTCACACTACACTTCAAAGATGGTATTTGTTACATCTGATATATGAATAAAACATGCAACACATCTCATTTCCCAGGTTGCTCACTTTCTGCGTAGTTACCCTGTTTGTCTATCACCCCTGGAAAGTGAGCAGAGTCCACCAAACCCGGGGCCTAAAGCTAAAAATAAAAATGAATCAAATGTAATGTTGATAGGAAAAGTGATATCTTACATCCCTTGAGACAAACTGCAATTTCAGCAGCTGGTAAAAATAGGTCCATTCTTCTACCTGCTACACAGCCATCAGTGCACCTGGCCCAAACACGTGTCTTTTTTAAGGTTTGCTAAGTCTATTTTTAACAGAGCCAAGGTGCAATGAAACAACTACACAGCAGTCATGGATGATGGATTCACCAAGGTCACACACAGAAAATCATGTAAAGAAATGCAAAACCAGAACCCACCGCGAGAAATCTCAGAAGATGAAAAAAACATTTTCTATGACTAAACTTTCTTTCAAACTAGTTCACAGATAACAATTTAGTTGTATGACTCACACTTTGATCTCTGCCCTGTTCTGATTAGCAATCACAGAGGGGTCAGAACCTGTTCGAATCTCTGAAAAAGATTATTATGATGGAAAAAAATCTGGTAACCATAGTAACAACGATTCTAATTTGCGCTTCTTTATAAGACAAAACCAAAGGTTCGTCATGACACCAAACGCATAAAAAATGAATCAAAAGCAGCGTCTCTCTTTGTTTCTGTCCAGGCGCCTAAGAAACAAATATGACATTGGTGTAAACAGATGCTCTGTAAGAATATCAGACCTGGACACCTCCTCCTCTCCTCTTTCATGGGTTTGACACACACTTGAAAGGATTTAAACACATGGTTGATGACCTGTACTCAGGAATTAAAATAACAGTTTTCACATTTTCTAAGAAGTATTCTTCACATTTCAGCACCTTTTGAGTTTCATATCAATAGAATGTTCATGATCTGGAGTTTCCACATTGCTGCAGTCTAATTTTCTTATCTAACTTTCACTGAGTTTGCAGCTATCCTTCTCTTTCTCCTCCATCACCCTCATCCTGAAGGGAGAAGGAAGATAACAACACAAACTTTATCGAACCTCTCCATGGACTAAGAATCAGTTGTGGTAGAGAGAAGAAACAGGAATATTTAGCGATATCAAGCAGTCAGATTCTGTGTTTTTGCCAATTCACCCTCCCTGAGCTGCATTTACATGGACAATGATACTCTGATAACACACGGTTCAAAAGCTCGAACAGTAAGGTAAAAGTGCTTCGTATAAACACCTCTTTTGTTTGCAAAAAGGATGATAGAGCTTTATAAACCAATCACAATAAAAAGTAATGGAAAAGTGAAGTAGAGTACAGACAATGGATCCACGGCTGAGAGAAATGGCCAATGCTTTATACTTGGAGTAACTGAGGTTTGACAACAGGAGGAGGAAAAGATTTGGGTCTCCTGCTGAAATTTCTGTAAGGAGAGGACTCAAGTTGGTTCAATGTAAGCCATTCTGCTGCATAAACTGGCTCTGTTTCTCTTTCATGTACAAAGTCTGTTACTCTTTTCAATGCTCATGATAAGCTGCATTGTTCTGTCTTGTTCCTCTTTGGACATCTTTTGTTTTTTTATGTCTTTTTTGTTCCTTTTCTATATATACTTTACTGTATATATTAAAAATTATGATAAAAATAAAAAATAAAAATGTTGCATGTAATGATTATTCGGGTGTTTCTTTTTGTCTACACCCTACAACTTGACACACATATGGTCCAACTGGAGTCCAACTGGCCACTGGCAGAGAGTTTCTTTTCAGTCAAAACACTAAAACAACTTTACATGTCTCACCAGATACACTACACACCAAACTGACTTTAACACGTTGCAGTTTTTCCAATGGCTACTTGTCATTCTGGGTTGGCCTCAGGTCACTTTGCTGTGTAACGCAGCATGAACCAGTCAGAGCTCAGTTGTTAGCCATATGGGATATCTGTTACCATGAAAGTTATCAAGCTACAGTTTCAAAGCACAATAGCAAAAGCCTATTACAGGAGGGAGGGTTATTTCTGTGATAGTCCATCCTTCGTTTCTCCACTGCCTTACTAAACACAGACTACTTCGAACAGTATTTCAGGTAACAGCAGTATTTTATCCCTTCAGTTATATTCTGGATTAATATAAGAAGAAGTATCTAAAGGACAGTGAATTTTTAAGAGGGATCTTAACCCTGGTCCACTAAGGTTTTCACTTTTCCTACCTACAGTTACGGTTAGTTCTGGATCTGCTTAACTTCTCTGTTTGTAGTGTTTACATTGGGTGGTCGATTATCAGTAATGGCTGCTGGTTTGGTTCATAGACTGTTTATACTATGGAAAACTGCATTCGGCAGGAGAAAGGCCAAAAGTCGCTGTGATGACGCTTGGCTCAAATAGTGTATCCTCCGGGAGAGCTATGCAATCTTCGTACGCCCATAGGCTGTATCAGGTGTCAATCAAAGAAAACATGAACCCCTTACTAACTTTTAAAAACTGAGCTGTACAGAAAAAAGAGGACTTGAGCACAAACCAGTCTTACAGTAACTACATGTCAATATCACAAACAGGGGGGAGAAAAATGTATATTCTGTGTTACTAATTTCTATGACCTATACTGCAGCCCGTCACCAGAGGGTGCTGTTCTCAGGGTGGCGTCACCTAGCGAGTAGGCAGACGGTGTCTATTCTATATACAGTCTGTGGTTTGGATCACCAGACCTAATTCAGCCACACAAAAGCCAAGTAATTGAATTGTTTTTCCTACTGATCAGCTGTTTCTCCTGCACTGATCTGTGTACAACACAGCCATCGGTAACACCAACATACAGTATCGTCGCGCCTCACAAACAGCCATATCTGCGTGCATCTACAGTAATTTTTCACTCTGAGTATCATCTCTTGCATATTTGGTTGAACTCTTACCTTGTGCCGAGGGCGAGGGATGCGAGGCAGTCTGTAAGGCACTTTTTTAGCCAGCCGACGCTCCAGCACCCAATAACAGTAAGAGGCAAGCAGCAGAGTAGCCAACAGGATGGAGAGCTTTGCCTGAAGGAGAAAGGCACAGGTATATTTAAGTTTTATTTCAGGTACATACAGACATAAAGACATATTTTATGATGCTTCAGCACACACACACAGTCTTACCCTCATTGGCAGGTGGGACCAGAGGTAGACTATGAAGATGGCCAAGGCCTGCCACCAGTGATAGATGGTGTAGACGACATCCAGACGCTCTTTTTCTTCAGCATACAGCATACCGACCAGAGCTGACACAAACACAGAGGGGTTCATGCTACAACATGCCATGTGTGAACAAAGAGTGGACAAAACTACAGATTCATGATCATAGATGTCACTCACTGCTGACGCCCGTCTTGTTCAGAGCCGTGCCGAGTCCCCACAGCACAGAGATCACCAGCAGAGGGCCCTGGTACTCTGGCTGGTCCTTTTTCAGAGAGAATGCCATGAGAGCCACCAGCAACACTCCGTGCACAGCAGCGCCCCCCGCCAGACACATCCAGCGCGGCAGGCGAAGGAGGAACAGGGAGAGGGAGGAAAATATGGAGCAGGAGAGACCGTAGACGACGATGAGGAGCCACAGTTTTTTCAGACCCAGAACACAAACTCCATAGGACTGTAAGGAGAGCAGAGAAATTAGATGAAAAATTAATGTTTTTCTTTTTTGTTTGTTTATTTCAGTCTTCCCGCTTTCTTCAACCCTTTTTTAAATTTGCATTTCAAAGCACCAAAGCACCACCAGAATGAAGTAAAAGGCACTTTATTATTTAGCAAACTCTACTGACAGCTCATTACCAAAGAGAATCCGGTTACAGCGAACAGCATTTCGAACCCGCTGTAAACAAAGAAAGGGCAGAGAAATCGGAGCCGGTAGTCTCTCAGGTGTTTGAAAGGCAGCTGGAAGATGTTTCCCCAGCCAATACTGCGAAGATCGATCTCTTCTGTCGGTCGGTATGCAGCACTGCACAGAGCCAGGAACTGTGAGTACAGAAGAAAACAGCAGCCAATTTATTTGAAGAGTTCTGAACCACTCTTTTGTTTGTGAGTGCTTTGCTCAGAAGAAGCCGTCTAGTCCATTGTGGGATACAATTACCACCTGCAAACCAACAGCCAAACTAGGCCAACCTGGCAGCACCAGATAAGAGAGTTTCTTTGTCAAGCCGCCCTTTATTTCCGCTAGGTTGTTCAAAGGTCTGGTAAAAAAAAGAGTGTGTTTCCTTCTCTCTGCTTCTTTTTTGCACCTCCACAAAAACAAAATGGCTTGTACCACGTTTATTCATGTTTTTTTTTTCCCAGGTCTATACATTTCAACATCACATGCTGACAGCTAGCATCTCCTTATAACATACAGCCTACATGAGGAAAAAAAGGGATGACCATGTGACATGTTGTAAAAATGAGAGTTCTGGGTAAGAAAATGGAGCCTTATTAATCTAAACCCTACAGTTTTACAGGACACCTGAAAACAAAGCACCCCTTGACATTTTTTTTGACATGGCAGCACCATTTGGCAGATCACCTGTGAGCGAATGGCATGTCAAAGCCACCTTAAGGTTACAGCCCCTTTCCCTCTAAAACAGGATGCTTGATTTCTTCATTTTCATTTGTAAACCTCAGGTCAATTAATTTATATTGGCTGGTTAAATGTAGCTCCATGTAGTGATAAGATTGAAATGCATTTTTAGCCAGGATGATCAGTCGTTAGCCCCGTTTACATGGGCAACATTTTTTGATCCGATTAAAAATTTGAGGGATTGGATAATATGAATCCACTGTTCATATGGGAGCAATATCAAATAACCTGATCATGACTTGTGTATACAAGCACAAAGCTTTATTCCGATTAAAAGCATATGGTCATGTGCAGAGTTGTGTGATTTCACTGAAACAACCGAAGAAGAGGAGTTGTATTTAGGCCTGTACTGTCAATAAACCAACAAATGCGGTAGTGGCTCACTCTATCCGATTCAGGAGTTTTCACCCTGTTAAATGTTGTCACTGGATGGCGCCCTTGCTCACTTATTTCACTTTTCTGTCAAAGGTTGCACTGTGTGTGCAGATGTGACATCATTATCGGAGGAGCAGACACGGCACCTGCGGTTGTGTTTTATTCCAGAGTGTTAATAATAAAACATCCTGAACTGGCCTCAATAAATAAACCAAAGGCTAAGGAGTGAAGACTGAATCAGGTAAGAGCGTCACGATAGGAATAAGTGTTTACATGGACGCATTTCGGAATGACGATTGTCATAGACCACTCCTTTTGATTGAAATACAATTTCTTAATTGAGCCGAATTGGATCAGAATCTTCTGATCAACATGTTTACTGACGCATTTTTATTCCAATCTGGCCTTTTTTCAGATTATTTGTGCAGCTAGGGGAATATGATTTTTTGGACTTTTTATAATGACTTTTAGACATTTTGATTTTCCATAACAGGATGGTAGGATAAGCTTGAAATGCATTTTTAGCCAGAATGACTAGACATTGTCAGTTATTTCTTCTTAATGAAAACAAAGGGGGATTTCTTTCTTGAAAATCAAGTGCAAAACTGTGTAAGTTAAGTTAAAAACATCGGCTAAAACAAGATTACAAAGAACTCCGACTAAAATAGTATAAACTTTGAATATAACAACACAAGGAACAAAAATGAAATAATATCTAAAATCACGAGATTTACTTAATCCTGTATGAGCGTGTGTGTGTTAGTCTTACTATGATCATTGCAAGGAAGGCGAAGCCCATGAGCACACTCTCCACCTTGATGAGCAGCATGGAGGAAGGCAGGCTTCTCAGCACTGTGGTGTTGAACCCGGGGATTACCCCGCTGATATTTGCTCCTGTCAGAAGGAGATGAAGAGGAGGGTTCAACCATGAGGAAGAGTTTGACAGTAGGAAACGAGCAGGTTAGTTCTGTTTGATTGAACCACTGTGATGGAGGGTAAGTATACAAAGACAAGAAAAAGTGAAAGACCACTCGTAGAACAGTAATTCAAATGAAAACCATGCATGTGTGATCATGGTTTTGTGTTGTGAAGAGGCAGTCTGTGGTCACTTTCACTTCTCTTCTTGTTTACAATAAAAAGGAAGTGCTTCTAGGAGGAGCATTTTGGCTTAAGCAGGAGTGTTGCACTTGTTAGTTTCACAGGATTGCACCTTGCTGCCCACTGAAGAAAAGAAGCCAAAGACATACTTCAACTGAATGCAAACCTATATAATCTTTTTGCTTTTGAAATAACTTGTTGGGTTCCTAAAATGCTGATTGAACGCAACAAATTTGTAACAAAATTTAATGTTTTGAATTAAATTTAATGAAGCCTTTAAATCTTTTTAAATGCTTGACACCCACTCAGAGACAGGGACTTAAGAGCAATCTAGCAGGCTCATCTATTGAAGTTGTTGCAGCGGCAGCAACAAATTTCCTGCTGACACATTCATCAGACATGAGGCATTAAAAAGTCAAAAATAATAAAAAATCCAAATTTACAGCAGCAAAGTACAGACACAACAAGAGACATTAAAAGGATAAAGAAACTTCGAGTTAGTTAAGAAAAAGATATGTACATGAGTCATATAATTTAGATGGAATAGATGGGGTCTTAAATAAATACAGTATGCCTGTAAGTGGCGAGAGGAGATAAATTGACTTGACTTTACCGCAGAAATCCACATTGGCAAGAATGTGGTCGTTTTCAAGAAGATGTTCATTGAGGACAAAAACCATGGGGAACTCCGCAAAGACGAAACTCAGCTAGTGAGTGTGAGAGAGAGAAAAAACAGGGACTTACAGTTACTCGTTTGTTTCTACAGCTGACAGAACAAAGTGATACCAAACACTGCACACAACGTGAAATGACTTCAGGCTTTCATGGGGAACAGACAGCTAAAAACTCACATGGAAGATGATGTGGAAGATCGACTGGAAGACAATGATGTAGCTGTGACAAACCCCCTTAGGAAGCTTCTTCTGCTCCTGCACGTGCTCGTCCTTGTAGTTGACATACTCGTAGTACTGCTGAGCCATCCTGTTTGTGTTAAACATGTGTGAGGTGAGAAGTTGTATAATGATAAATAATCTGCACTTATTTAGCACTTTTTAGGTCTCCCAACCATGACACTACACATCAACACTTCCACTCTCACATGACTTTCAATGTAGATGGACCTCACTCTATGGGCAGATTTTTAAACAATCGCCCTTTTTTATGGAACAACAACTGATAATTCAGATGCAAAAGGAAGGTGAGGGGCTCAATGAGGTTTCATCACATTTTCCAGTTACAAAACATGAATCAAAGAAACGAGCCAATAACCTTCACTTTTCTGTTATAGCGAGGTTCTCCAGCACCTGGCATATGATAGATTTTAGCTATTTTCTCTATATACACGTAAATAGACAGGGCTCAGGCTGCCTGATCTGACATCCATGATATACAGGCAGAGCACACGGCACACACAGGCTATCATATAAGATATTTTGATACCTCATTTGCAGTAATGTATCCTCGGAAGCATGAAAAGTGAGAGAGGTATTTTGCTGGTACCTTAAAATAGCCGCTAGAAACCTGGAAACAGCAATTTAGCTACACTAGGGTGACCATATACTTTTATGACCAATACAATCTTGGCTGCACAAATGAGTGGAGGTGCATTTGCTACTTTGGCAGTATGAGCTCTGAAAGTGAAACTGGAAATTACTTTGGTCCAAAACCAGCAAAAAAAAGTTGCCTCAGGCTGTGTAGATAAGGTATCTGTATTTCTTCATTTACTTTACGTCCAACCGTCCTATATATTTTATTCCGTAATTCTGTCTTTCAGCCTTTTTTTTGCATATGCAGTTTGGTCCCTTTTACAATCCAGACTCTTGCAGTTCAGCTTCAGCAGCCCCAGACACAACCTGGTAATGTTGGTCCTCAGAAATGACCTTTACTCAGTGGACAAAGTCTCTCAGAGAGGGAAGCCAAACTCTTTTAAGGAGTAAAGTGGTCTGCTAAAGCACAAAGAGGCGAGGGCGAGGCAACTCGAACAAAAGGTCAAAGAAAAAGTTGACCTCCTGTTGGAAACAGGCAGAAAAGATGCAACCAGAACCAGGGTCATGTGGACATCCTGCACCTGCTGGCCCAAGAGATGACAGAGCTGGAGAGGAGTGAGGAGAGGAGGTAGAGAGGATGTGATCATCTGGAGAAGAACCCCGTTGATACAAGTAACCAGCTGCATGTATGCTGTGACAGTTCTAAAAGAAAGAAAGAAAGAAAGAAAGAAAGTTGAAAATAAGGGTGTGTAGGAGCCAAATGTGTACGTTTTGGAGATGCCTTTTGTGTAGGTGGGTTTTGGTTTGGGCACTGATTGGTGGGTGTTATTTATTCACCTGTACACCTTGGGTGGGGCTTTGTGGGGTTAGCACAGGGAGGATATTTTCTGTTGACAGCACGTTTTGGGTGTAAAAATGGACATGTTATATAGTCTTTTGTGTAGTAACGTTATTTAACAATAACAGCTATATGCACATACAGCTTCACGTTAAATAAACAGAGTTTTTGGTGCAATATGGTGTATGGAGGGTGCGTCATTATTTTGACTCCCTTGTTTAGCCTGCAGCTGCTTTAATTTTGAATGGATCGGCCGCTATAGGGTGAAAGGGGTTAAGAGGGGAGAAAGGGTAAATGGTTTAATAAAGGATACTGAGTTAGCAGGAGGTGAAGAACATAATAGAGCGAGTCAAAGTTCCTATGAAATAGACTAAAATTCATCCTGTCCCCTTTTCCTGATATCAGAAATCCAATGAGACCATCTGGGACAAGACTGAGGAACTGACTTTGTAAATTTGAATGCCTGAAACTGGTGCAAGGGGGGAGGTGTCAGCCAAGAAGCAGAAGACACAATCCTTTCTCTTACATTTTATGCATGAGATATTCTAAATAAATCATTTATATCATTTATTTATCAATATATCATTTATTATAAACGCATCGTTTATTATAAATGCATCATTTATTATTCAATAAATGAAGAATTTATAATGTAAACAGAAAAAGATCTTTGGGTAATAGCCTCTGCTTAAGCGTGCAAAAGATAAAATTTGTCCACAAGGGGGCACTAAATTTGACACAAACAGAGAGTTTCTCAGGAGCCTTGAAGGGCTCAGCGACCCTGAAAGGGATAAGCGGTATAGAAAATGGATGGATGGATGGATGGATGGATGGATGGATGGATGGATGGCCTTGAAGGGCAAGACAAGAAGTAAAAAAAAGATGTAAAATAAGAAGAAAAAGATGCAGTATGGATGGAGAAAACATGAAAACTAAAAAGGAAGAGGAGGATAAGGGAGAAAAAGAACAGAGGTGAAAAGAAGTGTTGGTTTGACTAATGGTTCTAACATTGAACAGTGGTTCTAACTCTTTTTTTTCATCACTTCTTTAGTCCTCTCTCTCCTACTTCCTTTCAACTCCCATCCCCTAAACCCAGTCCCAATCACAACCATTACCTTTCCAAACCCTAAACCTACTGTCCTCTTTTTGGTATTTCTCATAAATACTGCAAACATATTCCAACTCTGTATTTATCACTTCTCCTCTTTTTACCTTTTTGAGTTACATACAAACTAGCAAAACTCATAAAATTGCAGGTTATTGGGCAATGTGACCCCTATCATTTTGATGCCACTTTTATTGACAACCTAGGGTTAGGGTTAGGTGGAACTTAAATGCTGTGATAGTATTTTAAATGATAATTATTTGTAAAATTCAGTACATCGAAGTTTTCTTGCATATTCTTAATTGTAGTTGTCTAAAGTGCATCAAATAAGTTTGACCCTTCTTTTAATGCTGTGGTGCTACAGCAAAGATGTGAGATGGCTTTTCTGTGCGATGTCAGCTCACTGCACTCTTTCACCCTCAGTTTGCTGTCATAAAGGTCAGGGTCTAGCCTTCAACAAACATCCTCATCCACCTACTGCATTACATTCTGTGTCTCACCTTGTGATATAATTCCCAAGTGAGGCCCAGAGGGGCACAATGGCCACACCTATAGCTACAGCTGACGGAACCAAGGTGTAATATCGCTCCCAGTAATTGGTCGAGACGAAGAGTGCGTAGATTCCTGACGCTAGAAACATCATCCACTTTGTACCTAGGAACCTGGCACAAAGAAAAACCTGGAGTTCATATTGGCTGAGCAAGGACGATCACATAAAGAAAGACATTTTGAAGTGGGTTTCTGTGTGTGTCTTCACCGTATAAGTATGGGGGTGTACAGCAGGCCTACGATGGGTGCGACGTTGATGCCCATTAGCATCTTACGGTCGATGTCCTCCAAACCAAGGTTGCTGTACTTCACTTCACGGTAAGTCATATCGTAATGGAGGATCAGCTGCATCTGCAGGAGGCCTGTAAGATCGAAAACAATTCAAAATTTAGTCATGTGAACTGTGCCAGTACTCTTTATTCTTCTTCCATTCAGACTTACCCATGTAAACACTGTATACAATCATGGCTCCAAAACTGGCTGCGAGAACATTTTTAATCACTCCCAGCCTCTTCCTCCTGTAGTATTTCCTCTCCTCTTCCTCTTCATTGTACTCTGCCTGGGGGGCAGCCAGAAACTCTTCTACCTGACAGAAACGAGAAAAAAAAAGAAAACAGGTCAAAAACTAACTTTTTTTGTCACCGTGTCTTGAGTTGTAAGGTTTTCCACAGAACAGCAGGCAGCTCACCTGGCCCTGCATGTCAGCCGCCTGCCCTCCATTCAGCAGTTCAGTCAGTTCTCTGTTAGGGGGTGCAATGAGTTGATCTCCATCTGTGATCAAGACTTCACCGTCAGCTGCCTCCATCTAGTGTTCGGAAAACAGAAAACTGGATTAGAAGTTGGTTTATTAACCCTTTAGCAACCACCCAAAGCAGTTAATTACTGAAACTCTTGCTTTTTATCAGTTCATCCTGTTTTAAAGGTCTGAAAGCTGAATTTGTAGAGGGTTTACAACAAAAAAGAGTGGTGGTAGATTGAGTAAATGTAGTGGGAGTAGTAAACACAAGAGCATCTGAAGGATAACATCATCATGTTTGACTGTGAGGGTTTCTAGCTTTAGCAAAATTACCAGGATTTACCAAATAACCAGGATTGCTAGTTTGTTTAATAAACTTTTAGCCTATTTCAAAAGACAAGAAGAAGATATTTAAATTTTTGCAAAACTATGATTCACTTTTGACCTTGTCAGAGGTATAACTGTGAAAAAGATCAACTATTGGGCTAGTCGTTTTATGTTGTAGCAACTTTTCTTTTTGTAGTTCTATTTTCAGGCTTTTGTGCCTTTGTTAAGAGATGATAGGACTGTTGATAGGGCAGGACACTAAGAGAGGCAGGGGGGAGTGAGTGACATCTGGGGAAAAGGCCACCAGCTTGATGAGTCCTGTTAACATAAAAATAAAATTAAAAAAAAACTCTTCTTTTTGTCCAGTACACACAGAGGAAGTGAAAGCCTCATTCTGCTTTTAACAGGTAAATTAGTCAGTCATTTTAACCATATGCGGTGACAATGGCAGAAAGGAAGCTGTTTCTTCTGAATGCAGTTAATCGTCAAACCTTACACCTTTTGTTTTGAAGTGTTCACAGACGCTCAGAGTTATAATACAGACACAGTCAGTCATGTTGCTGCTGGTCTTGCTTCTGTTAGCCACAAAAAGAAGTCACTTTTAATCATAAAACTCCTCACAGGAGCTTAAAAAGTGTTTGGACATGCATCTTCTGTAGATTTAGCATAAAAGATCATCCATAATATTATCTGCGCAATTGAATGAAATCAAATACCACCACTACTGAAAATTCGACTTATGGGGGGCTTCTTCATTATTAAGGTTTAATTAATAAAATCAGATTTGACTCTATATACATATTATTTAAGATGTAACGGCTGGTAGTGGTGTACTGCAGCCTGTTATACTGAGAGCTGTTGGTTATATTTTGTCCACTTTATTAAACCTAAATCAGTGGTTCTCAAATCCAGTCCTCGAGGCCCACTGTCCTGCATGTTTTGGATGTTTCCCTGCTCTAACACACCTGATTCAAATGATCAGCTCGTTATGGGCCTCAAGGACTGGACTTGAGAACCACTGACCTAAGGGAAGCAAATCATGAGGAACATCTGTCGGATTAAAGCACTCCAGTACAACATCACCCACAACTGAAACAGTTATAGATAGTAATAATAAATCACCTGTACCTGGATCACCCAGGCATTCATTTTGTTATGTTAGGTCAGTGAATGTTGCCTCTATGTTTCATAAGTTTTTAAAGTTGAAAAATTATGAAGTGGAGCAAAACATCTGCTTAAAGATGATATGATCCATGAATAAATGAATGTATGTAGATGAATGCTTTTCATTCATGTGTGTGCACGAAGGAAATATACCACTTCTACACAAGTCTGAGTCCCAGCTGGCCCATCCATCACCATTTTACATTTTAAGAATAAAATGAAATGAAATTGAATACATTGTTACATGAAACACCCTGTTTATATAACACCTCACAGAGGGATAATCCGGTAACTACACCATACAAGAGTATGAAAAGAGGATTTGAAACTAAACAAAACAGCACTCTTCTGTTTTATAGGCCTCTGTTTGCTGAAGCTTCTTTTCTCTATCGTGTATGTCAAGCAAATGAACAATTACACGATTTTTCCTGCGGGCTTCGACGATACTTCTATTAGGTAACTCTTCATCCCCAACTACGCCGCTTCGTTCATTTGGTCAAATTAAAGCCTAACAATTTGACATTGTCATGAAGAGTACTGCAGATTCTTACTTTCTGAATGTTGTTTTAGAGAACCTTCAGGGCTGCCACTCAGTCATATGTGTTCACCTCTCTAGTTTCCCGTTACCAAATATCAGTGACATTCTCACAGATACGCTTTTAAAAAGTTTCCATGAACTATTGACAGAGTAAATATCACTCACCATGCTCCTCGCGGACACCAGCCTGGACTGTCGGTCCACCTGTGAGATAGGATCATTCAGCCCACCTCGGTCCCCTACATTTACTTCTCCTTTCCGAGTTACAGTGGGCAGGTATAAATAAATGTTTCGCGAAGGAAACGAAAGTCAGTGTTTTCACTTCCTCCAATGTGCCTCACAGTTTGTCTTAAAGGTACAGTCTCACTCATTCAGCCCTCCTCTTCCTCTGTCAGTAGTTCAGATTCAGGTTATTGGTAGGGGAGAGTGGGGTAAATTGAGCCACCCCCTGTTGCTTGGAAATGGTAAAAGAGATTGATAATGTGACCAAATATTTAGGAGATGGGCATCAGTTCATGGAGTCTGTGAAAGTTAGAAGCACATGGGTGAAGACGGGTTTAGACATTTATTTACAAAAACATTTTTCACTCTTAAAGTGAATTTAGTCTGTTATATTTTTTATTAGAATTGTGTTCAGACCAAAAAAGATCATTTTAAATTTGTTTTATACACCCATTGTGGTATCTATGAGCTACAACATGAGGTCAAAAACCTAGCATAAAAGTCCACCATTTTAGCTTAGAAGACTAATAAAGTCATAATAGTAGTTTGATAGGAGTCTGATGAGAGGATCAGAGTTTCAGTTCAGATTGTTGAAATGTTTGACTTTATCTTTTCAAAAATACAGCTGTGAATGTTCTGAATCACTTAAAGGCATTCTCATGTTAAAATGACTTTTTACAAAACAGCTTTTTTGCAGTTATATGAAAGAACTATTGTACCAGTTGAATAGCACATAATAGATAAAATATATATGAATGTGAAGAAGTGACTGTTATTTAGGAAGGGAGAAAGTGAGGGAGGGCTGGGGTGGAGAGTGGGGTGGGGTAGTAGGGATACGGCTCATCTTAACCCGCTTCTATGGTCAACTTATCCCGTATACGGGGTAAGTTGACCATAGGAGACCACTTTTTTTTGGCATGCTGTATTATCAAGACAGTTATGTTTACACTCATTCTGTTGGTTTGCAGGGATGCACAACATCTTCAAATATATGAAGATACACTAGTTAGAGACAAAACTATGATTGCCTGCATGTAGTGATTCGAAATATGAAAAATGGCTCATCTTACCCCACTCACCCCTACATGGCAAAGTGCATGGGACAGAAAGTACAATAGTAATTCACACCACTTCCTCGTGTAAAATAAAGGATGTCATGTTTTATTAGTTATCCCTACAGCTTCTCCAATATGCTAATGAAAAACATCATCACTGAGTCCTTACAGAAAAAAAAAAAAGTATCACAGTCAAAAACATGGTCCACTGACATACATCACAACACAGATATGACAAATGAGTAACGTTCAGGTCATCTTCAACACACGTCCATGTAATCAGAGCAGTTCATGGTGGACAGTCTTTATCTGAGCTGACACAGCGCCATCCAGGGGCTGGAAGAGTAAACTCTGCATAGTGTCTTAAATGTAAAGACATCATGGCATCAGTGATAAATAATGTCCCTCAACCCCAGGCTGTTCATCTGATTCACTTTATTTTTCATGTTTTTTTGGAAAACTGATGCTATGTCTGTAAAACAGTGTACAAGAGTGAGTTCTGTCTTTCTACCTAACTTTTTATATTCTGCTGCAGTCTTTCTTGAATATATAATTATTGAGCTCAAACAATGACTAAAAGACTGGATGACAATCAGTCCAAAGGCTTGTTGACCTGTTTCAAGTACCAGATGGTTGGTATTACAATAAGGTATTTGAGTAGTAGTTAAAAGAACTAAGCATGACTTGGAGATGGTATCATGAGTCCAAGGCTTCCTCTCTGTTCAGACCTTAGGTATCTTCTTTAAGGACCAGGCTCAGGTGATTAAGTAGACGAACACATCCACAGAGGCGTTTGGACCAGGAGAACAGTTTCTCAGTGTCCTCGTGCTGCTCCAGTCAGTCCTCCAGCAGAATCCAAAGACTCTCCCTCTGCTACAGATGAGGTCCTAGCTTCGATCGAAATTACATAAATTTTTTCAATTCCAACAAAATCCCTCCCGCTCTCCCGCCTAGGAGAGACCAAACCCACCCTGTAATCTTGAAATCCCCCACAGTGCACAGTCATCAGCGTCTCTATCCGCTGCCAACGGCTGCCTTCCTCATCATCTCCTCATCCTGGACGGAGAGCTCTGTCAGCTTGCGTCCTAGCTTCTCATGGAGGTCCAGGTATTTGGCTACGCAGCGGTCCAGGCACACTGATTCACCCTTCGTCAGCTCTGCCTCCTTGTAATGTGGCGGTACGCACTTCCTGTGACAAGCATTGGTCATTCTGGAAGAGAGGGAAAACAGTGGACAGGCCTTAAAACAAATATTGGTAAACACTATTAGTGGGTAGTTTTAGTAAAACAAAGCTTCTCGATGATGTGTCTGTTTAATCTTCGAACGTGGCAAAGTCATTGCACAGTTCCATCTGCTGGAATCAAATGTCTCTGAATGTTTGGACTGGAATTGCAATTATGTGTACCTGATTTGGTTTTTTAAAGTCTATATGTGATTGAGAGAATTGGGAAATTTAATAAGTAAAAAGTAAAAATAATCTTTCAATATAAAGACCTGTTTTTTTCTTTTTGAAAAGTATCAGTGTCCTTGAGTCAAGGTGATGTAACCATATATCTAAACTGATGTTGTTGTCAGAAATGAGATAATGTTGCAGATCTGTAGTTGTTTTTAACATTATTATCCACAATGTCATGAGAAATTAAGTTTTCCTTATTAAAATTACTGATTTCTCAGTAAGTTATTGCAGCTTTAGTCCCAGTGAAGACTGGAGAAAAGAGGGAAAAATAAAAAAACCTTTATATGCGTCTTAAAACCCATTTCTTATCTGTGTTCTCAGTGTAAAGTAAACTGTAAATTTTATAAGTATGATGTGAGTTACCATTTCTATATTACATTCATACCTCAGAGTTTCTGAGATTTGGTGTCCAGCATGCCAGTTCACTCTTGTCTATCACCAGCCACTTAAATGAGTAAAGCTAACATTGATATTTTAAAAACATCTGAGATTAATCAAAATATCCAGCATGTCAAAATCTAAAGATCTGTCCTTAAACACAAGCTGAAGTCCCTTTGATTGCCACAGTCTCTCTTTCATACCCACAATTACTCACAATCAATTCTGGAGTTACCCTGATCTCAGTTCAGCCTGCACTACTGAAAATAACCTTTAGTATGGATACACAGAGAGTCAGAGCACACATTTATACAGCATTAATACTGTTCCTGCTCTCTGTCCATATGAACCAGTCTGGTCTTTAATTTGCAAGGAAGGAAGAACCCCTGAAAAAGATATACTTCATCTTAAAAAAAAAGCTTTTCTTCAATCAATTGAATTCAAGAATAGTTTAACTGATGAGGCATTTTAAAACTTAACTAAGCTTAGATCAGGATGAAGGTTAGGTTGGTTTCTGGCAGCAGTGATAAAGAGGTACACAGAGTAAAATATTCAAACCTGAGTGACTGTTAATAACAATAGCAACAATCATAATAGTTATAACAATGTAACAGAAGGCATTGTTAAAACTTGAGAAGAAGGAAGCACTGAGGTACAACTGAGACTGAAGACATTTCATCTTTTCTATTCCTGTTTGTTTAATTCACATTACATAATTGTTTCCATGAGTCTTGAACTTCTTTTTCAAATTCATACTCAATGTTTTTATGTTTGATCTTGATTATCAATTAGAGGTTCAACAAGCTGGAGGGAGATCAACTTGTAGGTGTGCATAAATCTTCTGTACTGTGGCTGTTTGAGACATTATTAAATAGTTAATGTTTTTGGTCTTCTTGGTGGGAATTTTAGAGGTCTGCAATCGTTGCTAATAGTTATTTAAGCTTTAAACGAGCTTCAGTGTGTCATTAAAATATGCTAAATTTAGCTTAAGTTTAACTGGTTCATTGTCATGCTATATGTTTTTAGCTTGAATGAATTGTATGAGTTTTAAAAATAAGATACACAGTCAAAAGATCTCATTGTAGTATGAGGTATTTGAACACAGCTGCACAGTCTCAGCATCACTGCACTCCAGTCACATGTATGACTTTAATCTAATAACTGGTCATTATTGTAACTGAGATGAAGTAGTGGTACTGAAACGTCGTCACTAATCTTAGCTCTTCTGTATCTGTCTTTTCAACACCTCATGAAGATGGTTTAATCCATACAGTGAAAGAAATCATGAGGGTATATAGCTGACAGACACAGCAGGCTTCATGGTTAGCGTGTTTTACCGGTTGTACATGTCCGCCATCATTTCCACCTCCAGCTCCGCCGCCAGCTGCTGTGCCTTCATGGGATCCATGCCTGCTCCTCACGCCCGACTTCAGCCTCAAACAAACCGTCCTGCCGAGACTCTCCTGCGGACAGCCGACTGAAAACCTGCCAGCTGCTTTTTCTGTAACCTTCAAACCTGCAAGAAAAACACGTGTGTACTATTTCCGTCCACACTTCCGCTGTCAATAAAGTTGGATTGAAAGGGAAGTCAGAGGTAGTGCGCCCCCTCCTGGCCTTCATTTGAGTGTTGACCATAGACTGTATAAAAAATGGACAGAGTCTGCCTCCTTGCTGGGTGAAGCCACTCCGAGAACAGCACCCTCTGTTAATGGGCTGCAGTATAGGTCATAAATCCCGCCTCCTCCAGCAAAGCCTATGGAGCTGTGGACAAACTTTAGAAATTTATTACACAGAACATAAATTTTTCTCCTCCCTGCTTGTGATGTTGACATGCAGTTGGGTCATTCCATGAAATCGGTGCCTTTTGTGTCCTCGAGAAGTAATCATTCATAGAATTATGATAACAACAAATTAATATGTAATTTAAAAATATAACATTACCATGTCTTCTCTCCTTAATATAACATCAAATTAAAGTCAATTAAATATCATTTTAAATAATTAAAATTACTTTTATGCTGATGAGGGTGAGGTTTTTGGCCTGTCCCTCACTATTATTGCTGTACTTATACAAGACTTTGTAAAATGAATTTTTAAAATGTTGGCAAAATGTTAGAATCTTCAAATTTACATATTGTTTTAAGAATGATCTTATTGTTAAACAGTGTTTTTGGTAATAATATATATTAGCCATTATAAATATTTACCAATTTACTGGTGTCCGCTGATTTCATGTCAACCCTGTTACCCTAACTAATAACCCCTAAAAAAATAATGGTACATTCCAGATTTGACATGATTGACAGGAGGTTGCATTCTCTCTGAGCCAGGATGCTAACAGCTCAGTGACAATTAAGTTTCTCTCATCTTTGATGTGCTATTTTTGATGTTTTTTCAAGGTTTAACCAGGGGGGGACAAGCATACAACGTAAACCCTGTTACCACTTTTTAACATATAAACCTAAATAATTTTCTATTTCTCAAAATATAAACAATATCTAAAAGTAATTACCTTTCAAAGTACCTAGCTTGCACTTTAGCTAGCACTTATTTAAACTAGCCACAGGCAGATTAGCTTGAAATGGTCAACCCTGTTACTTTTCCACAGTAACAGGATTTGACATGTGAGTAATAGGGATGACATAGAATAGTGTTTACCCTCATTGTACTCTCTTTAAAGGTTAACCTTTTAAAATTAAAACATTTTTAGGTCATCAAGTAAACTTTGTTGAGCTAATAATTATTTTTTGATTGATTGATCGATTGATTGATTGATATGCTGATGGAGAGCCAGTTACTTTGTGTCCAGTTACTTTTACTCTTGTCAGCCCTGTTACCATAATGTCAATCCTGTTGTTGTCATTAATTTGATAAAAATGTAAAAAATTACAACTCAAATGGGCTTTTAACACTCACCATAATCGTTTAAATGACATTATATTTTAGGGCCATTTTTTAACATTTCTCTTTAAAAAAATAACCAATATATGTTGAGACGTGATTGCCATGCAAAATGAGGGTAAATCTGATCATCTGAATGACAGATATCTAATTGGAGAAACAAATCCACAAAATACAATAATCTCGATGGAAAGAGAGACTCAAGTACTGCTAATATATGTACCATATATTGCATATTTCTGATTAGAAATTTTTTTTTTTTGTTAAGTTTATTTCGGTAACAGGGTTGACAAGATTATGAAAACAGCCAGGAGAAAAACGGTTATAAAATAGAAATAACACAGCCTGAGATGGCACAAAATAATTTCCTGCAATTTTTAACATTCTTTGATTCCTGGGTACTTACAGTAAGACTGGTTTGTGCTCAAGTCCTCTTTTTTCTGTACAGCTCTGTTTTTAAAACTTATTAGGAGGTTCATGTTTTAAGTTATTAGGGGGTTCCCGGGATTGCGTAGCTCACCCGGGGGATACGCTGTTTGAGCCGAGCGTCATCACAGCGACTCTCGGCGACTCTCCCACTGAATGCGCACAACGCTACTGCGCAGCACTGGTTTCAGGAAATGAAGAAAAATCCTGGATAAACAGAGCTTTTTGGCTTCAAATCCGTATACAGGCGGGAGGCGGAACCAAGTTGTCCATAGTACATACAGTCTATGGTGTTGACTGAAATAAATACGTGGCTCAGTCATTAAGTTAATGAACAATATTTATTTTCTAGACAAAGTCAAAGACAGTGTTAAATTAATAAAACTATGTACAAGCATAGAGAATAACTGTTGAGAAAAATAAGAACCTAAGTTTGCTAAAGCGTATTGTTAACTGCAAGAAAACATCAATCTGAACACAATGATGATCTTCACAAGCTCACAGCCTGTGACCTTTCCACATTCAAAGCCAACCAGCAGACACTGAATGATGGTCCAAACACAGAAGAACCTCTGTGAACATCCATGAACTACAACACAACTTTAGGTGAAGCACACCTGAAATACTAAACTTTTTGGAATACGAACAACAAGAACTGCCAAAAGTTTACTCTGCCTCATCTCCAGTCACATCGACCTCCCTCGCATCTTCATCCTCATCCTCCTCTGGGCTGGGATCCACATTTTCCAGTCCATTCTCACAATCTCTGCTTTGAGGCACTCTCTCTGGGGAGAGAAGCAGAACGTCCACCTCCTCATCTTCCTCCTCTTTCTCTATTTCCTCTGGAGCACAGCCTGAGATCTTGTTACTCATACAGCCATCCAACAGAGGAAGGCATGTTCTGTGAGTAGTCTCAAGGTTCAAATTGTGGTCCGGAACAATACCATCTACTTGAGGCCAGTGGGGACCAATGTGAGAGGCGCTGTCACTATTGGTCTCCAACTGTGCTGTGTCTGAAACGGCTTCATCACAAGCTTGTGCTAAAAGAGAAGAAGGAAGAGAGGTTATTAAGAGTTTGTTTGACTTTAGGATGACAAATCCAACAGTCTCTGCCAAGACTTTTCACAGAGGATGCCTCGACTAAAACCAGAAATTTCTGGTATGCAACAAAAACCAGCAGTTTGTGGTTGCATGTTATTTCTGACAAAGATAATTTTGCTTTCTAAAACTATTCACACAGTCTCAGGGTACAAATAAATGAAAGTACAAACTGTTCAAATGAGAAGATCATGTAAGTATAATAATGACAAAGAATTATTTATCCATTTCATGCTGCAGCATATCAAGAAACCACAAACTGTTGAGATTAATTACCTTGACCATAAGCTCCTACATTAGAAAACATCACTTCAGCGTTGTTCTAAGTTAACTCTTGCTTTTGCAGATCGTCTGTACAGTGAAGGATATACATTTTTTTTTTTTTTTAAGAAAAACTCAGAAATATTTTACATAATTTTACATTGTTTAGTGCAGCAAGTGTAGCATTGATAGTCCAGGCTTGTAGGCCTGCTCAGATTTATTTTTTATATTATTCTGAAGAAAAACATTAACATACAGTGGTGGCTATAATGGTTACAACTCTAGGCATTTTGAGAGGTTTTAGTTGTTTTTGTTAAATGATCAATTAAAATAAATAAATTACCTAAGTTATCACAATGCTCTATAAACCATAGAATAGAGACACTACAGGGATTTTCCTTACAAAAAACAAGATGGGTCTTTTTTTACTGTCAATGTCACATAATCATGATCCTTCACAGAAGAAGTCAAATTACTTGTGTAATCACTGTCATGTGTGATCATGGTTAAGTACAGCCAAGAACATGAGATCCAGTCCAGACACTGTAAAGTACACTTTAGACCGCCATGATGCCACCAATTCACACCAGACCTGAAAGGTGAGATAGAAAAATACAGTTCCCTGCTGCGGCGCCATCTTGGTCTTCTTTTTGAATCAAGTGTACCCGCATTTTAATTTGAGAGCAACTTTTCATGAAATACATATTGTTTAAACAACACTAAGATGCAGGTTCTCTAAGACTGTTGCAGTTTTTGTTCAGCAAGTGAGAAAACTTGAACTTGCTTTCATTGCTTTTTTTGTTTTTATTGCTTTTTACCATTTATTTTTATTTACTATGTATTGTAAAGCACTTTAGTTTACCGAAAGGGTTGTTGTAAAGGGCTGTATAAATAAAGAACATCTACATTTTGCATTTACATCAATCATCAGCATCAATTACATGTTTGGCCACCAGATGGCGCCAGTGTCTATTACTCTCTATCTAGTTTCTACTGTCACACTAATTCAGTGGCTGGAAAATCTTACTCTTTTTTTCCCGACAAAACCACAGGGACTAACACTTTACCTTCAAACAGGTTGGTCAGTGTCGGCTCCGTCGCCAACTTCTTCACCTCTTCTCCTAAATCACTGAAGGAAAACACTGACTGTTGCTCTTGATCAAACAATGAGGCCTCTTCAGTAGAGCTTTGCGTGTCGTTTCGCTGGGACTCAACAAACTCAGCTGATTTGTTTGAAACCCAATTGTGATTTGTGTCAACTGTGACAATGTCAATGTTGTGAGACTCCTCAATCTCCACAGTGTTCTCATGAGGAACACCAGTTACCTCCTCACATTCAGTCTCTGGGTCCTTTCTTTCTCCTTCAGCTTCCTTCAGCAGACCCGAGGGTCCTCTGGTTTTCTCCGTCTGACTTTCTGTGATGGTTGGTGGTTCACTCAGTTTTCCTGCAAGTTTCACAGGTTTGCTTGAAGAACTGGTATTCATTTCTCTCTCCTTGAAGAGCACGTTATTGCTCGACATACTGACTGAACAATCACTCAGGTTTAATGACCTGAATGTCTCATCATTGGCTTTCATTTTTTTGCAGAAAAGAGAAAAGTCAGCAAGAGTATTAGTGCACTTTCTCCTTTTAGGTGCTTTTTTTGTGTCACTTTGTTTGTATGTCACTCCTTTCTCCATCTCCTGGACGGACTTTCTTTCTGCCACATTGTGACGGCTTTTTGATATCGTTGCTTTCTCTTTCACGTTACGTAATTCTTCCAGGGTTCTTCTTTTCTTTTCTCGAACCCGCGTCCGACCTTTTTTTCCCCGACAGCTGCTGTTTTTAGTTTTTGACAGAGATCCACTTTTCTTTTCTTCGTGAGTGATGGCATTCAAAGGGAACTGTAATGATGCCGGAGCTTCAGCCAGCCATGCCGGCAAGCACAGAGATGAGTTGCTAAAACTGGGCTGACGCTCTGGTGCGGGTGTGGGTGAGACCAGCGGGGATAAGCATGGAGACAGAGGAAGGTGAAAATCTTCAGGGCGTGGTGAGGAAAAAGAACATGAAGGTTGTGTCTGATTTCTGTTGATCAGGGGCGAAACCTCAGGGATGTGTTGAGCCTCTTGTGTGGATTGCTCATTGCACTCTGAGTGATGTAGGATTTGCCCTCTGGAGTTGAAGGATGTGGGTATGACTGATGTCATTCCCTGCAGGTTTGGTTCATCTCTTTGCTCCATGGATGTGACGGACTGATACCAAGGAAAATGCTGCTGCTGCTGGTTTGATTCATCCGGCTGAATGTACAAAAGACATGAGCAGCTTGGCTGGATCTGATCTGTAACAAAACAACGGACGGCTTCACTACAGGTAGAAAGACTGCAGTCATTACCACTCTTTGTAGGATGTAAAAAGCTGCGGTGAGTGGTGTAAGGGTTTGAGTCTAATACCATTAAAAGCATGGTGTGCGGTTCCAGTAAACTTTGTGTTTCATCAGGTACATTCAAACTAACTTTGACTGAAAAGTTAAGCTCTAAAAACACTCAAATATGATTTAAATAGTCAATAACTTAAAGCTCCTGTGAAAAACCTCTTTTTGGGACAAAGTTGTCACTTGAGGTAACGACGGACAAAGAAAGAGTTTGTGCTGTTCTACCCAGACGATTTTCCAGCCGTTCATATCTGCAGTGGAAAAGTTTAAACGGGGGTTTCCCTCACCATGATGTAAGCTGCATCATCCACTAACTTCCTCCTCAGTGGTTACAGGCATTAAAATCAACATTATATGACAAAACAGCAGTATTACAGACACTTTTGGGGGCATCGTTAAGAAGCATTACTTTTAAATTCCAGTCAGTTTTAGAAACAGCTGAAACTTCTCAGGAGTCATTATTACAAATCAATACAAACTAGCAGGGGTATAAACATAAGAGTAATACTATTATTTCAGTCTAGGGTTGAGTTATTAAAAAATATGATCCTATGCCTATTTTATTTTTTATTTTAATTCTTAAGGTCCTTACACACCGGGGCCGTCACGAATATAGAACATGAAATCACGAAATTTTCTGAGGCGAATTTTAACGCGCCTGGCTATACAAATCAAGCCCGATGCGATTTTGCAACTATCTGGGGGGGAAAAGACGCATCCCGGGGAAGACTTTTCCGGGGGAAAGTCCCGCCTCCTTCGCAGCACTTCTCAGCATCCCGGGTGGAAACGAAAAGACAAAAATGGAGTCTACTTCAACTTCAAGTGATGGCGAATTGGTACTCCTTTTGCTTTCTCAAAAAAAAAAAAAAACGTAGCACATGGATGCATCCAATATTTAAAAAAAGTTCAGGAGCTGAAACTGTACCACGGTCGCTTCAGAACCTAATTTCTAATGTCCGTCGGACAATTTGAAGTTCTGCTGAAACAATTAGCTCCAAGTTTGAAAAGGCAGAGGACTAGACACTAGTGTTGAGATGGCTGTCTGTCATGATAGCATGTACTGAGTCGGGGCCAGTACCAGATAAGCAGATTAAACTATGGTAACAACCGGTAGCTAACGTTAGCACAGATGAAAGTTAAAACAAAGACGTTTAGCAAACTGTTAAAGCACACAAACCATCGTCATATCAGAAATCCGATGCTATGACTCTCCACAAGTTGTCCTTCAGGTCATTATCTTTGTAATGTTTGTGTCTTTTATCAAAAAGCACTCTGTTTTCCAACACATAAATAATCAGCCGGTCGGATATGTTGGATATACCAGTGAATCAGGCGTCGCAACAACACGCAATCTGATTGGTCAGAAGTGGACACACAGTATGCTAAACTTTAGAAAAATCGACCATGATCCGAAAAATAAATGCCGCAATATTGCAGGACGGGAAAACGTCGCTGATGTGAACGCTTGTATTGACAGGATACGGGTTCGAAAAAAAATATTGACGTCCAAAAAAATCGCACGACAAAAACGGTCCCGGTGTGAAAGGACCTTTAAACTTAAAGCCTCTTTCAGTGGTAGGAGCCATTTACTAAAGCACCTGAATCTATCATTTATAAATGAAGCATTCGACAAAACACTACCAAGCACATCTTGATAATTTATACTTTTTAAGAGAAAACGAAAACAATCAAATCTACCTGTATATGCTGAAGAGAGACCAATTTGTGACTTACAATCCTGGCAGCACCCATACTTGTCTAAACCAGCTTGCACCCATCCTCCGTCATTCCTTCGAAGTTGAATCTGGCAGGTGTTAGCTGCAGGAAGATGATGATGATGATGATGATGAGACCCTTTGGAGTCCTTTTCTAAGTTTGGTAGGATGTTCAGACCTGTCACTACATCCTCCAGCAGCCTCTCAATCTGCCCGTCGGAGTAATCCAAAGGCCAAGGAAGTGACACCGACTCATGACTATCATTTTGGTTGGGTGTGAAGCAGTCGCTAGACGGAATCAGAGAGTCAGAGGAGAAGTTGGAGAGAGGTGGGGGTGGTTCAGCGGAGCTGCTGGCGCGTTGAAGAATTTGGTTTTTTGGTAAAGGATTTGAACCTGGCTGAAGAGATGAGGGTGGGGATTCATCATTGGAAGGGCCTGTCTGTGGCCTCTTCAGGTTGGAGTCATCCTTGAGACAAAGACAAAAAAGATCCCATGGCTTTAGCTGAGTTCAGTTTGAGTTAAATAGCACAGACTAATTAACTCTTTTCAGCAAGGTACTCCATACTCAATGTTATGTTATTCATTTGTCTGTTAGGACTACATTGTTGAATTAAGAAATTTGTTTGGTTGTGGTAAAATAGTCTTGAAAATAATAATTAAACAAATTGATGAATAATACTGAGATCATGATTCTGCTCAAAAAATGTGATGTGACATTTTTTGAAACATCATCCACTCACATTAAAAAAAAAAATCTCTATCAAGTTTCAGAGCTCCACAAAACAGCGAGTGAAAAATCTTTCATCATCAATAATCGGCCTCTCGGAAACTCTGTCCTTTGAAGTCCCACTCCAGTCATTTTTTTACTACTTAAAGTGTTCTCAGTGGTCTTTAAATTGTGATTATGATGTTTTTAGCCAAAATCACGTTACCTGTGTCATTTTCAAAGGTTTTTCTTCTACAGAGCTCCAGTAGATCATTAGCAATTCGCCTCTGAGTCGTGGGCAGAGACAGTGCTGCTCTGCACACTCCTCCTCATGCTAGCTTGCAGCCTAATATTGCCAGTGAAGTAGAAGTGACAGGTAACATAGGAGCTATTCATCTCTCCGACACGAATGTCTTTAGGGACATGTTGAAATCTAATATCATAATTAGCTTTCTAACGAGCATTGCGATCCACTAATGCACACGCTTGCTTCGCGATTGTCCTCTCTACTCCTCCGAGTCTGGCTTGCACAGGCTCAAGGGGTGGAGCTTGGATTTGCTTGGATTTGGGTCTGCCAGAGATTCACAGCGATTTAGATGCAGAAATACTCAGAAATGCAATTTTGCACTTATTTTTCTCGTGATATGTCCTGCAGCATCAGAAAAATGCCATATGAACATGTAGACAATGAGAAAAACATGATTTTCATCGGAGTGGGTCTTAGGGCGTGTTCACACCACCCTCATTTAGTCCGGTTGAACCGAACCCTGGAGCGTTCACCCGCTTGGTGCGTTTCGTTTGGGTCGGTGTGAATGCTGACCTCGAACTCTGTGCGGACCAAATAAACGAACTCTGGTCCGCCTGAAGAGGTGGTCTCGGACCGCTATCAAGTGAACTCTGGAGCGGTTCATTTCACATCATCCACACCAATCACAGGAAACTCACCACACAAATCTAGGCTATTTGTAATGCTGGTTGTGAAATAAATGTTGTCCGCTCACCTCACTTGTCCCGATTGATACCAGAGAGAAAACGCATCGTGGTAGGCTCTCATTAACGCCTGTCGCTGTCTCGTCTTCATCCGTCTGTTGTTTGCAGCATGTCTACTCTGGAATGTATAAATTAATGCCACTGTTTGCACCCACTGGCTAACGAGCGATCATATGCGCGATCGACTAGCATCTTTTGATACGCGCTCCAGATGAGTAGCAAAAGTAAAATCAGCCTACGATGCTCCATGACAGGCGAAGACAGCAGAGCGGGGTTTGTATTCCTGCATAAACTAATGACCAATAACCGAACGATGTTTGCGGTCACGTGACTTACGGTTCCATTTTCTGGAGTGATTGAGTTTGTCCTTTGTGAACGCAAACTGGACCAGTTAAACAATCAAAACAAATGTATCGTCTTGCCTGGATTTGAATCATGAAACGGACCTTTAGGTGCGAACACGACCTTAAAGTACGTTTAAAAAGGTACATCCCTACTGTGTATTTATGAGCACCTGAAAGATGAAGGGATTCTAGTCACTGTTTATTTTTCGCTGCATGGGAAAAATCAAACAAAACAAAACACAGGTGTACTAGAGTACAAGTATGCCTGTATATGACAGAGTCATGCTTATTCACCTGTGGCACAGAACTATTGGCAGCCAAGGTCTCATCTCTGTCTTGCAGGTTAACAACCTCCCACAGTTCTTCTTTGGTCCTCCTCCTCAGCTTCACCTACACAGAGGGAAGGATGCACATGCAAAAAATCTCAGTCAGGTTCACATTCATTTGTTTTGACAGCCTATAGACATCAGAAACACGTCAGAGAAGAAACTTAAGAATCTCATCATGAAAGAAAAAAAACACTATTGTTTTATTTCCTCTTTTATTTGTTAGTGAATTACACACGTTTTTAAAGCAGTGGCTGCACTTTCAGATGTCTGCTCTGAGTGAAAGGAGGAGGTTTTAACACTTGAACAGGCTTGAACCACCCTTGCTACAGGCAATATACAGGGGTTGGACGATGAAACTGAAACACCTGCCAATTTAGTGTTGTAGGCTTCATGGCTAAATTTGACCAGCCTGGTGGCCAATCTTCATTGATTGCACATTGCACCAGTAAGAGCAAAGTGTGAGGGTTCAGTTAGCAGAGTAATAGCAGTTTTGCTCAAAATATTGCCATGAACACAGTATTATGGGTGACATATCAGAGTTCAAAAGAGGACAAATTGTTGGTGCACGTCTTGCTGGCGCATCTGTGACCAAGAAAGCAAAACTTTGTGATGTATCAAAAGCCACGGTATCCAGGGTAAAGAAGGACAAACCACATCCAACAGGAGTAAATGTGGACGCAAGAGGAAGCTGTCTGAAAGGGATGTCCGGGTGCTAACCCAGATTGTATCCAAAAAACAGAAAACCACAGCTGCCCAACTCACTGTAGAATTAAATGTGCACCTCAACTCTCCTGTTTCCACCAAAACTGTCCGCCGGGAGCTCTACAGGGTCAATATACATGGCCGGGCTGCTATAGCCAAACCTTTGCTCACTCGTGCCAATGCCAAACGTCGGTTTCAATGGTGCCAACAGTGAAAATCTTGGGATGTGGACAATGTGAAACATGTATTGTTCTCTGATGAGTCCACCTTTACTGTCTTTCCCACATCTGGGGGAGCTGCGGTGTGGAGAAGCCCTAAAGAGGCGTACCACCCAGACTGTTGCATGCCCAGAGTGGAGCATGGGGGTGGGTCAGTGATGGTTTGAGCTGCATATCATGGCATTCCCTAGGCCCAATACTTGTGCTAGATGGGTGCATCACTGCCAAGGACTACCGAGCCATTCTGGAGGACCATGTGCACCCAATGGTTCAAACACTGTATCCTGCAGGCGGTTCCGTGTATCAGGATGATAATGCACAAATACACACAGAAAGACTGGTGACAGAGTGGTTTGATGAACATGAAAGTGAAGTTGAAGATCTCCCATGGCCTGCACAGTCACCAGATCTAAATATTATTGAGCCACTTTGGGGTTTTTTAGAGGAGTGAGTCAGGAAACATTTCCTCCACCAACATCATGTAGTGACCTGGCCACTGTTGAATGGCTCAAAATCCCTCTGGCCACTGTGCAGGACTTGTATCTGTCATTCCCAAGACGAATTGATGCTGTATTGGCAACAAAAGGAGGCCCTACACCATACTAACGAATTATTGTGGTCTAAAACCAGGCGTTTTGGTTTCATTGTCCAACCCTTGTAAATCTGTCACTGACAAGCTCACAATCACTTTGTATTCTAAGCTAATCTTTGTGAGTTGTAAATGCATGCATAACTGTGCAGAAACAATTCCAGGTTATGTGATAAAAAAAAAATTTTAAAAAAACATATTTTTACCTTGAAGGATATCTGTGTGGCCTCCATCATCTGTTGCACCATCTCCGTCCTAGTCAGGCCCCTAATCCTAGCATTTGCAAAACCTTGTCTTTCTTCTGCAGCGCATCCACCTCCAGCTTTTAGCACCTCATATCTTGGGATGTGGAAGCTCATGTTCTCTCTGTTTCCTCTGCTGTACAGCATCTTGTCATTAGTTTCTCTCTCAGATGACAGCTGATGTGTGCTGGATTTCTGAGGTGTCAGTGAGTTTGAGTCATTATCGAGTGAAACGGCCATGACATCACTGAACGAAGCTAAAGTAGACGTGGGGTTTGACGATTCATCCAATGCAGACTTCACATCACTTCTTCTTGGACTCTGAGGTGAAGAGGATGCAGGGTCTTGATTTGAAGCTTCAGTTTGGCTGAAGTGGTTACAAGGTGCGCTCATGGCCCTTTCATCAGTTGCAACCGTTTCTGTGTCTTTAGATGCACAGCTTGTCTTTTCAGTGAGAGAATCTGCAGCTCTCCAGTCAGCAATATCTGACTGTACTTCTGTATCCTGCATGTTTTGTCCATCATTTCTTTCTCTGCCTTCTTCTTCCTCTTTATCTCTGCAGCTCTGAAAATCCTTCTGTGGACGTTCTACCCCCTTCACCTCCCAATCTATCGGTCTTTCAACGAGCTCTGTGATCCCCAACTGGTAGGCTGCAGATAGTACTTCCCTCTGCTCCACGCCCCTTCTTACTTCTACCTCTCCAGAGTACAGTAGACCAACAATCTTCCGCAGGGTCTGGGAGTTCAGGGCCTGCAGCTGAAGCTGGCGATGCTGGACCTCTAAAGGAGATGGGGATGCCGACAGTTTCTGTGAAAGATAGGGACTAAGAGCTGCAAGGATGCAACTGTGGGCCGGGACTGAGATACCTGTAAAAAAAATTTTAAAAACCAACAATCTTTTTACCTTGAAGGATATCTGTGTGGCCTCTATCATCTGTTGCACTACTATCTGCTGACTCGTACCTTCAGTTTGCAACAGGATATCACAAAACTGGGTTTGGTTTTGTTGCTTCTGCAGCTCTGCAAGAAGCTGTGACTTGTAACCTGGCCACCAATACCTCTGCATGTCCTCAGGAGCACTGGGAGTGAGGAAGGACAGAAGGGTATTTGATTATGGTTATAATGAATCACGGCTCTCAAGTCATTGAGCGTGAGATACAAGCATTTCAATAAGTTCTCACGCTCACCTGACATTTCTTGCTGATAAGTGGTAAAACTCACTGCACATAACTAACACTGTAGGGGAGAGTGGGGTAAAATGAGCCATTTTTCATATTTCGGATCACTACATCAAGGCAAACCTAGTTTTGTCTCTAACTAGTGTATCTGCATATATTTCAAGATGTTGTGCATCTGCAAACCAACAGAATGAGTGTAAACATAACTGTCTTGATGATATAGCATGCCAAAAAAAAGTGGTCTCCTATGGTCAAATTACACTGTGTATGGGGTAAGTTGACCATAGGAGCTGGGTAAGTTGAGCCATATCCCTACTACCCCACACTCTCCACCCCAGTCCTCCCTCACCTTCTCTCTCCCTAAATAACAGTCACTTCTTCACATTCATGTGTATTTTTATCTATTATACACTATTCATCTGGTACAATAATTATTCTTTTTATTAATATTACACATACACTCACCGGCCACTTTATTAGGTACACCTGTCCAACTGCTCGTTAACACTTAATTTCTAATCAGCCAATCACATGGCGGCAACTTAGTGCATTTAGGCATGTAGACATGGTCAAGACAATCTCCTGCAGTTCAAACCGAGCATCAGTATGGGGAAGAAAGGTGAGTTGAGTGACTTTGAACGTGGCATGGTTGTTGGTGCCAGAAGGGCTGGTCTGAGTATTTGAGAAACTGCTGATCTACTGGGATTTTCACGCACAACCATCTCTAGGGTTTACAGAGAATGGTCCGAAAAAGAAAAAATATCCAATGAGCGGCAGTTCTGTGGGCGGAAATGCCTTGTTGATGCCAGAGGTCAGAGGAGAATGGCCAGACTGGTTCGAGCTGATAGAAAGGCAACAGTGACTCAAATAACCACCCGTTACAACCAAGGTAGGCAGAAGAGCATCTCTGAACGCACAGTACGTCGAACTTTGAGGCAGATGGGCTACAGCAGCAGAAGACCACGCCGGGTGCCACTCCTTTCAGCTAAGAACAGGAAACTGAGGCTACAATTTGCACAAGCTCATCGAAATTGGACAATAGAAGATTGGAAAAACGTTGCCTGGTCTGATGAGTCTCGATTTCTGCTGCGACATTCGGATGGTAGGGTCAGAATTTGGCGTCAACAACATGAAAGCATGGATCCATCCTGCCTTGTATCAACGGTTCAGGCTGGTGGTGGTGGTGTCATGGTGTGGGGAATATTTTCTTGGCACTCTTTGGGCCCCTTGGTACCAATTGAGCATCGTTGCAACGCCACAGCCTACCTGAGTATTGTTGCTGACCATGTCCATCCCTTTATGACCACAATGTACCCAACTTCTGATGGCTACTTTCAGCAGGATAATGCGCCATGTCATAAAGCTGGAATCATCTCAGACTGGTTTCTTGAACATGACAATGAGTTCACTGTACTCAAATGGCCTCCACAGTCACCAGATCTCAATCCAATAGAGCATCTTTGGGATGTGGTGGAACGGGAGATTCGCATCATGGATGTGCAGCCGACAAATCTGCGGCAACTGTGTGATGCCATCATGTCAATATGGACCAAGCTCTCTGAGGAATGCTTCCAGCACCTTGTTGAATCTATGCCACGAAGAATTGAGGCAGTTCTGAAGGCAAAAGGGGGTCCAACCCGTTACTAGCATGGTGTACCTAATAAAGTGGCCGGTGAGTGTATAACTTGTAAAAAGCTGTTTTGTAAAAAGCCATATCAACATGATAATGCCTTTAAGTGATTCAGAACATTCACAGCTGTATTTTTGAAAAGATAAAGTCACACATTTCAACAATCTGAACTGAAACTCTGATCCTCTCATCAGACTCCTATCAAACTACTATTATGACTTTATTAGTCTTCTAAGCTAAAATGGTGGACTTTTATGCTAGGTTTTTGACCTCATGTTGTAGTTCATAGATACCGCAATTGATAAATAAAACACATTTAAAATGATCTTTTTTGGTCTGAACACAATTCTCATAAAACTTATGACAGACTAAATTCACTTTCAAGAGTGAGAAAATTGTTTTTTGGAAATAAATGTCTAACCCCTTCTTCACCCATGTGCTTCTAACCTTCACAGACTCCATGAATTGATGCCCATCTCCTAAATATTTGGTCACTTGATCAATTTCTTTTACCATTTCCAAGCAACAGGGGGTGGCTCGACTTACCCCACTCTCCCCTATTTGAAAGAGATTATCCTATGAATGGATGAGGGGAACGCAGATTGCTCTGCTTGAATCAGCAACGTATCAGCCAATCAGAAAATAGTCTTGTTGCAAGGTGAAATAACAGCGCCTTTATCACAGACATTATATAGGTATCTTATGTCAATGTCGTTATCACCTCTTTCACAAGTGCGCAGATGCACGCGGATGCTGCTTTTGTAGCACAAGCCCAAGATAAGAAAATATTTTTTTTGTCCTTAAAGTCTAATAATTTATCATTAAACACACTTCACCCTTGCTCCCCTGGAAAAAATCTTACCCTAAGTTCAAAACTTGAGAGCCCTGTAATTGCATATACAAGCACAACTTTTACTGTTGGATAAATTAGTATTTCATTCATTTCATTTCATTTTCATACTTTGTCATTCCATAAATATTCAAAACATTCAATACAAACAAGGAAAATTCTCAAACATGTGAATGAAAGGGAACAGAAAGAAGAAAAATCTTATAGAGTCTTACCATCTTTCATAATATATCAATCAACTTAAACACATAATAAAAATAAACAAGAGCTGCAAGCCAACGTGCCTTTTTACAGTTCATTATTTCTTATTTTCAAAAGCAATCCACAAAACGAACAGAAAAGACCACATTAAATAACATTTTTTCACTTTTTTTTCAACAAACATACCAAGACTTAGATTAACATATTCTCCTGTATTTATCAACATACTGGCTTTGAGATTTTTTTGAAGATAAATTTTGATTTAGCTTCTTTAGTTTCTTTGTTCAGATTTTTCCAAAAACGTATTCCTCTCACTGTAACACAGCGCTCCTCCAGTTTAGCTTTGAATCTTGGCTTGTTGAAGATTTCAAATCCTTTTAAATTATAACTCTGGATGTTGACTGGTAGAAATTTTCCTATGAGCTCTATACATAATCTGCAACATACTAAAATCTACTAACTCACTAATTTCAACAACTGCAGTTTAACAAACAATGGGTTTAAAGGATTTGTGTATTGACGTCTACTAATAATTCGTATTGCTCTTTTTTGTAAAATAAAAATTGGCTGGATGGAAGTTTTACATACACTTCCCCACACTTCAACACAGTAGGTCAGATATGGAACAATAATAAAATTATACAAGCGGTACAAAGCTTTATCATCTCAGTAGTCCTTTACTTCATCTTAAAGCCTATGTGTAGGCAGTTGTTTATATGTGCTTTTCTATGTTTTATGTCTTAAATATGTTTTGAGCTCATTTTGTTATCCATTATCCAATGTAAAGTCACCCTGTCTGTACATAACCAGTCTTTGGTTATGTGGGACCAAGCCTAAAAGTGAAGTTTGTATGTGTCGTGAAGAAGTGTGAACTCATAGTATCACTGTGAAGCACCAAAGGCCTCCACTATATCTCTGCTAGCCTCAGGTAACAGATGGTATTTTATCTATGTAGCATGCTAACCTGCAGCACGTGCTAGACCGAACTTGGCTCTTCGCGGAGTTACCGCCGATGAACCCTTCGCCTTTGAGAGTAGCCTTAATTTTAACGTTTGTAAAAGTACTATTTCTGTAGAGGAAGGTTACAACTTGACAAAATGCTTCCATCTTTATTTTAATTATCAAAAGTGTCGCATTAATATTCGGTTTCAGTCAGTGTGGCTAAGAGTTCACCGAGTTTACTGTTGGAGCTGGCAGTAAAACACATGCCATGTCCGTATCATTAATAATAATGAATATTTTAGTAATCATTGCTCATCAGAGGATAAGATTTGAAGGCTAACCCATCAGTTAAGTTTTATACACTAAAGAAAAAAATACACTTACCGGTACTTCTTTTGCACAAGCAGTTAAGTTTTGCACACCCAAACAGTGTTTTCAATAAGTGCACATGTTCACCCTCAGTTAAAAGTCCAGCACATCAAGTCTATGGTCCGGAACGATTTACACGCCTTCCCCATTGTTTTAATCTACACTACAGTAGCATACGGAGTCTGACAGCGACACCTACTGGCCGTAATATGAAATAACAACGTGGTAAAAACGCGACTTTGGACCTCTATATTTAAAGAGGACATGAAACACACCACATAGGCATCCTCACGTGGTAAACAAATATTTTTTTTGTGTGAAAAATCATCTGTTAAATAGGAAAACCGCTTTCAGGAGTGTATTTACGACATGCGCACAGAGCCATCTTGAGTTTACGACAGTTGTGACGTCACGGGTTGTGCAGGAAAAGAGCGGTGAAATAGTAATTAGTGTACATGACTCAATCGCGTAGCGGTAAGATGTCGGAGGACGAACTTGAGATGGATGTGGTGGAGGTGTATCCTGCCAACCCGATGGCGTATGCCTTTGAACACTGAATACTGATGTTTACATCTGATCGCTGCTGCATGCATGTGTGAGCTGCGGAAAAGCTGTGGAGAATCACCAGCCGTTTCAGCAGCAAATGATGAAAATGCAACGTTATTTTATTTCTTACGTTGTAAAATTGGTTGGAGCAGCCTGACACAAAACAAAATACCCCTCCTCTAGTGCGTTTACTCGTCTTTGGCTCTCGATTCGCCATTTCAGCCATCATAATCTGCTCTCATTCAATTGTCGATACACGGGCTACACAACCGATGACGTCACGCAAAGTGGCACTGCTTTACGGTTCCGCGCAGTGTCGCTAAAGTGGAACTTTTTCTAGAAATGTATTACATTCCTCTTTAAGCTTCAACCCTCTTCACAATGGACTTCCTCTGTAGTTGATTACAAAACAGTGGGATAAACGGAAGGAAAGCAAGAGAGCTCTGAGAAATCATTTTCTTTTTTATTAAAAACAGTATTGCTAGTTACATAATTCATTCATAAATGAGAATGTGCAACTTTAAGAGCCAAGGCAAAGAGATTACGGTGTAGTCAATAATCAGATTTTCCCATTAGTGTTTCAGTACTGATGACCAATGGAGGTTTTTGTTTAGCTAACTTGTTTTGCATTTCATTTAAGACAAGAACTGAATGTTTTTCAATCAAACATGAAAACTGATTGCATATGCGTTCACCCAGAGCACCCAAAACAATTAAACCCAAATCCACATTATAAAAAGAAATACATAAAACCATTAAAATTAACAAATATTCTCTTGTATATATAGTTTAAATGTGCTTTGATTTTTCATCACTTATCTAACAGCAAAGTCTGGTCTATGCCTCCTCACACAGATTTTCAAACAAACCCTTACTCTCTATTTTTCCCCCTTCCCCTTGAGTCAGTTCATTTTTGAAAAGGCAACATGTTTCTTTGCAAAATGAGGCATCCTCTGTCATGTTTTAATTAGCATGGAAAACAAAGGCAAAAAGGAAAACACACATTATACCCCCTAGTGCTTTTTAATCATCCACTCAGTAAGTATCTACATCTCACTCAGCACTAAGAGTATGCATTGTTTCCTACAGAACAAGCACTGTAGTTAAATCTGGGCAAAAATCAACAATACTCCGTCTCTTTCCCATTTACTTTTCTGTTTGTTTAAAGCCAGCTAGGCCATGGGTTTGTGAAGAAGTAATTTATACAGAACTCAATAGTTTTATATCTTATAAAAAACAATCCAATGACAAGAATCAACTCTTACATACTTACAAGTCAACATGTTCCATAACCTTGCAGGATAGAAAACTGCTGAGTTCTATATACAGTATCTCCAACATGTGTAACCTACTGAGAAAAAAAAAAAAAGACACCTTTTTGGTTACCTTTGTCATGTTAGACACACTCGGATGAGGCACTCCAGTAAGCCCAAGCAGTTACGATCAGAGACAGTCTTGTTTGTACACATTCATAAGATCACAGACCAGAGTCAAGGGGCTTACATTTGACAGAAACAGACCGCTCTGTCTATTTAAACAAGATGTACAATCATTTATTATCTCTCTATTTCTGTCTGTAGGAACACCCACACTAGCATCTCAACTCTTCTATCTATAGATCACAATCAGATACAGAAAATGCAGCATCCCCATGCATCTTGGCAAAGGACTGTCACCAACACTGACTGAGCACAAAACAAAGCAGATGATGGTAGCTGTTGTAAAAAGTCTGAGTGTGTGTGTGAAGTTCTCGCATTCAGTATTGGCAGTCGCAGCATTAGCAGTGTCATTTGGCACATGTGCATTACTGTGGTACAAAGCAAAGCAGGAACAACCACTACCAAAACAGAAGCTGAAGCTTTACACATATCTTGTTGGTAGTTTTCTTGAAAGTATATAACAATCACAAAGAAAGTTACACATTCCCTCGATTTCTTTCAAAGTGTCAAGCCAGTTATGTAAAATTTCACCCCAAAAAAGTGTCCTGTTCTGAACCCAACAGGTCTTTCTTAATTTGCTTCATCAGTCTTTGCTCTGATCTCAAAGAAATAGAAAAGTTCTCAGATGAATCCACAGTACTTGTTTTTTTTTTTAACAAAGTAAGGAATAGTGTTCTCCAGGCGAGTCGTGATGTTGCTTCATGGAGTTGTAGTGTTGTCGCTGTGGTATCTGGTTGAGTGGTTAGTGTTACGTAGTTCAGGAACTCGCTGATCATAAAGTGGTCAAAGTGTCTTGTCTGGTTCGTCCACAGGAGGAGAAGATTCGCGTCAGTTTTTCCACATGGTTTCATTAAGTTTGTCAGCTGCAATGAAGGAATGTCACAAAGGGAGACAGAGAGAGAGAGAGAGAGAGAGAGAGAAAAGAGGGACAGAGGAGTTGAGTGTCAAAGACGGCGTTTAATCCCATCTTAGTGTTGTGGTCCCTCATTGTCAGTTCAGCAGGGGCAGTAGGTGGGAGGAGGCTGTCGTCTTGTGATGCACACAATCAGTTTTTCTGCAAGAGAAGAAAAGCGAAAGTGTGGGAATTGATCGCGCAGGCCGGCTCATGTCAAAGTTTCATGCCTGTGTGGACGAAATGGCACATTTAAAAAATTCAGATTTGCAGAAGAAAAAAATCAAATACAAAAATACAACTTAAAATAGTGGCTGCTGGCAACAAAGTCACTACACATTGGACACAAGGCTCACAAACTGTGCGGAGAAACGAAACACAACCACATCTACAGAGAACAAAATGAACATCACTTTTCACCAGCAGGGTGGGCAAAAAACAACTATTACATATCCATTAACAGTGGATGCTCACTGTCAGCACTGATACTGAACAACACACGGTGATCAATTCATTATTACACAACTCGGATATAAGGCCATGCAGTGAGTGGAGAGCAGCCGGTGGACACACATACCATGCACTGACATGCAGTGAGACAGTGGGTGTAGCCTAACCATCGTAAGAATCCATTAGAGGCAAAGAGGCCTGCCTCTCCCCATACATCCCTCCCTGAGATAGAGAGAGAGAGACAGAGAGAGAGAGAGAGAGAGAGAGAGAGAGAAAGAGAAAGAGTGTGTAGACAGAGAGAGAGAGAGCAGTAGAGAAAAGCACGAGAGAGACAGAGACCACAGCAGACATTTGAGGTCAGTTAGAGGGTTAAAAAGAAACAGGAGGTTAAGTGTGAAAATCCAAGAGGAAGGTGAGAAGATGAACCATTGGAAAAAAAGAGAGAAAGGAGGAGCGAGAGAGCAGAGTTTAGTTAATCAGATAAATATACAAGAGGAGAAAAAAGTCTGACAGAGGTTAGTTTACTGTTAGGTCATGTTTCAGAGGATAAAAAGACCACCTGTGTGAAATCATGTGCAAGACACAACTGTAGTGCTTGAACGAGACATGCACCGACATGCTGTCTGTGGGTGTGTGTGAAAGCATGTCCATTCACACGGTAACGTTTTTAGAGGGAGCTGAGGATGTCAGTCTGTGTATCATCCTTGAATCTGGAGCCTTAAAAGCTCAGACTGAACCAGCTTCAACTCTGTCCTGAGTTTTCCAGCTTTCAGACTGAGTGTGAAACCACACTCAGCGCGGGCTCACAGATTTGACCGAGATTTAAAAGTTTTGCCGAGCTGGGCGGAGAAACTGCTTATAAATAAATAAATAAGATGATCACTTTTATGTGATAGTTTTTCAACTTCACGGATATCGATTTAGACTTTCCAAACAGTAGATTGAGACATTACATAAACAAATAAGTCTGCAGTCTTCCCGTTGTTCTCCAAACATATATTTTTTAAATTCCAGTCAAACACTTTTCTCTGTTCTGTGCGACACTGTTTAAACATGAGGAGCCAGATAACAACCTCTTCCTTCTATGGAAATATAAAAATGTCATTCCAAGTTGAAAAAAGAAGATGATGGTAACATTAAGGTTGGCGATAATCTCACTTAAACAGACATACATACTTACACTGAACACTGCACCTTTACTGCCTGCAACTTTTTGCGCTTGGCTGTTTCGGCTGAATGAGCGGTTTAAGTCACGAGATGTCTTAGAATTGGGAGATGATAGATAACAGAGAAAGCAGGCTGAGCTGCACTTAGCTTGACCTGTAGGCCCTCAATGCTGTTTTTTTAACCACTATGTATCATGTATTTCACAGTATTCATAAGATTTTACTATCTTGGCTAAAGATGCACCTCAAACTAGGATTGGGTGATTATATGATCGTGATAAATTTTAGTTTGATCACAGTGATCAGCTGTGAGCATATTTATTCGATCAAACATTGTGGAAATGTGTGTCACAACAGCCAATCAGAGTAGAGCTTTTCCTGCTCACTTCTGTAAGTCGCCGAAGAAGTAAACAGAATGACCGAACATGGGGCTAAATGCGGAGCTGAGGGCAGAAAAATAGATGTCAGCCATGATTTTTAGTCATCCTCCAAAGATGTTATTGTTGAGAAGTTATTCAACGTCGGTTGTGTGGTGATGGTTTGGTTATCTCCATAGTGACGTTGAGTAATTAAGCCGATGTGCAAGGTACGTCGGCGGTCGGCGCCCTCAAAAACCGGCAACAACAGATCTGTTTCATAATTTGAAGTTCTTCCGGAGTGATTATGCGGAAAGCATGAAAATGTGAGCGGAGTCTGTACAGCCTGTCACTGCTGACAGCACGAGAAGCATTAGCAGTTTAACCACAACTAGTGGTGCAGCTACCAGACCACTGCAGCAATCAATCGTATCATCTACGTATACGTCATCTAATGTTTACATTTTAAGGCGTCTTCATTATCTCTGAGGGGGCGATTTGTTTATTTTGGGTCTTGCAAACCTGCAAAAACACTCAGGACTGTAAACTAGTTCACTGTATTATTTAATATTTATCTACTTTTGTTGTGTTGTTGAGTAAAAATGGTTTTTGTATTTTTATTAAGTGTATCTTGTTCTTTGTTATTTACTATGTATGTTAATAAAATGTTGAACTTCTCTAGTTTTCAGTACAGATGCTTTAAAACTGGAAGTTTAAAAAAAAATCGTGATAATAATCGAGATCAGATGATATGACAAAATACGTATATCGTGATAATTTTTTTTGCCAAATCGCCCAGGCCTACCTCAAACTGACATAAGCATGTTTACCAAGAGATCAAAATAGTGAGTTTATAAAAACAGACCTGAAAATATTGAAAAGGTCTACTGAAGCACTCAGACTTCCACTAAGGTCAGTATAAGGGTGTAGAGAGTATGTAATAGAGTTACTTTGACATGTGAAGCCATTAAGTTTTACTCACTGAGTTCAGTCATGCAGGAAAATGGGAAGGTGTGTTTTGCATAAGTTTTACCTGTACTGCATCTTTGTCAGTAGGTTCGAGAGTGTTATCCAGAGTGCCTCTTCTCCCTTTCTGGTCCAGTGTGGAGTAGGCATCTGGGAAGGGGACGGATCATTAATCTCAGGCACCAGAGGTGAATTTTAAGCAAGAGCATGACAAATACACTCATGGCGATGCTGTTGTTTTATTTCTCATTTACCTGGTCCCATGTCATTCATTGGAATCATTTCACGGTCCCCCTTTCCTCCTGTGTATTAAGAGCACAAAAACAATGAGCATCAATGTGCACTGTTAAAACCTTTCTGTTCCCTCACAGAGACAGTGTTGGTCCACACAGTCTCCTGCCAAAGATAGAATCCTGTGTGGGTGTTGAGCATTTCGTAAGTGTTTCAAGTGTGAGACATGAGCCTGTCGGTTTTTGTGACCACACATTTGAGGTTATTCTGCAGTACATTCAGTGTAGTTTGGGTAACTTTTACTTCAGTGTAAGATCTGTAAGAGAGCACAACATAAAGAAGGGGACTGACAACTTCAGTAGCTGCGTTGACATGGGCACATATTATCAGAATAAATTCCCGATCAGGATAAAATGCTTTATGTAAACATGTCGATCGGAAGATTCTGATCCAAGTCGGCTCAATCGGAAAGAAATTATATTCCGATCAAGTGGGGTGGTTTATACCGAGCGTTATTCCAAAACGCGTCCATGTAAACACTAATTCCGATCGTGACTCTTTTACCTGACTCGGTCTTCACTCTTTAGCCTTTGGTTTATTTATTAAGGCCAGTAGAGGAAGTTTCATTATGAACACTCTGGCATAAAACACAATCACAGGTGATGATGTCACATCTGCACGCACAGAGCAACCTTTGACAGAGCAGTAAAATAAGTACGCAAGGGCGCCATCTAGTGACAACATTTAACCAGGGGAAAACTCCTGAACTGGATGGAGTGAGCCACGACCGTGTTTGTTGGTTTGTTGACAGCACATGCGTAAATACAACTCTTCTTCTGCGGTTGTTTTGGCGAAGTTAGACAACTCTGCACATGTCCAAATTGTTTTCGTTGACGAAAATATTTTGTCAACGCCCCTTTTTTTCCACGACGAAGACATGACGTTGACAAGCTAAACATAAGTCTTAGATGACTAAAACGTGACGAGACGAATGTGCGTTTACGTTGACGAGACGAGACTAGACAAAAACGTTAGTGGTGGACGACGAACGGAGTTGCAAAATTCATGAGCATTTCGTCAGTCAAACACTAAACATATATTCTGCCGTGTTGACGATGACGTTGACGAAATTTTCGTCAACGTCATCATCAACGAAAACAACACTGGCTTGGTGCATGTGCACGTCATGATCGGATTATTTGATCCCTAAAAATTTTTATTGGACCAAGAGTTTTTTGCCCATGTAAACGTGGCTACTGTCTGCCCTCCAAACAGGTTGAGACACACTAAGGTACCAGCTGCAGTTTCTGTTAAGTATTATTACGTCTGCAAACAACCAAAAACTTAAAGCACAAAAGGAATCTATGGGAATTCTAGAGCTTGAGTCAAACAAACTACATGTGTTGCTCCTCATTAAGCTCTAGATGAAAAGCTGTTGAAGTGCTCTCTTTATATTCAGCATGGATCAGACTCGAGTTCCTGTTAGAGCCAAAAGTGTATGCAAATTAAAATAAAAAGCCAGAAAGCCAAACTAAGTTAAAATGCGAAATGCAGACAGGGACAAAAGTCATCCGTTAATGAGTACAAATTTCAGAGCACATTTGAGCCGACAGTTCAGCTGCAGTGGAAGTTAGTATGCTGCATAACCGCTGGTTAAATGTCATGACCTTTGTCTATGAGCGGCAGAGTGCTGTCCTCATATCCTCCGTTGGCTCTCGTGTTGTTGCTTGGAGGGTTCAGGTTGACCATGAAGTCTGTCTTCTTCCAGCCGTCTTTTTCCAAAGTACGCCGCAGCTCCTTGTAGCCCCACACTGTCTGCAGCACCATGCCGGCCCCACGCACCTCCCGCTCTGAACGGTTTCTGATGACACCAGAGCACAGGTGAGGAGAAGAGAGAATTAGAGAGGCTAAAAGAAATCATAATGAAGGACTAAGTCATGTGCTAAGTTCCTGCAGTCTACAAAATTAAGAAATAAGAAAACTAGACCCTCACCCGTCCTTGTTAATGAGCACCAGTCTTTCAATGCCCTGTGAGGCCCTGAGGGTCTTGGCTGCTTCCAGGCTAGAGCCCAGCACCTCATGGAGCGTGCTCAGTACTGACACCACTGTCTCCTCTGACAACGCTCGCACAGGCTGACTCTGGCCTCCACCTGGCAGGTTGGCCACCAAGTGAGGCACCGCATGTTTACCTGACAGCACACAAACAATAAGAGGAATATTAAACATGAAAAAGCACAGCAATGCTGATGCACAGTTTCTGTCACACAGCTCTGAGTCTCACCTAGTAGATCTCGGTTGCGTGCATCGATGGCCAGGTTACGGAGGGCTCCAGACATAGCGCGAACTACACGGTCATTACCATGGGCCAGCAGCTCAGTCATCATGGGTAAACCTTTCTCCTGGCGCAGCAAGGCACGGATGTATCGCCCATACTACGATCACAAAATTTTAACCCATTAATCATGAGTCTAGCCACGTTACATTCGACAGAACATGATAACAGGGGAACATGTTACATCCTGTCAAAATGACTATTCATGAATCATTTTTACAGTCTGCTTCTGCCAAGAACCATAAGGAGCCTCTTGAGTCTAAGTTTTGCTCTGCTTACGCAGGGAGTGTAAATGCTGAACCTGAAAACATGCACTGTGAAATGCAAATCATGAAAATCTGCTAGGAGTGTGAATCAGCTGTTAGCTTGAGAGTCTGATGATCTTTTTTTGTCCCTAATAGATTGAGTGCCATTTAGTCGATCAGATACAAAAATGAATAGCTCATCATTTGACCCCGGTTTTCAGAAAAGTATGCATGATATAACAGACAACCTATGCTGTAAGACTTTATTCATGAGCAGCAGGTCTTACAGTCCAGCGCCCAGCACACAGGTTCTGGACAGCTCCCGCTGAGGCCTCCAGCACAGTGGGGTTCTTGGACTCCTTTAGCAGAGAGGTGTAGATGCGGACAACCTCTGGCTGGTACAAAAGCTCAAAGCCTGCAGGAGAGAGGGAGAGTTATGGATAGAAGACATGATAAACGGCAAATATGGAGAAGACACGGGCAGAAAACAAAAAGGAGATTTGGAATTAAATCAAGTAGGGCAGGGAAAGTCCCTTGATCGATTAATCGTAAAAATGAACGATCAATCATCGATTTCACCTTTTTTTTATATGTGAATGGCAGAAAATATGCAAAAAAACATGTTTTTCCTCATTAAAATACCCCCCCTCCCAACTCTTGTTCGAAATCAGGGATGTCTGGTAACCCTAAAGATTTTCCTTGCTAGCGCATTTACAAATGCGGCACAATATGGAAAGGACTCAAAAGGAAATTCCTACAAAATATTGAAGGCTCTAATAACTACAGCAAGGCACAGACGGTTAAACACTTTGACTGAAAACACGACATGCGATTTAAAAAAAATATTGTAATACGTACAAATATGTGCAGTGAAATCTAAAAATAATTCCAGTTATTCCAAACAACCTACAGATACTTTAAAATCAGAAAGGTAAGCTCTGCACTTTTTATTATAAATTCACAATTCCTACAATTAAAGCTTTTCCCCAATCACAAAGGATGTGAAATCATGATGTAGTTTTTGAGGCGGTATCTGCCAGCGCTATCGTCAATAAATGCATGTTCTCCCTTTAACAGCATCCTCCCGTGTTTAGTCTGAAAAGATTCACTAGAGCCCGTAGTTACCTTTAGCAGGTGTAGTCCTCTTTGGAATGTCTATTACGTCTGCAGCTGCGTCCTCATCTTTCTTCCCTGGAATCGAATACAAAGAAAAGCTTTAGTGGCAGATCCTAAATATAAAAATGCAGTTTCAGAGAACAGGTTCTAACATTAGTGCTTTTGTTCTACTTTGGTTAGACAACAGACATACACTAGGACCAGAAACTTAGATGCATTTTGGGTATTTCACTCCAGTGGTTTAGAGTTAACAAAAGGACGTGCGTGTTAGTACACAGAGAGTCACGTTGACGCGTTAGTTCAGCTACTCTATGACTAGCACCACGATGACAGGCAGCAGAAGCGTAGTCATAAAGAGGTTAAGAACTTACCTTTGGAAAACCACTCATCTGTAGCCCAGGCCGAAATGGGAGGAGAGAAAAGGAGAGGAGAGAAGGAAGGGGCAAAAATGGGGGGAACAAGAGCAAGGGGGGAAGAGAGAGCATTTACAGTAAGTAAGGAGGAAGCAGCCATGACTGAGCCACCCAGTTAACACCTGCAACCACCCCAACAGCGCTGCTGCCGCCACACAGAGGTCAGCAATGTGACATGCCGAGTACCAGGCTTTAAAAAAGATCATGAAAGCACACAACAGCTCATATAACCCTTGAACACACACATACACAAACATACAAAATGTAGTTTAAATGTGCGAAATTTGGTCACTGCTATGTTCATCTCGGAACAGCACACAACATCATAGGGACCAACAATCCACTGAGAAGTGTATGATCAAAACTTCACTGGTCCTCCTGGTCTTAAAATCCTCTTTCAGAGTTCAGTCAGTTGAAACTTCACCAAACTTCATCTATCTGATCTGTATGATTTCAAACCAGCAGAGTTTTCCAGTCTCATCTGGAGACATGCAGCTGCCTCAGTAAGAGAAGTAGCTCGATCAAGTAATGTGTACTGTTGTTTATTCTACCGTTACTGCTCTACACGGCTAACAGTGTAGCAGGGCTAATAGCAGGTGGCGAACTCTAACTTTAGTATGCATATTACAGGGTGCTTTATCGTTAACTCGGCGTGATCGAGACCAGCACGGTGGGGAACACCGTGAAGTGGGTTGAACTGAAACGTGTTGACTTATTGTGTACTTCAAAAACTGGTTTATTTACCGTTGAGGCGGACCACTCTACTCCGTGCGTCTACAGGATAAGTCGGGGAACTTTTCAAATGGCCGATAAATCGGTCGGGCCCTAGTTTTTATATTGTTTCAGAGCTCATCTTTTCAATGATCATCAGACATTGATATTCCAGCTTTGGTTTAAGCACAAAAGTGCATTAAAAATCTAGATTGTAAGAACTAGATTGTACTAGAAAGAGTCAAAAACAAAGTCTGGTCTATGCTGATAAATGATTTGAAAGCACAAACAAAACTCCTGAACAGGAGAAAAGCTATGGACATGAGCCAGAAACAAATCAATACTCCCAGTGAAAGGAACAGAGAGCCACAGAAGAGAGGGTGAGCTCTCTATCATCGCTGAAATCGTTCACATTCCTGTGCAAGCGAGTGATTTGTTCGAGTGTGTGTGTGTCTGCAGGCTTGTGTGAGTGTGTTTGGATCAGTCTGGTGAGACTGTGACATCATCACCAATGTTCCTCTTGCTTGCTGAACAAATACAGTGTGTGTCTCTATTTCTACAACACGGACCTTTGCCCTTTCGGGAGCTGAAGCAGCCCCCCTTCTGGCTGGAGGGGGCGGGGCCCTGGTTGAGGGGTGCGGCCTCCTGGTAGCGTTCACAGCCTGGGATTTCCCTGTGCACCTGATAGGACAAGTTCCTCAGGAGACACACGCTGTTTTCTATCAACTGGAGCAAAGATGAGAGGAACAGCAGAGTGACAGAGTGAAGGAGTGAAAGAGGGGAGGAAAAAAAAAGAGTTATTAACATCAAGTCTGTATTTATGCATATTTAAGAGTGTGGAATTGTACTTTTGTAATGTGACAACACAAATAACTTTATTATGAAAAAACAAAGCCTGGAGTCTCAACTTCCTGCCAGGCTCTACTACAGCTCACTCGAGAGTGGCGGCTAAGAGACGTCACAGTGGAGTAAAGGGAGAGAGATAAGAGTGACAGAAAGGTACCCAAGCAAGGATAAGTTTAACAAACATTTAACTCAAGCCTGTGAAAATGACTTTACTGTTATCATAGGGCTGGGCGATATGGCTTCAGATCAATATCACGTTATATCAGTGTTGTTTTCGTTGACGATGACGTTGATGAAAGTATTTCGTCATAGGACAGTGTCTTAAGAGGGACATGAGACCATAGCTTACCTTCACACATCCAAAACCAACTTTTACTTATTTATTTATTTATTTATTTATTTATTGTTGACAATGAATATACCGACATGGAAAAATGATGTTGGTTATTGTCATAAATTTCGGTATCGGTAGATTTTTGGTTTGTGTGTCATCGTCAATGTGTCATCCTATGTCATCGTCAATGTTAATAATGAAATGTTAGCGACAGTAAAGTTTAACATTAATGATACAAAGTTTTGTCTTTGCCGTTTTTTCTCAAACTCCCCTCATCTTGAATCGTTTTAATGTGTAGGTAAAGGCAGACCTGAGGAACAGGCTAGCAGCATACATGCTACTTGTCATCAGTGGGCCACCTGTAACTGACTTTCCATACAGCAGAGCTCTTCTTTAAAAAACCAAGAAAAATGAAGTGCTCTCAGCCTGGCTGCAAACTAGGCCATTCGATAAGGCTCAATTATGTTTGTGCTAAATCAATTATTTGTTTATTCAAGTTTAAAGTTGTGATAATATTTTTTTATTTTTAATTTCTGGGTTGAGGTGGGGTGGGGGCAGTTTGAAAGAATCCTGGAGGAAACCCTGCTGTCATTCAGACAATTCCTGTTTTTGGGGCAAACGTTTCATGTTTCAGCGGGACAATACCAATCACAGTATGGCTCTGGTTCCTGATTTATCACCCAATGAAAACATTCAGTGCATAATGGAACAGAAAATACAACAGAAGAGACCCAGAACTGTTGAGCACATGAAATCTTGCATAAATTAAGAATAGCACGATATTTCAGTCTTTTCATTTTTGATTTTTTTAAACTGTGGCAAAGCATACTGACATTCATAAACGATCGCAAAGCTCAAATGTGAGTTTGTATTCACTTTCACACACAGAATTCCCTAAAACACTTTAAAATAGTTAGTAAAAAAATCTATTAATTTGTCAAATTTGTCAATAATCCAAAGGTTCACATACCTTATTGTCCACATCTTTACAGTCAATCTGGGACTGGACAATGTACATGAGAGAATCAACCAATCCTGTGCACTCCCTTAGCTTCCTTCTTGCCTCGCTCCGCTCTGAACTCACGTTTCTTTCGAGAAAGTTGAGGAGAGAAAACAATGTTAAACAAAAGGCACAGATGAGCAATGTGAAGTCAGGAGACTAAAGGTGGTCATTTGCAGAATGTTGGGGCAATGACAAAGTTAATTGAAGTGATTAGAACAGGATTCCAGCACACAATGCTCAAACGCCCCCATGAGTTGTTGAAATGAAACTTGTGTTAAGACTTCTGGTTTACAAAGAGAGTACAGTTTGGTCAGATCAAGTTACAGCTCTGGACCAATTTCTTCAACTGACTCAGTCCTACTAAGAGGTTCAGGACTTGATGGATGGAAACAAGAGGAAACTGAGACCCACTCAGCTCTTCATGCATTGATGTAGAAAGCTTTTAAAGGAAAAAAAAAAAAAAAGAGGGTGAAAACTGTGGAATGATATTCAGCCTTGGTCCTTTGTGTCGGCTTGTTTTTCCCAGTGACAGACACGCCCTCTAATACAATACCAGGGCACATTCCCTTCCTCAGCAGGGGGCACTGATTTCACCTCACTGCACAGTTCAGGGACTTTTATATGCCGCAGCAGCTGAATAATGAATATAAAGTGCTGACTAAATCAAATGTTGACTGCAGAATAGGACAAGACTCTCACAAAAGATAAGCTTAGCTTTAAGTTAAGTTAAGCTTCGTGCAGGTGTGGCCAATCCTCAAAGGAAGACAGTGAAAAAAAAGCTGAACTTGTGAGCAGAGTATTAGCACTACAATCAGAGAAAGATGGATTAATCGGCTTTGGTCCTATAATAATCAGCCAGGGTGTGTCAAACTGCAAGATCTGATGTGTCAAAAAGCCTGTTCAGTAGCATATAAAGCTGGTTAGGATACTTGCATTCAGACATGCTGAAACTCAGAGAATTAAAGTCAACAGGGCAGGAAGAGTAAAACTCTTAAGCCTTGTTAAAATATGGTATTAACACCCATTCTGGGTAATCTGATCACAAGGACAAGGGAAGGACCAAGAAAATATCTTTGACGCACTGAGGCTTAGACCACATCAGCTCTGAAATCATTTTAACATTTTGCATTTAATTAGTTTGGGAAAAAAAATTACATTGGTGTAGCAGCCGTTATACTTCTTCCTACAGCCTGTTTTGTGAAAAGCAATTCATTACTGTCACATGATCATTTGAAATATGCTCCTAGTGATCACTTCCCTCAGAGGAAACATCTGCACGTTTGATCATATGATATTAATGGTACGAAACAAACCATTCCTCTAGTTTTCTCTGCAGCACGAAGTTACTCACACATGCTTCTGTTGACCCGCAGAGGAACATTGTAATTAACCATGTGGTCAAAGGGAATGCAAAGAAAGCATACAGCAGGCTTCAACACGCTGTTTACTCTGTGAGGGTCAATGTCCCCATGTCCTCTGTTTGCCCTCCTCCCATGCACTCTGAAATTCCCTTCTCATCCTCACCTGATCTAAAAGGGTTGACTGAGAAGCTGCAGATCTCTGTGGATTTTTTCTTTCAATTCATATCCACAGTTTACACTTATTTATTTACACACTCGAACATGATTAAACATGACACTCTCTCAATATGAGCTAGTATCGGAATAAAAGCCTCTGATGCTCAAACTAAAACAAGATTGTTTTTCACATGCCACTAAATTACACTTCATTTCGTTCGTTTATGATGATGTAAACACTTCTGTTTTATCCACGAAGATAGAAGAACGAAGATAGGAAAAAAGTCTGCAACACCAGAACCAGCTCCAATGCAAAAAGATTTGTTAATGTTTACATGACGTTCTGAGCAAGCAGTAGTGTTGTAGTACTCGACATCGTTCTTTTTTGAGGGTCTCGGTGTCGTCTCGGAATCGAAGGCATTTTCACTCGGTCTTGTCTCGGAGTGAGCGGACAGGTTTTTAAATGTAACCAGTCAAGCTAATAACTAGTGAAATAAGTAGAGAAAGATGTCTGCCAACTCAGCAATAATTAAGTTTGGTTTCCTAAACCTCAAGGAGTTTACTTGTGAAACGACATGCAAGCGAAAACACTCAGCAGTGTGCGAATTCTGCAGTGCACAACTCACAGAAACAGCTGGTACGACTTCAAACTTTTACCGTCACCTCGAGGGGAAGCATAAAGACAGGTAAGCTAACGGTTACCATACAGTAATGTTGTAGTACTCGAGATCGGTCTTGGTCTCGAGACCGGTCTCAAGACCATTTTTTGAGGGTCTTGGAATCGAAGGCATTTTCACTCGGTCTTGTCTCGGTCTTGGACCTCTCTGGTCTCGGTAATGTCTTGGTCTCGGTTGGTGCAGTCTTGACTCCTTTATATGTTCTATAAAGTTTACATACATATATGTAAACTTTAATAAAAACTTTTTGCATTCAAGCTTGTTCTGGTGTTGCAGACTTTTTTCCCACCTACATTTCATGTTTTTTGTTCCCACCCACCCAACTCTGGGCTGTAAGGATGTGCGTGTTTTTTTTCTTTTCATTTCTATTATTCATGTTAAGAGCGTTGTGAAATTTCCAATTAGACAAAAATTCCACTGTCTCCTTCTGCGTAACGTGTCTGCAAATATCTTTACATAAACTCAGATGCCTGCAGTCAAAGCAAGTCCATCTCTCTTGCCACTCCTTCTGTGGGATCCCTGGGTGCTCCCTAGCCAGATGGATTGTACAATCCCTCCAGCCAGCTCTGGGTCTACCCAAAGGCCTGCTACCAGTTGAAGTCTTTCGATTGCAACAGAATATTTTTGTTCAGATTCTGGTAATTATGACATTGAAAAGTTCAATGTAAAAACAGCCTGTCTCTCCTCCCCATGGTGATTTTTTTTCCTTCCTCTCTGTTAACATTAGCTTACATCCTACTGCTCTGCCAGTCTGTTAAACTGGCATGTTTCCATTTTCATCCCTTGCAGAATTTCACCAACCCTCCTTCAATCTGTCCATCTCCTTCATATCATTAGCAACAGTTCAACAGCTCCTTCCCTCCATACCTCAAGCAGCCTGCTGTGTTGGTTAGGGCAATTTCCCATTCAAGATGTCTAGGCTTGCAGTTCTCTTCCCCTCCTCCTGCTCCGTTGCTCCCTCGCTCCCAGCCTGAATGAGGCACCATCACTTCATCTGAGAGGGCGTGCAGAGCGTGATCCACGATCTCCATTTTCACAGAGTCATGGGATGACAGGTTCCACAGCGTTCCTGAGAGAAAAGTACAAATGAAAATATGCAAAAAAAACCAAACTCTTTTTTATCATTAATATTTTTCAATATCATTAATATTGATCTGTCTGCTTGGTCAATTGTCTGCATGTCATTCACAGCATGTGGAGGCATTGATCATGTATCCTGTCAGGGTGTGCATTGAATTACAGAACAGATCACGCTGTTTTCTGCTGTAAAAGACAGACCACGAACAACAGAGTAATATCTGCTCATCTCTTTTCTAACAAACTAATCTCTGTCCAAATCTATCACTGACATTCCCAACTCTTTTCTCAAAGCCTTTTTCCAATTTGACCAACTTACATAAAATATTTGACCAAAAGTTGAATGAATCAATTAGACAACAGTCAACAGTACAGATGCACAATATCTTTGTAGCTGTGGTGTCCTCAGCACTTTCTAACCTGTGATGGTGTCAGTGAGGTCCTGCTCGTGGGTCTTTCTCAGCAGCCTGATCAAAGCTGGCACTCCATCACAGTTCTTTATGGCGATCTTGTTGTCTGGATCTTTGCCAAACGAGATGTTCTTTAGTGCTCCACAGGCTGCGTAATGAACCTACAAACACACAACGGCGGCAAATTACATCAGAAGTCTGGATAGAGCATCACTTTAACGGAGCATAGACTTGATTATCACTCTCCTACATTTAATCTATCAATGACTTCAGTGTATTTTTATTTTAAATTTGGCAAGGTTTCATGAGAGGTAATTTTTTCGCATGTCAGCTTTTGGCAAAACACACTTCACACACAAAAAAAAAAAAAAAGGTGTGGAGTTCCTGTATCCACTTATAAATACTTAGAGGACACAGACACTGACCCAGTTCTCCTGCCAGCAAGACTTTAAACCTGTCATTTGCCATAGAGCATAAAATGTGAAATGTGAAATTAAGATGCTTCGGCCTTCAGAGAGGCATGCACGATGTGGTTCATCTGGTAAAGCCCGTACAAACTTCAGCAAGGCTTTGCTTCTGCTCGTGCCAAATGAAAGGGAATCAGAGAAAACCACGGACTGTTTTGGCTTTGACCGTATTTAGCACAAATGTTGACCTACAGGATTTGACAAGAAGGCAAGTATGTAATGCTTATTTCTACTTGCCTTTCGGTTGGTATTAGTGGAGCATCTCAAGTTCAAGTTTTCTCAGGCAAATGAAGTGTGGAAGTGTTATATAAGAAATACACTTCATCCTTTAAGCCTCATTTTCACCCCCCCTGGGTCAATCACAACACACTTCTAAAGTGAAAAAAGGAACAGAAAACTGAGGAGATCACAATCAACACACCTCTCTGTTTGGGTTATCGAGCATAGAGACCAGCGCTGGGATGCCTTTCAGACGACGCACTTCAGACTTCACCTGGAGAGCAAAAAAGCACATCACATCAGTGGTCTAGTGGAGTTTACTTTTGTTTCTAAAAGGTAAAGATTTGCTTGGCAGCTAAAGAACTTATTTGATTAAAAAAAAAAGGTACTGTGCAAGCTTGTAACATAAATCCCACCACATGGACTGAATGTGCGTTAGGTACTGTTGAAAACAGCAATGATCTGCTTTTCACACAACAGTTAGTGTTTTTTTTCTTATGAAGTCATGTGATGTTAACAACTCAGCGTGTTAAAAACTGTGCTTCATATAAGCTCACAATCGCAAGCTGATTTTATATCAACTTTTCTTTAACTTGGAGTGTGAGGAGCTTCACAGCTGGTTGAAGGAAAGAGACTGAATGACTGCTCCGTCATCGCCCTGTACGAATTACCTTGAGTTTTAATTTTCAATGCACACGTAACAGGAACCTGCAGTTGGTTTTGTCCTTTTCAGGCCACCACATTCTGGTTGATTAATTCACTTAAATACAGTGAGATCATCTCAACTGCTTATACCCGACTGTGTAGGCAGGCAAAATGAAAGCATGCCCAGAGCATAGAACTATAAAGTCCTGCATAAAACTGTTTCTGGAGCTTTCGTCTGACTTCGTATTTTAACTGAAATTTTGAGTGCTTTTTCTTGCTCAAATAAACTTACACAACACTAACTCTGTCACATGGTTGAACAACAAGCACGCTTCATTTTTTTACAAGTCTGACTCCTCCTGACTCACTCCCCCAGCTGTGGGCAACATAACATCCTCTTATGTCTGAGTATAACTAATAAAATCATGTATGATTGATACCTTTAATAAAGCTTTGAATATTGCAGATCTTATGAAAATGCAGTCAGTAAGTTTGAAGTTACTGACATGAAATTAAATCGGTGTACATGTGCAGCCCTTACTTTGTCATTCTTATAAGTAAGATGCTGCAGGTACGCAGCTGCGTTGCTCTTGACAGGGTCCAGTCTGTAGTTTAGCATGGCGATGACTTCTGGCAGCTCTGGTTGACGCCAGCCTGCGGGGCCTGGACCTTTCCTTAGGGTGCTGTCCAATGAAGCCATGCTACCTCTTTCACCCTGAGCCAGGGGTGCTCCTCCTCCCCAGTAGTACATCTCTGGACCACTCATATCACCATCTAAAGTGCCCTCATAACTCCTGCGTGAGAAGGTGAGGAACATTATACCTGACTACATACATGGTGGATGAGAGGCAATTTTCTAAGTGGAGATTTGATCACAAAAGGGAAGAATTATGAACTTTCCCTTTAGCAACCTACCCGGTCCTGCGTGGGGGGGCATGGGCGTACATCTGGTGGTTGCGTGGCACAGTGCTGTAGTGCATTGGTGGTCCCATGCCATAGTCGGGCTCATCATAACCCATGCTGCGCTGATCATCCTCCAGCCCGTACGGCTCTGGAACAAACCTCGGGATAGAGGACAGCTCCATGGCACTTCCCATACGCCCAACCTGCACAGAGAATTCGGACAAAAAAACTGAAACATGACTCAATCACTGCAGCAACAAACTAAAATTAAATCAACAACTATATCTGTCAGGGTCAGCCTATCCTTTCACACTCCTGGAAATGAGGTCAAATCAACACAAGTGACACACCCGTTGTTTAACATACCTGTGGCTGAGCAGCATAGGGGTCTATCTGGTTCCTGCTGTGGGCTCTGTAGTTTGGATCCAGAGTTCTGTAACCATCTGGATGGACCGGTCTGGGGAGGAGACAAGTGGTCTGAGTGTAAGATTATCCGCTCATTTTCTTTATCTAAGATCTCCAGAGAGGGATTTCAACAAACTGATACCTGTAGCGATCATCCATGCGAGCTCCCCTGTTAAGGCTAGTGTAGGCCTCAGATGGAGGTCCGCCGCGGTAGTCCTCAAAGCCTGCGGGAGGTCCGTAGTGGTAGTTGCGTGGCACTGTGTAAGTGGGAAAGTCCATGGGCACACCACCTCCAGGTGTCTGCCTATAGACCAGGTCTATGGGTGTTGTGTAGCCCCCCACCCCTGTGACCGAACCCCCGCCATCCATAGAAAGTGTGTCTGACACAGAGGGGATGACTGTGCGAGTGGTTATAGTCTTTGTAGTCTTCTTAACCTTGAAAGAGCAAAAAAACAGGAATAATAATTCAACAGTCACTGTTTACAGCTCAAAATTTTGCTCGTGAGATAACAATAGCCGGGTTTCACATGACGTCACAGTGTTGCATTGTAAGAGTGCAAATTCCAATGTTTTGTGTGGTTTTCGGCTGCTCGAATCATTTGAACTGTGAAAAGGAAAAGAGGTTTTATCGAGTGCCTAAGATCTTCACTGACAAAAGTGAACGATGGAAAAAAGTCACAGAACAACACCGTAAAAAATGGATTTTAAACCTGCAGCCGGGAGGGGCAGAGTCTGCTAATGCCCGTGTCTGCAGCGACCACTTCATCAGAGGTATGTTAGCTCGCTAACTTGGTTTTTATAGCTGTGTTTATGTAGCATTAGATTGTTGTTAAATGCTTATTTACTTAGTAACCAATATGATGAAGTTACTGGTAGTCTAATATGGACTTCATCTGGACTTTTTAGGCTGCCCTAGCGCCTTGGGTGCCATTGAGTTGGTAGACTGGGCTCCGACAGTCAACCTCGGTCCAAACCAGAGGCATCTCTCCAACGAGAAAAAAAAAGTTATATGAAAGTTATACGACAAAAAAAGTTATATGCCTCCAGACTTTTAAAGGCTTTCATCTGCTGTTTGGTGTAGATATCTGAAGGACCAGATAGTTAGTGATCAACAGCCTTGGTTGTCGGCAAATCTTGTCGAAAACTCACTAATCTCAATGAGATACGGGTCACGTCCAACATATTTGCAAATCAACAGCTCATATCTTTGAAACTGAATCTAAATTCGTACAATACAGACTCTCTGCAATGGTTTTCTCCATAGACATATTCTCCATGTTTACTTCCTGCCCTCCATCTGAAAGCGCCCAACCCTCTCACGCCATCATAATCATGTGACTAATCTAATCTCCACTAGAGTGTAACAACTAGTTACACTCATATGAATGAGTGGTTCTTCAGGCGTAGCTCTAAGACCTCGACTCATGTTTTTATGTGCTATTAATGCCATTGTTATGTTATGAAGTCCTGTCAGCTGTGGACAGCAGTGGCAAGTTGAGATAAGACCAAAGGGAGATGTTATCAAGGTCAGGTAGGATCAGGTACTAGGATACGGACTGTCTGGGAGAATGACTTTCTCACAGGTCGATATTTAAAATTAGGGGTGTCCCGATACAACTTTATTACTTCTGATAGTGATATTGTAGCCTTCAGTATCAGCTGATACCGATACAGATCTGATATTGGCACAAACTTGTGCATGACAAGTTTTGCACTCCGCTGCAATGTCTTTTTCAGACTTAGACGAAAATTACTGCCACACGGCCGACATCACTCCTACTCCTTGCTACTTTGTTTGTACCTTAGTACACACTGTTGTGTGATCATGTGGGCTCTGCATGCTGGATCTGGGCGCTGCTCGCTAGAGGTGCCGCAGTGGAGTCTGGAATGGACCACTTGTATCAGAGTGCAGATATCGGAGATTTTAGATGCAGGCCAATAGAATCCGATATTTGCTTTTTGGCTGATATCAGACCGATATCCAATATCAATATCATATCAGGACAGCCCTATTTTAAATAGTTGAAGGACTGTGTTAACACAGCGCTTTCTATCATCTAATGACCACTCAAAGCACATGTGGACAGCAGGACTTCGGATCTAACCAAGACCCTCAGATTGAGAGATGACCGGCTCTACCACTAAGTGATATCCACCTCAGCATACACAAAAAGACTGGCATCATTTATAAACAGGTCAATGTATGCTTCCTACCTTTGCTGCATTCATTAATATTGATCTGTCTGCTTGTTCAAATGTCTGCATGTCATTCACAGCATGTGGAGGCATTGATCATGTATCCTGTCAGGGTGTGCATTGAATTACAGAACAGATCACGCTGTTTTCTGCAGTCAAAGACAGACCACGAACAACAGAATAATATCTGCTCATCTCTTTCCATTCACTGAAAACACGACAACAAACTACCTGCTGTCCAAATCTATCACTGACATTTCCAACTTTTTCCTAGAGCCCTTGAATCAGTCACGAGTTAATCAGTCAAGGGGAGGGAGTCATGGCTTCTTCTCTTGTTTACACTATTCATTTTATTTCACTTGGGATTCATTGGAATTATGAATTTAAGTGGGCTGTTTGCAGAAATGCATGGCAGGGTTGTCTCTCTTCAGGAGTCAGAAGTAAAGCGCTACAGGGAGATCTGAGTGATCTAGTCGTCTTTATGACTCATTGCTCTGCTTGTGAACTGCAGTATGAACCTCACAGGCATATCTAATGTATAGGAAATGTCTCTATAGGCTGGAAAGACAAGAAAGAACTATATTTAAATTGAGACAGCACAGAAAATCTAGATTAGTCAAGCTGGTGGGCTATTGCTCCACGTGATCCTTGCCATGGTTGTTGTCAATCTATTTCATAGTGAAAGAAGTATCAGTGAAAAACGCTCAGCTGAGCGACCACAAGCTTCTGATAAATCTGTTGTCTTTCATGATCACAGGAGGGTTTTTAAACGCATACTTTGATAAGGAAGTTTCCACTATCATTTCACTTACTGTGGTTTCTGTACGCTTTGTGGCTCCATCTTCGGTGGTCTCCACGGAGACAACAGGAGGTAGCTCTTGGGGGTCCTCCTCAACCGTGTATGTCTCCTGCACCAGCGGACCTGGCTCCATCTTGAACTACAAGAGCACATTTTGGTGTATTACTTGACTAAAGGTCTCCAAACTTCCTGATTTCGTCCTGACTCAAACGGTGGACAAAGAGAGGGTTCTCAGAAATGCTTACGTGATGTGTCCCGTTGATGTAACCCTCGTTCAGAGTAAGCCTCTCTATGTCTGCATCACAAGGAAGACGGCCGTTCTGTGGTGAGGAGGAAACACACAAGGGAGTTAAACATGCACTCTTGCGCACTAACTGCTTGGGATAAAACTATGAATATGCGCTTTAGGACACATTCAATAATGGCTCCAGGGGGCACCTTTCCAGGCGTCAAATAAAAAATTATTAGCATTGTAAATCAAATTTTTAAAAAAGATACAACTGTGAAACTCGGACAATTCATACTGCACTTCAGCTGTGGAAAAGGGACTTCCCTTCTTCAAACGTTATATTACTTTTACAGTTATCACAACCACAACAGAGACAAAATATACCAATGTTTCAAAATCAAGTGAGGATGTGTGAGTATTTCAAAAACTCACTCACTATGAGAATGACACAAAATGAAACTCATATGCATGCATGTGAATATCATGAATATCAGCACAGACACACAAGAAGCTTTCATGCAGTCTTCATTCTTGAGCACATTCATCCAGATAATGTATGAATGACTTTGATAACGGAATAAATGGATTAAGTCATCAGTCAGTAATGAAAAAGATAGGTGCCAAATGAGTGAGACGAACAAAGACTTGACAAAACCAGCATAGCCAGCCCAAGAGAGGTGATGGGTGTGGCGCAGTTTCCATTCCAGCCACAGGGGGAGCTTAAAGTATCTCTACTGCAATCTCTGAATTTTTTATCTTCAGCTCTCTGGAGGTAGAGAAGCACAGCCAGGAGGGGGATTCTCAACATTGAATCAGTGACGGTAGAGATATCCCACTGAACGCTCCAAATAATACAGTGACAAGCTTGTACAGTGCCACTCGGCCAAGAGGGAATAAACTCCACAGAGTGTAGACTTAGTAGAGGATTGTACTCTAGTTCAGATAAGGACGCAGCTTGAGGGAAAAGTAGAAAATGCCTGGGAGATGCGAGCGTGTGGGAACCTGTCAGCACGAACTGAGGTCGCTGCTGGGAGAGTGGCAAAGGCATGCTGGAGCCTTTGGGCTATGTAAACACACTGAACAGATAAGAGCCAGTACGGGCTACATTTCTGCCCTGCTCTTACTGTAACACACACTCCAACTACATCTCTACACCTAAATGAACACTAGTATTTCCTAGGGCGCGGACATGTCCTGGTAAGTGCTGCCTACGAGCTGGAGCGGCAAAAAAAGAGAGGGAAAGTACGCAAGCAGGGGGAGCTTGCTGGTTTATGAGTGTGCGTTTCAAAGGTTGCCTGAGGGACATAAAAGTGTGGTGGTAAGAGTGTGCGCGCATGTGTTGGTTTATTCCCGCACACTGATGACTGAGTGTCAATAAGGAAGCGAAAGAATGAGCGAATGTGGGTGTGACTGCCAACACACGTCTGTCTGTGAGGCAGATTCAGACCGTGAAGTCACTCCTCAGTCCCTGAAACCAGGTTACTGACTCACACATGATAAAGAGGGCGTGTATGAAAACGGCAGACGCATTTCAGAGCTTATCAGTCCCAGTCGAAGATTTGGAGGAAGAATTTGTTGGCAGATAAAAAAAACAGGTCTGAGACGCTTGTTTTTGTAAATGGACTTTGATCCATCGATAATATCAGCTGAGAAAACATCGTGTTTATACTAGTAATAAATATGATGAAAGAGCTGGCTGGATTTATGTAGCTTCATTGTTATACTTGTGACAATGGCACAGGAAAAGGTAAATACTGCGTTACAAAAAATTAAGCAAGGCACTACTCCGCATGCAAGACAAATGTTGATCTGTTAATAAGCTGGACTGGTGGAGGGTCATGAAAATGGGGATGGAGGGATTTAGGATTGGCGTGATACACTGACGGTTACTGAATCAATGAAGGATGGAAAAAAATACACGATGAAGAGCTGTGGACAGTAACAGAGGGTTAAATTACCTCCTCAAGAAGGCTAAATACTAGACGGTGCTTCAGTCCAGTGCTGGGGTATTTGGTAAAAATATGATTTTATGATTCTTTCTGTTTCATTTCAAATGTGGATCTTAGATTTTCAATGTTAACTGTGTCAGGTGTAGAGTTTCCTTATATGTAAAGGGTACGTATTCAACCATATCTAGCAATCATATTTAAGATGGAAACATTTAGCTCATCCCCTCATATCTGTCCAGTTTTTACCATCTAAGAAAGATAGGGTTGCTTATTAGTACTATTATTGATACTATTCTATTCCTAATTCAGAGCAAATAAACAACATAAAATGATATCTAAAGATTCAACTTTTTCCTTCTGGAGCCTCTCTGGCTACAAAATGCTAAGTCTGCTATTCTAGTGCTGGTCAAATAAGGCAAGGACCCCATATGAAAAAGTAATCACTGAATTATGACTTAATCAGCTCTTAGATGAGCTGGATGTATCCCTGGAGATAATGAACCACCTCTCTGGGAACAGTGACAGAGTGAGAGTGGTCTCAATTGATCAATTCTGCATCATGTTAAAGACGAATTAACTGATCCTCAAACTGTTTTAGGAGTAAAGGAGTGAGAGTATTTTCTAAATCGGTAAATAGCAAAACACCATCTTTGGGTTTGCGACAAACTTCAATATGGTATTCTGTAGGACAAGAAAAGAAAAAGAGAGTAACTAAAGTATTAATTATCCACTAATCACTCTATATGGACAGATGTGAGGGGTTGTATAAAGAGAGGCCCGATTCATTGATTTTTGGAGTCGATCTAAAACTGTCTGCTGGGCAAACTTGGAAAATGTTTTAATGCTTACTGGGGAGACATCACATTGCTGTCACCAGTGTTTCATGCTGTTTCCTACAGCAGGCCTTGGTGACAGTCACCTCTTTATGTGAAGTTTTGCATACGTCGATGAAAAGCCTCCTCTCAGATGAGCATACATTGACTCTGAATACCTACGTCTGTATGGTCAACTGTGCTAAAAAAAAATCCAAAAATGTGTTTGTTTGTTTTTATTTACACTTACTGAGAATGTCTGAAGATTATTTTTCTTTAATGAAAATCATTAAAAGTTGGAAACAATCAGCTGAAGCAAATTTGATTGGAAACAAGGATTTCTATAGTCCTCCACAATCCGTGTATCATGTGTTAATTCGATTTTCAAAAAAAAAAAACAAAAATGAAAAAAAATGAGAAAACAGATTGTTTTCTAAATGTTTGTCTCTACAATGAAAATGAAAAAACGGATAACAGCTCATTTTCTGATTTCCGTTTTCTACAGCTCGAATGAAAATGGGATAAATGGATAACGACAACTTTACCTAATCAAGACTTTTTCGTCTGTAGAAAGTTTCATGACATGGAAGTGAACCTTTAGCGTCATGGCTGGACCTGAGAATTATTTAGAGCTCATACAGCACATTTTTCAGGATGGCAAAACTCATGAAGAGATTTCCAAAACGCTGCAGGAGGCAGGAGTGCCAATGTGCTCTAAAATGTCAGTCAGAAAGTTCTGTGCCCAAAACAACCTGAGGAGAAAAGGACACGTATCAGACATACGGCTGGGGGCCGCCCCCCATGAGATTTTCTACCGACAAAAAAGTCCAAATCAGATAAAATTGTTTTTATCCATTTATTCCATTTTCATCTGAGCTGTGGAAAATGAAAATCAGAAAATGAGCCGTTCTGTTTTTTCATTTTCGTTTTAAAGACGAATATTTAGAAAACAATTTGTTTTCTTGTTTTCTCATTTTGAAAACCGAATGAACGAATAAATCCGTGTATCATTCATTCAATTGATATTCAATCAAGAATCAAAAAACAAAACATTGAAAAGTGGTTCGTTTTCCCTTTTTCCCTTTTTGAAATGAACAAATAAATGAAAATTCGTTTAACAAAAGTTAAATTACGGGCCACGGGCTGACTTTGTTTTTATTATTTAATTTGTACGTTTGTCGTGACCCAGAAGTTGTATCGTCTGTGTTTTTGCCGGTGTGTCGGTTTGACTGGTGTTAAGTAAATGGTGACACTCCGAGCAGATGTTCAAGAGGTGTGGCTTTTAAGGACCTTTGTTTACATTCTGTGTATCATTCACAGTCTAACTACTCGTATCAATTTATATAATAAAAACAAAATCAGTCCATTTATTATGTTTATTTGATCTATGTTAACTGACGGAATATTGGAAAACGAATGAATTTTCATTTATTTGTTTTCATTTCAAAAAGGGAAAAAGGGAAAACGAACCACTTTTCAATGTTTTGTTTTTTGATTCTTGACTGAATATCAATTGAATGAATGATACACAGATTCGAAAGATACACAGATTCTCTACAGCAGACTCATCATGTATAGACGGGCTGCTAGCCGAGCTGCTTGTAACATAATTAGCTTGATGCACCATGAGTAAATGGATGTCAGGACAGGCGAAACACCTGTTTCTTTTTTTAAGTTACAGGTAGGACTTTGTGGGCTGCCAGTTAAGCTGCTTAGCTAACGTTAGCTCATTAGCTGACAAAAGTCCTCCATTTAATGAAGTTATGGCTTGCACAGTAAGTGAGAGATGTCTGGCATTAGTGTTTATAAACTGAACTAGTTGTATTTATTCCAAATATGTGATTAGGTGTTGGGGCTGCCCATATCTAATAAAGACTTAAATAAAAGAATAAAAACTATAATATTTCAAACCTACTTCAAGGTGGCTTCAGTATCCTTGTATCGTTGTCGAGAGGCATTCTTTAACTCATCTCTAAGATCACACACTTTTAGGCAGCCTTCAAGAGCTCGACCTTGTTTAAACTGAGGAGGAATTTTCCCCTCCCGAAAGAATGCACCAGCTTTTGCAGCCATCATGCACGTCCTCGCAGATGAGATGGGGATGACTGGAGACATGACAGGAGATGAACTCCCTCAGATCGAGGGAGAATCCAGGAGATTTCATGATGGAAAGTGTGCATACGAGGGATTGAAAGGAGTGGGCTGGGGTTATTCTGTGTTACCTGCATGTTGGGGAGGGGGCGGGGCAGGGTGCCGGCACATGACCTCCGCTCCTCCTCCAGAGCTCGGCTCAGCATCTCAAACTGCCTCTCCTGCTCCCGCACCGAGGCCAGCAGGGAGGCCGTACTCGCACACTGCTCCATTCACACGCTGAGAGCAGAGCACAGGACAGGACAGGACAGGGTCAACAACACCAGAGAGAAGAGATTCAACCAACACCCGGATTTATTGAAAGAAGTCACAAACAGCCATGCTGAATCACCAGAATACAAAGTCAGAAGGGATGTGGTACAGTTTCACCTGGAAATTCACACACTGAGGTGTAAATGAAATTGATATTTTGAAGTTAATAGCAGCAGGAGCAGGAAGGAGTGATATAGAGAACTGTGAGAGTAAAGAAGCAGGTATATAGTCGGTACAGGTACAACCAGAGTAAGTGGAAAGACTGAGGGGATTAAAAATGGAGACAGAAAAAGGCTGGCAACTCAAGAATTAATTTATGAAAATTATTATTCTTTTAGGAGAGGAAGTAGGACCGGCATGAGCCAGGATGCATTTTTTTTCCTACGGCCTTTTTTTCACCGTCTGCTTAGCAGGGTTAAAAATAGAAGGTGAGATTCGTGACAGGAGATGATTTCAGCAAGTTTTCAGCTGCAGAGTGTTAAGCTTGTTAGCACATCCTTGTTCAGAGGATGTAAAAAAGTGTGAGAGTACTGAGAGGCGTTATCAAGAGACGGCATCACATCATGAAGTTACACCAAACTTCAAAAAGTCAGAGGTATCTTAAAACCAAAGGGTTGTTGTCTCATGAGTAGGGAACAAGGTGGCAGGCTTCGCTTTTGCTGCTTTTTAAAAGACTTCCCATGTTTTCCGAGCTGTAATACGGCTGACATTTCATTTAAACGCACATCCAGGAGAATACACTTTTAAACCGGGGGCTCTGTTTGACAAGAGTTTAGAAAAACTTCACAACAGACTTTCTCTGATAGGAAGATAATACATTTTGTTTGCTGGGATCAAGCCCGGACCTCCTACTGTAATGAAGCTTGTTCTTCATGTCGAATGAGGGGATTTGCTCAGCTGTGGACGGCTTTCAAAAACTACTAACACATTTGGACAGCATCTCCTTTTGCAGAGGCCAATGCACTGTTGACTGGCATCCCTCCAATGCTTCCACAATGTCCAGCATTCTCCCCTGAATATGTTACCGCTTATCCATTTCACATCAATCTTTCAAATCTCTTCAATATCTCTCTTTTTTAATCTACTCTCTTTTCAACTTCTTTTTTTCCATTCAATAAGAGCTTGTGCCAAATTAGGATCATTTACAAATCTTAGCAATGGATTGGACCAGTTATGGGCAAAGTACCTGTCTAAGTACCAAATATGTTTGGGCTGCCAGATCAGTGCAGGGCCAAGTGCCTGTTGAAGACATCACACTACGGCAAGTCCACTCGGACAAACTACATTGCGCTCCATTTAATAGTTTAAATGTGCTTGGTTAAAAGCACCTCACGGTTTTCTTTATTTCCATTTGTTAACTCAATTGACCTCGAAATTTTCTCTTTATATAATACAGAGAATTACAACTTAGTGTACTGTAATTTTTAAATGGCTTTAATTGTATATGTTAACTTTTCAGGATCTCAGTTCATCAATAGATAGTTTTGCTTTTATTCCACATTTTCTTTGGCAACTTCAAAGAGGCAGTAGTCTGACTGTCGAAATCTCCTTTGATAAGTAGCAATCCCATGAAACTTAATCTGCCGAAAACCGCTTCTGTAATCTCTGGACCAACCACTATCTTCAATGTCATCCATACCAACTTTCAACCAATCAAATAGTGTGACGTCATCAGTAGGCACCGAGCCCCAAGCCGATCTGGCAGCCCGAACACATCTGGTACCTACACCGGTCTCTGTACCATCCTAAGTTTAACAGGCTGCCACAACATAGATGCTGCAATAATGTCATCACCGATTAAAAACACTTTTTTTATTTTCTGTACACCCACATTATGAATCTAGTCCTCAGATTTACTCCCTTCACAAAGCCACAGCAGCGGATAAAAAAAAAAAAAAATTTAAGTTGTGTATCAGGGTGATTTGTAACCAGCAAACAGCATCACCTCCTCCTAGTGTTAGCATCTACAATGTAAGTGATGTAAGGACGAGTCTCTAAAATCAATATTATCCTTCAAATCCTTTAAAATACATATGTTTTGACTTTTCCCTACTCATTGTATATTTAAAACCTGTCTATGTCCTGATTACTTCGTTGTTTGCGCCCTATGCTTTTACTGCCCTGACGGGAGTGGAAGCCTGTGGCTTTGAATCCCAGTCTAAGCAGCAAATGTCACTTCTAACATCAGCACTAAATCACAGTTTTGCTCAAGCACGCTTAATTCACTGATTCAATAAAGCAGAGAGAGCTGATTCAGTTGCAAGTACACATACGTTTGCCAGCTGGGTCCACTTACAGGCCATAACATCCCGATAAAATACCATTACATTTCTTCATCCATTGATGCCAGCATTGGCTAACACTGGGAGAACTTTTTTTATACAGACTGCGTGGTGTCACAGTCTGCCTCCAGTGTGTTCCGCTTGATTCTGAAAAAGCCTGTAATGATGGTCACCCCTCTCAAAGCAGCAAAATGCAGATATTTATCTAATTTCTAATTCTTGTACTGATCAAACTCTGAAGTGTGTGTCATTGTCTCCCCTCCATCACACTGTCAGAGCATTCATGGACAGGCCTCATAAAAACAGACAAGCATCTTTCTCATGCTTGTATTGGACTGACACAGAAGCAGTGCTTTCAGAAACAGTCAAAGCTAGAAGTATCTTCTTAATATACACATTGACAATAATTATCTCCACAGATCCTGGGCTGTCTGAACAATGAGGGAGGGTCCAAACTGATCGTAGACCAACCGAGGAACTACTATTGTGTTGTACGCAGACAAGATGATGAAAAGCTTTCTGCACTTCGACCTCTTACGTGTTGGGTTTTCTTCTTTTAAATCAATTCACTCTCTGACACCAGACTAGGGATGCACCGATCTGATATTTGGATCAGATATCGGCTCCGATATTGACAACTTAACTGAACAGACATCTGATAAATGATGCCATTCCAACATTCAGATCGTGCCTTTACACAGCAACACAGTGATTCTGTTCGCTCTATATTCGATGTCTGTCTATCCATTTGCACTAAATGTTTACATCTAAGTCTTCTTTTTGTTGTGTGTTAATGTGCAATTTGTTATTTGATATTAGATAACATTAAGTAAATTTATATCTGTGTTATTTTGTTACCTTTTTTTAACAAGGCTAATATCAAACCTGATGCCTTCACTCACTCTACACCAGACATTTCAAGGATCTCCAGCCCTGTAAAACAATGGTTTTAAATTGACAGTAAAAAGAGTCAAAGAATACCACCAATTTAATAAAAAGCAGTAGAAAAAAGGGTTTTGCTCTGAAACAAAGGAGGAAGGCTGCTTTTTAAAATCACAAACCTTTACTTTGGATAATAATACAGCCTAACACATGGTACCATGACCTACATCCAAACAGAGGCATAGAAATAAGTGAACATCACTCCTGAACTCAAATTAGTGACTCGTTTCTCTGACTTTCTCAGCAGGGAAGCTGGTGAGACAGGAATGAAGAATCTGGGAAAGATTACTTCAACCATGTCTGTCTAATAACAGCATGACACAAGTGTGGCTCATCTCCAAAGCAGGGCAAAAACCATTTTCTACATCAAAGTTCACTGACTCATGGTGATCAAATCTGCTCCATGTCAGCATACGCTGGACTGTCTGAGTGAACAAAAGGCTCCTGTATTGGGTCTGAGTGTGCACTTCTGCCAGCCTGAGTGGGTGAACACATCTGTGTGAGGGCGAGTGGTTGTATGAGGGTCAGAGACTAAATAAAGGCGGCAAATGAGAGTGTGTGACGCTGGTTATATCCTTGAACACTCAAACAGAGCTGTGGCGAGTTTTGGTGAAGTTAATGCTGCCTTTTTTTTCCTTCCATCTACGTGAGGAAAGAAAAACATACATTTGTGGAACCAAATACACAGGAGCCTCACAAAAACACACGCACCACTATTGTTACACATTCCACAGGGAGATATTGCGTGTCATATCCTGTCTCGGCAGTTGTAAGCTGTCCTAATAAGGGAGCCCTTCACTCCTTCACTGCGCTGCTCTCATCTATCACTCATCTTAAGACTTTTTCTCCCACAAAAATCCTTCAAGCTTCAATCCTGGAAAGACAAAGTGGGTATTTCCTCTAACCAATCACGACATCAGAATATCAGGATATATTCCTGTAGAAGAGTGGTTCTCAAGTCCAGTCCTTGAGGTCCACTGTCCTACATGTTTTGGATGTTTCCCTGCTCAACACACCTGATTCAAATGATCAGCTCGTTACAGAGCTTGATAACGAGCTGATCATTTGAATCAGGTGTGTTGGAGCAGGGAAACTTCCAAAACATGCCGGACAGTGGGCCTCGAGGACTGGACTTAAGAACCACTGCTGTAGAAGATAATGCTCACAAATTAAAAGATAATTCAAATTTAAAAAAAACTTTATTTTTCCCCAAGGGGGAAATTGGAGATAACTTCAAGTGATCTCATGAGGGTTTATGATGCTGAGAGTGCATTAAAACTAAAACTGAAACCTTGACACCACAATCAAAACAAAGTCGGCGACTTAACATGGCAGTAAGCTACAAATGAACGTTTGTCTCTTAAAGGGTGCCTATAGCAGCTGTCAAGTTTTACATTAGGGACCAGGGTTTCAACTTCGAAATGGCAGCATACATCAGATAACTCAGCATGCCATCTTTTGGGTTGCTGCTCTTTGTAGCTGTCAAAACATCTACATTTTTGAGCGAGTATAAGAGAATGCGGTCCCCTGTGCTTCAGTGCAACACACAAACAGCCTCACACAACCCTTACAGCGGTACAAGTCCTACCACTGACATTCTTGTGGCGGTGAGCGACTGCTTATGAGAGGAGTTTTAAAATGGCTTTAGCCACTTTAAGCCCAAGCATTACTTCTTAATCTATTGTAAGGCCATTAGCAGCAACGCTAAATTGTTGCTGCTAATGGGCTAGCCCTGGATTTACAGTGCTAAACCACTTGGCATATTAAGCCACACAAGACTGTTGTAGAATTACACACACACCATGAGTGATCACAAACTACTTAAAACTCTGTGGCACACACTCATAGTCAGTTTGTTTGTCTATTACCCAGATCCCACTGAGTATTTTGTCCAGAGTATTCCTTCATACTCATATGCTGTCATTGCGATTTCAGCCACTTTGTCACTGGTGGTTGGCTGGCGTTCATTCTGCTCCAGTCCGCACACTCACACACAGACACACACAAAGTTAAGGTGAGGCTATGGTAAAATGCTGCTGTGGCTTGGCCAAGTGCTTCGCTGACTCAGCCTCATTTGAATGGTCACACTGAGATTTGGCCACTGCGTGTGTGTGTGTGTGTGTGTGCGTGTGTCTATGTATTCTGTGTGTTAGCCTTGGCCCGCATCCAAAACTAAACCGCCTTTGCCATCCTAACATGGAATCATGAACCAGCCCTCTGCTCCCATGGCTCTGACATTGTGGCAGAGTGAGCACGTGAATAAGTCTCTCAAGATGGAGCATTTTCATTTCCCAAAATCCAGAAATAAGAAAGAAGAGCTGAGAGACAAACAAAACAACATGCAGACACTGTTAGATTGTCTGCAAGACTGTAGCAACCTACACGTCTGAGAATATGAGTAATATGAGAAGCCACTTGGTAAACTGTTGTTCTGAACAGATTCAAGTAGATACATGGATTAAGAAATTTAAAAGATTAAGATTTATTTTAATGGGAGGGGGTATCATGCTTTTCCACATTTACAACAAAAACTGCAAAGTTGAGAAGTTTCATGTCCATACCAGATGTATACAAAGTTTCAAATCCCAAGGTAAACGTATGTTGTCATAATCTTAGAAAATACATGTAAACTGCTCAAATGTCACACAAGCGTGCAAAAATGCGAGACCCTAGTTTAAGTGGAAGATTCACTAAAATTCTGACATAAGAATTATCGACTCTCCTTACTAGTTCATCCGAGCGTGACACAAACGTCGAGCTCTACCCTTGGCCGGCTTCCTGACAACCTCCAGAGAGGTGGCCAATCAAAACAAAGTATGCTTAAAGAGAAATTTGAGGCTTTAGTTGATCTAAAAATCATGTAAAGCTATTAAAGTGGAATCAGAGAGGAAATATAGTCTGTAAAAATGCTTGAAATCCACCTTTCAAAGTTGCAAAGTATCATCCATAGACTGAATATAGAATGGAGGTCCTCTGCCTCCTTGCTTGGTAGAGCTCCACAAGAACAGCACCTCTGGTGATTGGTTGCAGTATAGGTCATAAACCCCACCTCCTCCAGCAATCTTAATAGAGTCTGGACAAACTTTAAAAATCAATTACACAGACAATAGATTTTTCTCCCCCCTGGTTGCGATGTTGACATGTAATTATTGTCACACTGGTTAGCCAGTCTATGGGTGTATGAAGATTGTGTAGATCATCCGCTGAGCAGATACTCTGTTTGAGTCGAGCGTCATCATTATGTTCTTCCTCTGAGCATTAATGCACAAACGCTAGTTTCAGGTAATAGAGAAAATCCTGGAAATACCGAGAGCAATTTGGCTTCAAATTCATACAATGACGGTAGGCGGAGCCAAGTTGTTCATACTGTATACAGTCTACGGTATTATCCTTTGGTGAGATTTTGATGACGTTACATCACTCGCAATAAGTCGAGACATGCTCTCTATTTATAGAGAAGGTTTCTCTGCATTTAACTATCAAAACTTATGACCACATACACAGTATGACGCAATGCAATAACAAAAAATACAAAAACTTGCTCAACCTAGGCCTGGGCAAAAAAAATGATCACTATATATTTTGTCATATCATCCAATCTTGATTATTATCACGTTTTTTTAACTGCCTGTTTTACAGCATCTGTACTAAAAACTTAAGAAACTAGTTTAGTTATTTCAATATTTTTGAAATTCACCGACATACCTTGCACGTCGGCTTAATTGCTCGAAGTCACTTTGGAGATTCCCGAACGACCGCCACACAACTGACGTAGAATAACTTCTCAACAATAACATCTTCAGAGAATAACTCAAAGTCATGGCTGACATCTATTTTTCTGCCCTCAGCTCTGCATTTAGCTCCATGTTTGGTCATTCTGTTTACTTCCCTGACAACTTACAGAAGTGAGCAGGAAAAGCTCGACTCTGATTGGCTGTTGTGACGCACATTTCCGCCATGTTTGATGGAGTAAATATGGTCACAGCTGATCACCGTAATTGAACGGAAATTTATCATGATCATCAATCACGATCATATAATCGCCCAGTCCTAGCTCAACCTGCCGTGCGATTATAAGTAGGAAATGTAGTATTTCAAGATAAACCCCTTGAGATGCATCATCTCATTTTGAAGGGGGTCCTTAGTAATGAAATGGTAAATGTTATTCACTGTAACTCAAACAGAAAAAAAGCTCTTACTCTTCAGTTAATGATACATTCATCAAAAAACTGTAGTCAAACAATTTCACATTATTTCTCATTTTATAAGTTATGTGGAAGTCATCAAATGAAGTCTCTGCTTTCTCATCCAGAGTTTTCATGAAATTCCTCATGAAGGCAGTAACTGTATTGATATCTTCACCTCAACATTCAGCCACTATAAGATGTAAAGCAATTACAACATGTCAGACAACCAATTAAGCACTATTATACAAATGCCTTGTGGTGTATAAACAACTTTCTCAGCTAACTTCCTTGTAAAAAGCGATAAAGCAATAAAAAGCAGTATTGAGCATTAGGAATAGATTTACCACTGGTGAATGCAATAACACTAAGTTCACAACTTAACAAGGAAAGTGGCTAAGTATCTGCAGTGGGCGCCATAAAAGTGCAAAATAACACTCAGCACTTCCATGAAATGAACCGTCAACACTTGGAGGTTAATAAACAACAGTTTGGACAACTTTTCAAGCCTACACTTTGGTTTTGCTGTGTTTGAAATCATAAGTCCTCCCCTATCTGAAGTGGGAGTTGACATGCTCACCATTCAAATAAAAACACCGACTGCAGGTGTAACCGTTGAAAGCAGGGAGAAGAGTAATAAAGAAAGAGAGAGGGAGAGAGAGAAAGAAAACACTGACTGGGAGGAGCGAATGTAAGAAAACCCCAGCTCCTGTGTGTCAAAGGGACACACCCGTGGTGTGCTCTGAAAGCCCGTCATTACTAAGGCTCACAAATGATAGCCCTTACTAAAACAACTGGCTGAGCTGCAAAACTTCAGCCCCAGCAGACAACATGGCAAAGGAGCAAAGTCTGGACAGCAAAAGAAATGTCCAACCTTGTTATATTGCAGATCTTACAACAGAGTACATATCTGAACAAACAGCATGCCCGAACTTGCTCACAATCATTTCCATCTCTGTTCCAGCAGGTCAAAGCAGACATGCCTGCAGGGTATTGCGGGAATATGACAGGCATGCCCACGCCACTCTGAAACTCACATATCAGCTGACTATACCAACTCAAAGCATTATTATTCATAGTATCTTTAGACAAGCTGTTCGACATTGGTCTGACACTTTTTTGTGTATTCGATCATTCCCATTGCTCCACAACAGACTGTTGATAGGAAGCTCACTTTAAGAGAGATCCACTCCGACAGCAGGATAAGTCGAGTTTCTCACAGTAATCCAGCATCCGTTCACACCAAACAACTGTAAGGTGAGAAGGTGTCTGTAGTTGCAATCCTTTACACAAGGGACTGAATAATGAAGAGACAAACACGCCTGCCACCTTACCACACCCCATACAGTCAGACCCACATAACAGGTTCTTGCTTTTGTCGCTGCAGCTCCACCACCACCACCACCAATCCTTCCTTCTCTTACCTTGTAGACCACATCAAAAGACAGCTGCGGCAACATGACACAGTGAGCTTTACACACAAAAACCAATTATAGTCGAAGACACACACACACACTTACATACCATGCACGGAAAAGCATCACACAAATACAGCGTCCAGAGAGTGGGTCGTCGCAGGTACAATATAAAACCGTGAAATTGATGAGTAAACCGAGACTGGACTTTGACTCCTAACTTCAGAGCACAGAAGACAGTCTACTACTTCCGTGTACTCTCACCTGTCAATGGCCTTAGCTCCAGGAAAAGTCACGCAAAACTCGTGTAAATGTTGCTTCTTTGACGTGTAAAGGCAGAAACACGAAAATACTCTGAGTTATATTACAAGCACACAAACAGCCTCCTGCTGTAACACACTGTGGGGTTTGTCAATTGGCCTAATACAACCACATTTAAAACATACATTTAGCAAACATGATAGCAAATAGCTTGAACTGAATGCATTATTAGTTTTGGAAAACTTTTCCAAAATCTCCCTCTAGTCCAGTAATTCATCACACCGACGAATGAAGTCCAGCATTGCTAATGAAGTTAGCTCATGCTATGCTAGCTAGCATGCTAACGCTGCGACCACTGAAAGCAAGTTCACCGCACTCCTCCGTCCGCCTAGAACTGCTCCCAACCAGCTACACCGAGGAAATAACACAAAAAGACGGACTATTACCGATTCTCGACACTGTTAGACTCGTCTTTAAAGGTCCATGAGTGTTTGAGAGGCGGTTTCAGGCCTAGCCTAGCCGAGTGCTGCTGTTGCTGCTGCTGCGCCGACACAATCCAAGCCTCGACCCGTCGCAGGAAGGAGAGAGAGCAGGATGAGAGACCAACTAAGAACTCAGCGGGGTCTGAAAACCTCCACACAACCTCCACGACTTCACTCTTTCACCGCAGAGAAACCGAGCACTACTCACAGTTTTGAAGAAAGAGAGAATACACCCACCTTTACGATTTCCTATCTCCCGTGCCCTGGCTTGTTGTTCACTTGTCTCTGCTCTTCCTCTCCGCTGGGGGGAAGAGGAGTGGGCGAGCACTACAGCTGAATAACACGGGGGCGTTCACTAATGTGGGGTTACATGCAGGCATTATTTATCATTCAACAGAGATTATTTTCTCTCACAAGTGTTCCACCATGATTCATCAACCGCCTCTTTGATTCAGTCATTGTCTTTATTAATGAATGACATGATTTCATAAATGATCTAATTATGTTTTTTAATGAGTGATTAGGATTAAAGCTTTGTGATCAATCAGTTCAATCAAATCCAAACAGTTTTTATCAATCTGAAAGGGAAATAAGTATCTGAATGCCAATTTAAAAAAAGGTAATTGTCAAAGGTTTTCATTGTGAAATAAAATGAGGATATATTTTATATGGATTTTTATTAGAAAATGCAATATGAAAAAAAATATTGACAGTAAATAAAATGTTAAATTGACAGAAAAATGTAACAATTCTGCTCAAAAGCATTGAAACAGTCTGGTATCCAAATGTGATTTTAATAAAACAGTGCATACAGTGGTAAATAGTTCCTATACTTTTTGCAGGGATGTCAAACTCAACCACAGCAAGGGCCATAATCTGGATTTAGGTCTAACCTGAGGGCCAAACAGGGTCAACATTTCACCTAAACTGTCAACCACGTTTTTATAAAACATGTAACAAAAACAGCAATGACTATAAATCATTTGGAAATTCAAAAAAGATAAAAAGATAAGTTTAAAAGCAATCTGAGATAGAAAAAAATATTTTATTTTTAATTTTTATTCTATTTTTATTTATTAGTTCAAAAGCATGATAGCATGATATTAAAATAGAAAAATATTGCTTTCAAAGAGCAATTACATGAGCAGAACGTTGAAATTAGGTTTAAAGAGTCAAAATATGACTTGAAATTTAAAATTGGAATCTAAAGTATAAAAATGGCACCAGTCTAAATACTGAGTTGAACAAAATCAAAGCATGAAATAAAAAATCTGATCATGTTTGACTTGTAATTTTGAAATGCAAAATTGAAAACATGAAATAAAACACCAAATATTTTTCCCCACATTCTTGACTTTATATCAAATCTTCCTTACTCTTGAATTTCCCAGATTTTCGTGGTTTATTGAGGACATTTTAAATACTGGTGCTAAAGTTTACATTATTATACTGGAGGAAATCTGCAGACTTCATACTGGTGGGCCAAGAATAATACAAATAGGATATGATCTTGTGGGCCAGATATTATTGTTCCACAGGCCTATTTCTGTCCCCCGGGCCTTGAGTTTGACACCTGTGTATTTTTTTTTTTTTAAATTTCTCTTAGTTGACATTCAGTTTAATTTTTTTCTGAAATAACATTGTAAAATTGTGCTTTTGTACGTAGTTTATTGTTGAATTTCCCTTCAGTGATAATTAAGCTCTCCTTATCTTAGATGAGAACCTTATAGTGTGTATTATATCACTTATTATGTCTTTTACATTAAATTTAATGTGCATCAAGTACAATACATTGGTAAGCTAATGAATTTAACACTATTGATTATGACAATATGTACAAACTTATATTTGAATTACGATAGAAAAAATATCTTTATTATCAATTCCTACTTTGTTTTAAGATGAGACTCAGTAATGTGATTTATATTTAACAACAAGTCCAAAAAAACTTAATTACTGTGCAGGTGTACATCAAACTAAATATTGATTATTATGAAAGAAACAGTAGGATTTGTGTAGATGTGTGTCTTTCAACTCTGTCTCAAATATGTCCAAATCATCTGTTATTTTTTGTTAGTCGTTCTTTTGTCTATATTCAGTTGCAGGATCACCTTTTTCTTCTCCACATGTTTGGAATAAATATTTCAGTCAATCCAATGGGAATGATTGGTTCAGATCAGTTCTTAAACCAACAAATAATAAGGAGCTTTGCAGCAATAAGTCATTCGGAGATGAAAATAAAATCTCATGTTAATACTTATGGTGAGCAAATAAATCAATAAACAGACCAAATGAAACACCTTAAGGATCAGACCCTTATATTGTTTGATCAGTTTATGACAAAAGGTCCAAATGTTTGGAGGAGCCTAGTTATTGATGTTATTTCAAAGAGGGTTAACATTTTTAATAGCAATTAGTTTCACAAGCAGGTAAAATATAATAACATCCCAATTGTAAAGGAATCTTTTTTTATTCATACAAAAGGAGCTTAAATGCCTTCAGCGTTTTGTGAGGATTAGCCAGCCACATGAAGGAATTAGTATCATAGTTTCACAGTAACTCTATCTTAGAACAAATTTTAGCAATGCTGTTCAAACTGTTCTTGTTTTTTTACTGTGAAACAGCAGTTGAAAGGAAAATATAGAGCACTAAAAAAAGACAAATGAAAACAGACTGCAGAGTTCATCGTGGCATAATTAACTGAGCTAACTGTCTCTCATTTGCATTTCTTGCCTCTAAAAGCCTGGACTGTAGAGATATCTTTAAAATTAGAGTTTCAATATTGCCCTCATGTGGTCACAGAAGTGCTATTACAGAGCAGCTCTATTTCACTGATAAAGCGTTGACTTGTTTTGCCTCATGGCAAACATAAAAGACAGTCTAAAACAGAAACACTGTGCAGAGGGATTGTAGATTTTGTTGGGTTTAAATGAAATCCCTTTATCAAGCCTTGGCATCAACAATCTAAAATAAAACAGGAGCAAGTACCTACAGGTTCAGCTGCTCTCCAGTTTATTGAGGAGACAGGGATGTTCAGCAGAAAAGCAACAAAGAGGGAAGTTGATTTTCCATTTCAATAGCAAAAAAGTGTCTGGAAGCAAAGTGGAGTGAGACGCCGAATTAAAGGTGTTTGAAGTCCAGTATGAAGTCACTGCAGTTTTGGGATGCCATGTCATCTGCTGGAGTTTGGTCACTGTGATTTCCACCAGGAAATCTTACAGCACTTAATGTTTCCATCTGGTGGTAAGGTCACTTAAGAGGCTGGTTTCCTTTTCCAGTAGCATTTTGCACCTGCTCACAGCACCAAAACTCCAACTAAATGATTTTCTGACCATTATATTATCATGCTCAATTGGCCTACTAGATCTGAAGAGGAAGATGAGAATCACCTAACCCAAAAAACATACAAGCTGCAGGCTGCTGGGGTTCAATAACATCTCAGTGATGCCACAATTCTTGCAATGATGAGGATAAATTAAAGTTTACTTTTCCAAATAAAAAAAATAAAAAAACTTGTTTTTCATAATATTCTTTTTTGAGTTGCAGCTGTACAAAGGACAGATTTTCTGGAAAGTCAGTCTTTTTTTTTGTCCCATGCCACAGCAACTAGACAGGGGTTACCATGGGGAACTTGCATACAGCATTCTGCTGACATCTGATTGAAGCTATACCCACAATAAGCCTACAATAAGAATTTATTCAATTAAATCATTCAATGCATTATACACTAAATATGCAGCTAATTTTGAAGGTAATAGTCATTAATGGTTTTGTTTCTTTGCATTTAAAGCACAGTAAAACAGAAGTTAGAAGAGATTATGAAATTGAATACCGTGCAACAAAACGCAACAGATTATCTTGCGATTTGCATGTGCTCCATGTATCAGTGAACAAAACAGAAAATGATACTTGCAGTCAAACATTTGGCGAGGGCCCTGGAAAAGAAATTGAGGCTTTAACCTTTACTACTGAAGAGATTGATGTCACAGACATGTAGACAGAAGTTATTTCTGAAAGCTCAGACATGTGCCGGGGTCACGGAGCTGTAACAGAGCAGCACTTCAGCTGTCAGGTGAGCAACAACACACACATATATGCAGAATTAACGTCTATCTGAATCAATCTTTTATCTATCTACAGTTTTATTTTCCTGCATTCAGAGCTGTGACTGTGTATCTGTGTATCTTCAGCTGATTTGCGGTCTCTTCCTGGCTGGCATTAAACTCACCGGTCTCCACTGTAAGATTTGTAAAAACTGTGTATTTTTCTAATCAGGGGAAAGGTTTTCTGGTTCATTCACCAGTGTCAAGAATACCGCTTTTCTCTTGGATTTGTAACTGAATAACACTAATGACAGATGACAAATTTGTTTACATTCTGTCCCTTGCAGAAAAAATTGAATAGTCAGGACACAACAAGAGCGGGGCTGCAAAGAGGCAACACTTAGTGAGAGTGGCATTTAGTTGGCAAGTGTCTGACTAAGCTTGAATTTATCTACAATAAACACTTTAACAGTTTTACTCCCTGAGTGAACCACAAACACAGGTCAGTTCTGTGAGGATGAATGTAAATCATTCAGCAGAAACTTGTACAACATTTCTTCGAGACAGAAGAACTCAGAGGACAGCAGACGTGACTGCAAAGGCAAAAGGATCGAGCTTGTTTTTTTAACAGCAAAAAGATCCTGTAAAAAAAGGCTAGAGAGTTTGTTTCCAAAAGCAGCACTCAGGGCAGGATTTGTAGTCTGATAACAAAAGTCCAAAGGTCTGTTTTTGTCCCTGATGTGCTGACTCTGGGTTCTGTAGAAGGAATTCATTAATCCAACCACTGTGTATCCTGAATTGGCCTGACTGACAGAGAGGAAAGGAAACACGGACATGTTTATATAGCTCTGCTCTGAACAGCGCAGGATAAGCCACTCCTCCTTCTTTCATTCTGCCACAGCTCCAGATGTCTGTGAAACATCTGCTTTTGAACAGGTTTTGGAAAACAGACCAGCCCAGTGGGAGGTTTGGAGGACGAATGGGGGACCGTGTTGACACTTTTCAGTATGAGATACAGAGCAGCTGGAATGACAGTCACTACAAAGCCTCACAACTCTGGATCTGTGAAAAAGCGTTTGACTTCTGATGTTACTTGTCAAACTAAGGTAATGTGTCTTGTTAAGCACCATAGAACAAAAACCTCTTCAATCTTTGGGTTGTTTTTCATTATAATTCATTCAGTACTTTCTTTCTGAAACCAGCTGCTCAAGAACAAGGTGACCAGGACCAAACACCAGAGTCCAAAAGTCTTGAACTTGTTTGGTAGTGAATGTGAAGGAAAGCTCTTGCACAATATACTTAATCATTTCACATGTTTATTTGTCTCACTCAAAAAATATTGATACAAGCTCTTTGTCATTTTTTTATCCCATATATTCAACCATGAGCGGACAAAGAATTTTCTCAACTCAGGATCTAGGATATAGGATTGAAAATTACCACTTGATTTGTTGCTATGTTATGATTTCAATGTTTTTGTTTAAATCTTTTATGTGTATTTGCCAGGATCCCCTCCACCAAGGTTCAAGTAAGCAGAGCCGGTACTTGAAGTGAGAGTGAAAGCGCTGCAGACTGCTAATGGTAAGAGAGAATCGACCGAATTTCTGTCTCCAACACTGAACATTGTTGTCAGATTAGCTTTTCTCAGTAACCTAGCTAATATTCACAACTATGTTGTATGCTTTTGATCACAATTATCAAAATAGCAGCCCTCTAAACTGAGTGAATCATCTCCTACCAAAAGTGTGGTGAGGGGAGTCAAAGCCAAATCGTTTTAAAGGAAGTGGTCGCTGGAAACATGACAACTCTCCTCAGAGGTTGCCAAGTAGTTCAAGAGCAAATGCAACTAGGAGCATTTTCTTATTCTTCTATGCAGGGCTTTGCATGGTTCATTATCTATGCAGGAGACTGGGTAGACATGAGAAACCACACAGGGTACTAACAAATACTGACTATGTGCTGCACATTGTAAATCGAAAAAGAAGTGAATTGAATGGAACTTTTCTCTACTTATCACACAAACCCTTTGACACACATTTATACACTGGTGATACTTACAGTGATTGGAAGTGCCAATCTGCCACCAGGGACCTCACTAACCCAATTTATACTTTGAGTATATGTACAGCTGCTTAAAGCGACTGTGAGGCACCTGATAGCTCTCATCTCTAGTCCTATTCATGCAATAGTAACCAGACAGACACCTTATCCTGTAATCTTTTAAAAGTGAGACTGATCACTCATTGTGAGTATTTGCCATGAATGATTGTTACTTCAGCGTGCTGTCAATCACCTGGCCTGACACTGACCCCCTCACAGCAGCTTCAAGACTGATGGTATCTTTTGCTTTTGAAGGTCATAAAGAGGCATCAAAATCAGTTTCAGTCAGTTAAAAACCCCTCACAGTGCCTTTAACACCTACACATGCATGCATGCCTTCATGCTGTTACAACCCAGCTCGGAAAGGGAAAGGACGTAACATAAACCCAGGTTTAGTTAAAGTAAAATGGGTATTTAATTGCAAAATAAATAAGGAAGTGATGTTCCAACATAAGTTTGAGGCGAAAAACAAAGGAATAAGGAATACTGCTCAAACAAACAAACAAATGCAACGAAAAGCGACTCTAAACTAGAGTGAGAAACCAAATCGCTTAATCAAATTAACTCAACTAGCAGTTTAAACAATCGAAGAGTGAGCAGCACCCTAATCCTTTACAAAGATTAAAAAAAAAGAATATACAATGTCGCCTCCACAGCAATTAACACACACACGGATCTCCCTAACAAAACGGCTAAACGTTTGAACGCAAGTGTCTGCCCCTGAGCGCTCTAGTCAACTCCCCTCTGATTGGTCCTGCCGACCCGGCCCATTATCCAATCCACGGCTGTCCTGTAGAGTCACAACTACTCTCGCGCGCGCACACACACACACACACACACTACCAAATATGGTAAAAGGCAGCACAGGTAGCCACCCTGAGAGAAGGGACACGGCTGCAGCCGTAATGATGTTCGTGTAAAAGTGGATAATAAAGTAACATGTTATCAAACACTGATAATAGTATGCGTATACCACTATGAGTGTGAGTGTGCTTACATATTACCAGGTATATTTAAAGAGCTGTAGGTTTGCATGAATGTGGGTTGAGTATGTGTAAAGACTACACATTGAGAAGAGGCAGCCTTAACACTGTGCTGTGGTAAAAGTGACTTAATGGACAACAAGAGAATATGGTCACGCAGTTTTATGGTAGTGACAAGCTCCAAAGGTCATCTCTACATGAGCTCCGGAGACCTGAAATGTTTTTCATAAAAGTTCATAAGGATGCACCAAGAGCACCAAAAATATTACAGCAAGCCTTCCCAGAAATGTCAGGTTGTTGATGATAGCACAAACAAGCTTTTGACTTGGATGCTTAAGGTAAAAAAGGTCAAATGTACACACTGTAGGGCTCATATACAGTCTGTAAAGGTGTATCAATCAATCAATCAGTTTTTATTTATATAGCACAACACCACAACAATCATTATCTCAAGATGCTTTCTTAAAGAGCAGGTCTAGATCTATATTAATGTTTGAATTATAAGGACCCAACCTCCAGATGGGACAAGATTGAGTCCCATCTAGAAATATAAGACCCATTCTTTACCCATCTGGAACCAAAACGGGTGAAGGACTGTGCAGTATTTACCAAGTTATGGTGGCGAGGAAAAAAAAATCCCTTTAACAGACAGAAACCTTGAGCAGGACCAGACTCATGTTGGACAGCTACCTTTACTTTACTTTGGAGTCAGCCAGTCCTTCCTCTCACATCTCCAGTCAGTACAAGACGCAACCGCCCAGCTCTTGACTGGAGTACTTAAGAGGGAGCACATTACTCCCATCCTGGCATTTTAGAGTTCATTGTAAGATTCTTTTATTTGCTTTTAAATCTTTAAATGGTCTGGCTCCACCTTACCGTTCTGAGCTTCTCCACCCCTACACCCCTGCTTGGTGCCTCAGGTCAGCTGATCAGCTGCTCCTGGAGGTACCAAGGTCCAAACTGAAACTCAGAGGGGATAGATCTTTTTTCTGGTGAGGTCCAGGTCCAGAGGAACCTAAGAGACGAAGGAGCTCAGTGCCTGAGGCGAACATTCATAAATGATGCAGCTGGGGTCAGGCAGGTCTGCAGCAGCCGACCGTCTGTAGCATCTGTCCAGAGGGAAATATGATACTGGGAAACACAGGAACTCCCAGAGATATTTGGTTATAACTATCAAATTATAGATCTGTGGTTAGTAACTAGTAAGTGAATTATAGTATCATGAAGTTTTTTTTCCCCAAAAAAACTTAAATTTCTTACTATTTTGTACAGTGTCTGAAAAGAGTATGTATCTTTATATCATCAACATTTGATTGAAGCTTTTGCGCCATGAATCACTGCATCATTGTGGTGTGGCACAGAGGGGATCAGCCTGTAGCACTGCAGTGATACATAAAACTACAGCCCATACAGGTGGTTTTAATGGCGGCCTCTTGCTGATCTGCAGTATTAGGCCATGTGTTTATCATCTTTTTCTTTACAACACCTCATAAGTTCTCTGTGAAGCTCAGGTCAGCCGAGTTTACTGGCCAGTCAAGCACAGTTATGTCATGGTCAGGAATCCATTAGAAAGTGGTTTTGGATGCAAAGTCCTGCTGGGAAGGAGAATCAGCATTGTCATAAAGCCTGTCTGCAGATAAACGTAAGAAGTGCTTTTAAATGCCCTGGCAGACAGTTGTGTTGACTTTGGACTTGATAAAACACAGTGGACTAACACCGGCAGATGACATCTTAGTCTGTGCCTCTCTGATCTTCCTCCAGACTGAAGGCTTCAATTTCCAAATCAAATGCAGAATTAGCTTTTATCTGAAAACAGGACTTTGGACCACTAAGCAACAAGTCAGGTCTTCTTCTCCTTAGCCCAGGTGAGAAGCTTGATTGCAGAAATGTGGTCTCATAGTGGCACTAACTCCAGCCTCAGTCTTGTCCTTGTAAAGTTCTCAAAGGGTCTGGACTCAAGTTTTTTTCTTGATATTTCTCTCAAGGTTGCAGTCACTTGCATTTCTTGTGCACCTTTCTCTTTCAGTGTACTCTATTTTAACAGCTTCAGTGCAGTACTCTCTGACAGCCAGCCTTTTGACAATTCTCAGGTCAGCAGTCTATGTTTTGAATCAGTCTCGGAAATAGCTCACAATGTATATATATATATTTTGCTTTTTTGTGGTTCTTTACTCAAACTCAAACAGAAATATTTTAATATTTTGAGTTTTTTTCTACATTTTTGAACTGTAGGTCATAGTTATAAAGGTTAATATAGAAAATGCTTGAATTTTCTTTAAGTTACATTTTAATTTAATGAGGCTAGAATATAAATATTAATTTTCTTTTTAAAAAAAACTGTTGGAAAACATTGAACTTTTTTGCAAATTTCTAACTCATTGAGATGGACCGGAATGTTTATAAATCTGGAATGAGAAGATGAACACCATTGTAAAATATAAAAGAACTGAATCTCTTTTTTATGGGAGCAGCAAACTTTCAAACATGCAGTTTTTGCCTATCTGACCTATTAGTCTGTATTTCGCCGTATGTGCCGTTTATCTCATTGTCCTTACCCGCTGAATACTCAAAACTTTTTTTCAAACATTGGATTTCAAGTAGTGCCACCCCATGTCAAAAGTTAGGCTATTAAGTATAATTCTTCAAAAGCAAGCAGCTATTTTTTTCTAGTCTGTGTCAGTAGGTCAAAAAGGAGTCTAAAAACCTGCTAAAGTAAGGCAGGTATTTCACCTTCTGGTGCATCCTCATTAACCTGTCCAAGCTGTTTGTAGTATGTATGCTGCCTGGAAACTCCTGTTTTACGAGTTAGACAATAAATATTCTGAGTACCATGTATATTTACAACAGTTTTCACATTTGGAGTTAACAAATGTTACCTCCTAAAACTACCACAATGCAAACAGTTTGTGATGTTGATGTAGAAATCCTGTCCACTTTTTCTGATGCCAGCCTCAGACCAAACCTTTAAGAACATTTAGTCCCAAATATTTTACAAATTGGATTTTTACATTTTTTACCTTTTTACCTCACTGTAGCAGTAGCCAGATGACTTCTTGGGAAACACTCTGCAGAAATGCGATTATTTTCAGCTAGAAATAAATAATTAAAATGTTTGTAACTGGTCATGGTCTAACTCCTCATAAGCGAATTTCTGGATATTTTTATTACCTTTAAATGGGTAAATAGCTACATAAGTCAGATCAGTCAAATTCCTCTGCTATCTCTTCAATGTTGTCATCACCTTTTTTTCCAGCCTTATCAAGCATTTTGTTGCTCATGTTAGTCTGCAAGTCATTTTTATAACTCAGCAAACTTGCACAACCTGATTTCTCAGGTTGTGAACCTGTAATATTCCCCCCCATATGCCTTGCAGTAATGGGATTTTTAGTTCAGGGAACACAACGGAGGAAGTTTCCAATGGAGAAGCAGAACAAGTAAGTCTTTAAAGGTTATGGGGTAGCAAAGTAATATTAGAGGCAGAGTACTACTGAAAGAAAGTGGCATACTGTGTTGTTTGTGATGCTGACTTCTATAGACGGTAGCTGCCTTTAGATGGGCACAAATAATCAGAATAAATGGGATAAAAGAGCGTCATGTTAACATGTCAGTTGGAAGATTCTGATCCAATTCGGCTCAATCGGAGAGAAATTGTATTCCGATCAAGAGGGGTAGTTTAAACCGGTCGTTATTTTGAAACGCGTACTTGTAAACACTAATTCCGATCGTGACTCTTTTACCTGACTCGATCTTCACTCTTCAGCCTTTGGTTTATTTATTGAGGCCAGTACAGCAGGTTTTATTATTAACACTCTGGTATAAAACACAACCGCAGGAGCCGTGTCTGCTCCTCCGATAACATAACATACACAGAGCGTAATGATGTCACATCTGCACGCTTTGTCAGGACAGTAAAATAAGTGAGCAAGGGCGCCACCTATTGACAACATTCAACAGGGGGAAAACTCTTGAATTGGATGGAGTGAATTTGTTGGTTTGTTGACAGTACGGGCATAAAAACAACTCTTCCTCTGCGTCCAAATGCTTCGAATCTGAATAAAACTTGGTGCATGTACACGCACGCCATGATCGGATTATATGACTATGCGCCCATATTAAACAGTGGATTCAGATTATCCGATCCCTCAAAATCAAGGAATTTTGCTCATTGTAAACATGACTAATGTTTATATGAAGTTAAGGTGAAAAAAGTGCAGGGTGTTGCTAGTAGGTCTGTAGGCGTGTCTCCCTAATCCAAAGGAGGCAGATAAGGACAAAGACTGTTTGTGTTGATGTGCTTCATGATGTGATTTGGAGCTGTTCTGACATTTTATTCTCACAGAATGTGTGTGTGAGGACTGACTCTGTCTTATTTCTTTTTTTTTTCTTTTTTCTTTTTTCTTTGTGTTTTAAGTAATCTTGGGGATCCTGCCGTGACAGCCTTATAGTCGTCATCATTTCACCTCACTTGGCTGTTCCAGCAGCGGGACCATGCCTAGATTCCAGAGAGAAGCTAAATTGCAGCACTGGTTCACCTTGCTGTCAGGACTTGTAGAGAGCATGCTCTTCTCAGGGATGGGCTATGGCTGGGCTTCTCTGGTGTTTGTGCTGAAAGTTGATGGATACTTTTCTGGATACTGTGTCAACACAACCAGAGATAATGACCATGCTGTGTATGCAGGTAAAAAAAGGGTGGGTTTGATTAATGTGAAGAAAAATGCACAGATATGCTATTTAAAAAAATATCCTTCTTGTTGGTATCTGTAGTTATACAGTTTGACTTGGATGTCAGATTGGTTCAAAGCTGTGTGTAAGGTTTGAGTGGCCTATTATTGGTTGATATCCTCAAAGAAAAAAAAAAAAGTACACTGTATTTTATGTATAACACTAAACAATGAAAATGTCTGTCACAATTATGTGAAGTCTCATAAGCGCCAGCAAACTTGCAAACCATTAAGTCTGACAGACAGGAACCAAAATAAAATTGGTTCAGCCTGATCCATGCCTCACTCAGCAGAATTAGGACATATTTTAACAACTACCTCACCTAATTTATCTGTTCTTTTGTTTTTGTTTTGGTTGCAGACTGCACAGGTCAGGATGAGCTGTTTTCTCTCATCATGTGTGTCGCTTTAATCACCAACACAATCATACGCTTCCCTGTTGGGTGTATATTTGATCGCTTTGGAACAACAGTAACACGGCTAATATCAATGTGAGTACAGAGGAGGGCTGTGGTTTTATTTTGATTATTTTAATGCTTGTGAAGACATGTTTGTATTATTGGACTTGAAACAACAAGCCAGAACAAAAACCAGGTTGCGCAAATTCTGCAAAGAAGCCTTGCCGTGTGTCTGTTTAGCCACGGATGGCAGTTGTTCTGTAATGTGTCACAGCTGCTGGACAGGTGGACTGGTCACTACAGTGGTACACTGTCAGTTTGATACTAAACTTCTTTTAGTTTTATTGACAAAATAAAATGTAAATTAAAAAAAATGTCATTTTAAACACAGCAACTCAAAGGAAATATCTTTTAATGGCTTATTTGGTGGACAAAAAGGTCAAACATGTTATAAAGATCTTGATTTGGTCTGCCAGTGCTTTGGTTTTTGAAAGTCGGGTGAAGAAAGAAGCTGCTTGTCTGCAACACAGAGTGGCAACAGCATAATATAGTAAAAAGTGGCTGTGAAAGATGAATAACTGTGACTGAATTTGAAAAATATTAAAGTTTATTTTAGCACTGTTCATACAACTTTAATTAGGCCTAGGTAACAGATTTGGTTGCTTAGTAATTGTCCAAGGAAATTGTCCCCACTAAAGAGCCACCTGATGGCACTTTATTTACAGTTTAAATGCTGTAAGTGCCTCTAGTTAGCAATTTGTTCACATTTTACACACTTTCAGGGCACCTCATTTTAGTTGTTCTTAAGAGATTATTTGGTGGATTTACGTTTCAAAGATACTCAAAAATATTCATAAAAAATTTCCTCGGTTTCAAATACAGACTTACCTCTCATCTCTAATCGACACCTCTCTATATTTAAAATGGCAGATGTTAGTGAGATGATTCCTTTGCCATTATTGTTTCCTAAAAAACTTAAGCTACTTCACTGAGTTTGGTTATTTCAAAAGTGAACTTGTTAAGTCTGTTTCTTATTTACATTCTGAGCAACATGTCTGGGCACAAAATATACTGTATCTCAGCAGATTTAACTGACATTTTCACTGATGAAATAATGCAATGTCATAAATAACTGTTGGTCTTTCTGCAGATTGTTGTACACCACCGGCACACTGTTCATTGCACTGTTGAAAGACGGTAAAAAAAGTGTTTTTGTACTTTGCAACTTAACCGTTTTCATGTCTGTTTGCTCCTCTAACCTCTCTGCTCTGTCTTTCATATAGAGACATCCCTTTTGCTGTTCCCTGCAATATCATGTATCATTATATCTGGTATGGTCCTCCACACCACCAATGTTCAGGTGCTACTTTATTTATGCCTTAAAATCAGGGATGATGTATGTGTTTGTGTGCGACAAATATGAATCATAAAAACAAAAGCATTTTATGCAGCATAGTAAGAAATGATTATTTGTTTAGGTGGGGAATCTGTTCCACCTCTTCCGCTCCACCATCATAACCATGTACAACGGAGCCTTTGACTCCTCTGCTGCAGTGTTTCTTGTCGTAAAGGTGATGCAATGAAACATGTGAATGAGACATTATTGCTCTTCAATTCACTTTAATAGGCTAAATTGAACAAATTTTCCTTTTGTCTTTCTGTCTGCAGCTGCTGCATGAGAGAGGAGTGTCTCTCCATTCTTCTTTTCTTTTTCTCACCTCTTGCAGCATCATCCTTCTTCTGCGAACCATCTTTCTAATGCCCAGAGGACATATTCCCTACCCGCTGCCCGAGACATACACATACGGGTCAGAACAAACTGCATTATCCAGACGATTCAGAATAATCTAAAGTCAATCTCTGCTTGAGGTTACTGCCTGTTAAAGAGCACTAATGTCTCTATTGCCAAGCACTCCCTTTAAAGTGGAACTGTATTGTGTTTGTGCATCATGGTAGCAAGAGTTATGTCTAAATCTTCTCAACATGAGTGTCTAATAATGAGATGAGTCAATCTCAGTCAATTAGTCAATTTGATGTTTTCATTCACCTTCTTTGCTGTGACAGAGTAAAATGCTCCAGGACGAATCGAGACAAGGGAAAAAAAGCAACTGAAGAAATTAAGAAAGAAGAAAACATGAGAATTCAAAATGACCTGCAAGGAGAGGAAACAAAACTAGGAGATGACTCCAGCAAAGAGGAAGGTATGGTGATTTTGATGATGGTTATCAACAGTTAGCAATCAATGATGTATAGCTTTTGTTTTAATTTCATCACTTTGCAAACTACTGACTGTTTTGTTTGGATTGTAAAGCTGTCACTGGTCAAAGGTCATGCCTTTTGTTGTAAAGGTCTTGATTAGGTTAGCATGTGTGTTAAAAGTGAGCCACTTTTTTAAGACTTTGCCTTTTGATGCATATCTGTTTATGTGTGGCAATGACAAACAGTGAGATAAACAAATCTAAGTTTTAATTTAAATAGTGTAAGACTGTTAACAGATTTAGTCAGTAATGTTGATTCTATTAATCAAGTTAAAATCTCATCTTCCCCTACAAATGTGAAGTTTTCTATATGAGACAAGAGCAAAAAAAGCTTTTGTAACAATGCCACCATGATTGGTTGCATAGGTTATAAATTATGTCCACAGACTGTTTCAACACATTAAAAGGTCTTTGTGGTAAGTTTGAATGTCTCATGTTGGAGGGTTTATGAAGCTTTACAGTGATTAAAGGCCTCATTTACATTTTTCTCTCTGTCTTTTCACATATAGCTAGTTTCCAGAGCTGTGTCATGTCGTGGCTCTTCCTCTGGCACCTGGTGTGGGTGGTCATCATCCTCTTCTGTCAGTTCATCTTCCTATCCAACGTCAACCCTATGCTCTCTCGGCTGGCCAACAATGACCAAACTTTAGGTGAGGTGTGAAGACTGAACATATGGAGCTCTTTTTTTTCCTGTGTCTTGCTCATTGCAAGGGCTTATTGTAGCAGGGTGACTTATAATGTCAAAGACTTTATGCTTGATGGTGCAGCAGTGGGTCTGCGGATAAATAAAGTAACCAACTCGTAAACGATGTTAATACAAAATGAACGTAAGGAAACTCCAAAAGTTCATAAACCTGGTCCAGCTAAGGTTGCTAGAGCAAAAATATGAAAATATAGAGGATTTAAGGGTAAAGGGTCAGTCATTCTTGATTTTGTTTAACTTGACCTTCAAAGCGTAACCGTGTGACGAACTTACCCTATATCTAAAATATTTCCTCATTCATGATAAGATGAAAATGCATGAAGTTAGATGTGTTCCGTTCATCTCAATTTCATTTAAAAAGCTTTATTTGTTCCCAGGGGGGTGATTAGAGGCACATAGAGCAACAAGTAAACAATGTAAACACAATGTATTTACTGACCAAGCGGCTGTGCTTCAAAAACAGTTATATGAAAATCAGATCAAGCCAAAAACAAAAAACAGAGAGTCAGATCAGGTCATGAATCAGCTAAGCTTCACATTCCTCTCTTTTCTATTTGGTATACAGAGCATGAGCCCTCTTATTACATTTTTAGACATATTATTAGACATATTTAAGTCCAGTTCAGCAGAAACAAGGTCTCAAAGGCTGTGAAAAAAATTTCCTCTTTCGTTTCTTCACACCTGCATCCTTTTTTCTCTTTTTCTATAAAGTTTTCTCAAGATGAACCCCAGCTTTATTTATTTCTGCCTTTTTTCAGGTGTCAGGAAGACTACTTGATTTATAAAACTATAGATTTTTGTTTCTGTGATAAATCCTACAGACTGAATGGTGTTGTCCTTAACCGAACATTCCCTTTTCTTTTCACCCTCTTCTTCAGTGAGTCACTACACCAATGCTTTCGCCCTCACCCAGCTGTGCAGTGTTCTGTTCGCTCCCGTGAATGGGCTCATCATGGACAGACACAAGAAAAAGCCTCTAGCTACAGGTTGGTTTTATTCCTTGATCCTACTCTGAGCTTTGTGTTTAAGCAAAAGTGTGGCCAGGTGTTACGATAAACCATCAAAGCCCAGGGAATAACTATGTAGCCTCTTATATAGTGCATTCCCTCAACAGCTCTATAGTGGATTTCTGCTATGCCACTGTGCTCCATGTACAGCCTGTGACTAATGGCAGGTTTGATAGACTCCAAGGACAGGAACAAGACCAAATTTACAGTCCAGCTGTTTGTTGCAGAAATGATTATGTGATTACTTAAAGGGATATTCCAGTGTAAAATTAAGTTAGGGTCAAACACACTGTAACACTGAGTTATAGACACCCCCTCAAGAGATGAATGTCTCCGACCGCTTGCTTCTCTAGTTATACCAACTTTAGTAACGACCGCAGAGAGCAATACACAGCTGTCTTTGGATACTCACGCAAACCTCAACCAAAAAGCCACTAGTGGCCACAAATGATGCTCAGAACAGCACCTAACTTCATCAACAGCACATATAGGATCCTAGCCATAGCACTAGCCACCAAACATCTTTTTAGCTTTGCCTGATTTCTTTAGCAAAGAGACTAAACACAACTCACCAACTCTCTTCCAGCAGCCGTTCGTTTGTAGGGAGAGCTCGGACAAGTCGATCACCGACTGCAGCAGGGTGACGCAGCTCAAGGAAGAACATTTATGATAATCTCTTTATCATTTCCTTGAAGTAATAATTATCAAAATAATCATTTTGAACTGCAGACGCGGTAGTTCTTCTGCCTTAGCGTCTCGGTCTGATTGCATGTCCATAAAGTAATGATCGTAAATGTTCTTCCTTGAGCTGCGTTACCCCACTGCACTCGGTGGTGGACTCGTCCGAGGTCTCAGTAGACCGCTGTTCTGAGCATTATTTGTGGCTATAGAGTGGCTTTTTGGTTGAGGTCTCAGCGTGGATCTATAGACCGCTGTGTGTAAGATTGATTGATTGATTGTTTCATTTTTGATTGGGACATTGAAGTGGCATATACACTTCAATAAATTCATATTAATTATTCTTATTTAACTTCAGAACCACAATTTTTGTAAACACCTGAGCCATCTGACCGGTTCTCTCTGCAAAGGCCTCACTCCGCATCACCACTGACTTCTGTCCACTTCCCCACAGGAGAAACCAGACGAGAGGCTGACCTACGTTCCTCCCGCCTCTCCCTCTTCCTCACCTCTCTACAGTGTTTCCTATTCTGCGTGTGCTTCACCTGTCCTGTGCTCCCTCTGCAGTACTTCACCTTTGTCCTGCAGGTTGTCAACAGCTCCTTCTTTTATGGGGGCCATCAAGCCTTCGTCAGCATTGCGTAGGTCCATATTTCTGTCTTAATTTCACCACACTTAAGAGTAAACAGCTTATTCAGGCATCTAAATCTCCTCCCTCCCTTGTTCTGTTTTGTCTTCTCCTCTTTTATCCCCTCCTCCATCTCTGGTCCATCTCTGCAGATTTCCTATGTCTCATTTTGGGAAGATGTCAGGAATTGCGATGTCTTTATCAGCTCTGGGGCTGCTTCTTCAGGTTCCTATCTTGCACTTTATCCAGCACCAACTCCACGGCGACCCTTTTTATGTAAGTGTCCTGATGTTGTGTGATTCTCTCCTGCTGCTTTAGAGTTTAGATAAAACTGTTTTTATTTATGTATCTCTTTGCTCTCACAGGTAAATTTAGGCGTGACTCTGGTGTCTCTTCTGGCCTTTATACACCCGATCCATGTCAGCCTCTACTGCAGGAAACTGAGCAGACAAAGAACAAGGATATATCAAGAAGTTGATAACAAATGCTCTTAAAACATTGATTTTTTCTCAGTGTAGGTCATTTTACGGACACTTGTTTTACTGTTAATGATAAAGACTTTAGACATCTGCCTATTTTTTTTAAAAAAGGTGTTAATATACACAAATTTTAGAGACATTTTTGTCTTTTTTTAAGGCTTTAAAAAGAAAAAGATAACATTGAGGTTGGTTAGAGATACACCAATTGAAAGGGGTTAATTTTTGTGACCGGACTTGGTTACGTAACTCTCATATAATGATAGTAATAATTATAATAATAATAACACATTTTGAAAACAGTACAATAAAACAAAAAGATAAAAGCAAACATTATAAAATGGGATAACAAAGAGTAGGCTGTTGTGTACAAGTGGGTTTTGAGAATGGAGTTGAAGAGAGGGAGAGAGTCAATGTTACGGATGTCTGGTGGGAGTGAGTTCTGGAGTTGGGGAATAGAGCGGCTGAAAGCTCTACTCCCCATGGAGTAGATGGGTAGGCCTATATGGCTAAGATTGGATGGATGGATTGATAATACAGGTATGGATGGACAGATGGTTGGATAAAAAATGATGCAAATCCATAAGGTCAGAGGAAAAGACATCACACCACGCCTTACACATTAAAACTGACTGAAACCTATGACTTTTTTACTCGTGCAAATTTTTTAACAAATAATAAAAAACCTCTGACATTTTTAGAATTTCTTTATAAACTGTTAGCTTTGTTCACATTCATAAGTTTGTTGTATTTCTCAGGGGTGGAAGCAGCTTTAAAGGTCTGTTAATTCATGTTTACACAAACAGAAATGCACCACTGCATTAGACTAAAAGGAATGCATTGTATTCATTTTTTTATTTGTAAGGACCTGTTACCAATGATGCTGTCACATTTTTGATTAATTTCTAATAATGTATTTACTGATTGTAACTCTAACCTACACCATCTTAAAAGGCTCTTTATACAGCAGTCTTTAAGAGTCATTATTTGAAATGTAAAGGCTTTGTAGTGTCTACAATTAGTATGTATATACTGTGAGACAGGCTTGTTTTCATATTGACCGAAGAGTGTTTCATGGTTGCTATGGTTCCCCTCCACTTGCATAGAGTTAAATCATTCAAAACCTGCTGTGATTCATGTACTACATATTCAAATATAATGGTGATTATTAAGTTATGGGAACAAAACAAACAAACAAAAAGACCTGTTTGTATGTTCACATGAATCTGAGTGCCCTTAAAATCACCTGCCTAAAGAAAACCCTGATTTTAAAAATTACATACGTTTTTTTTTCCAGAAAGATTCAGACTTAGTTCAATATACAGCAATATCAGTGAAAGGGAAGTATGTCCTTCAGACACAGCAAACTCCTCTGTGTTTTTATTCTTACACATCATCAATGCATTGTAAGTCAACAGAACATTTTAAAATCAAATATCTGCAACAAAAACATATCCATCACATATAAGATATAGCAAAGCTCAATAATTCCATCTGTGCAAGTACAAAAGGCCAAAAGGATGCAGTTTGTGTTTGAAGATCTGCAAAACTGTGATTTACTGTGAGGACTTCTCTAGTGAGAACTATGGGATTTTTCTGATAATTTTGCAGTTTGATGACTTGTAGTTGATACATGAGCTTCAAGTTTTCAAAACTAGCATAATTCAGTTTTTTGTGTTTACACAACTGTGGCAACTGTGAAATATTTAAAAAAGAAAACTTTTTAAAGTCTGCAGAAAAACATATCAACAGCAACATATTTTTTGAATGCACTGCAAAAAAACATCGAAGTCACTGCGTATCTTTTTATGTGCTACAACCAATTTAAAGTTGCAACATATTTTCTTGTGTCAAAAAAAAAACAATTTAGATGCTTCACTTATATTTTATTTTTATTTTTTGCTGCAAATAAAAAACATTTCACTTATTGCATATTTTTTGATGTCCTGCAAAATAAATCAACTTGCTGTATATTGTTTCTAGTGTGCTGCCAAAAAAAGAGACCCGGTTGTATTCTGTTGTGTAATCAATTGTATACCTATGTTTTGTGAATAATGACCATGACTAGCTGCATTGATTACTTATTACTTGTTGAAGACCCAAACAAATCCATCATCCGTCCAGCTCCTCTTAGTTCTGATATAACTGCCCTTCTAGTGTCACTTGCTGATGAAAGCCATACCCGTCTCCTTAGTCTGAGCCCTTTTAAGAGTGACTTCCACATCCTAATGGACATCTTTATGTCATGATGTGTTGATAGCAAATCAATAATTACACTGTATGTATGTCCATAGTTAAAATACGCTCTTATAAGCTCTAATTCCTCTTCCATCTTTGATACAAAGTTAGACAACAATGAAGGAGCTATTGTAATTAAGGTGAACAAGAAATGACGCAAAGCTGTCACTGAAAATGTTGAGCCAATCACAAACAAGTAGTCAAAATCCTACCCTTTCCGGCTTCTGAAAAGTTTTGTGCAGAAGTTAAAAATAATGCAGCTTGTGCTAGTCACCTGCTGTCACCATCAACTGCAGCCTCAGCAAGTCAATGACCTGCTGGCTCCACCTGCTGACAATTTGGGCTGCTCGCTGAAACTCCTGTCTGTGACAGAAACAGTCAGCAAAAAAACAATGTTTTTGTGAAACTAATTACATTTAACACAAAGTTTAAAAAGCAAAAACTTTTAACTTTTAAAAAGTACCAACCATTTCATTAAACAAAAAATAAATAAAAGGGAAAAAATGGTTATCATGCATAAAATATTACAACATAATATGTTGTTGGATGACCTTGGCACAAGTCTGAAATTGGCCCTTTTCCCACATGGCCACATTGTGTTTATTTGTTTCTTTGAGCAGCACTCCACATCTCTCTGTTCCTTGCCTAAACTTAAACAGTTAAACAGCACTTTATTCTTTCTCTTCCCAATAAATAATTTTTACATCACTTCATTCATGCTTAAGAGTTCAATTAAGGAGTATTTTTGTTAAATGGTAAAACGGGTGTTTACAAGTGTTTTTGGCTCAAGAAAAAAAGTTCTCTTGAAGTGAGTGAGGAGTGCAAGAAGAGTCAACTTAAATGCGAGGGTTTTAAGAAACTATGCAACTGTGATGATAAACAACTGCTGAGAGAGCTCAGGTTTGCGTCAGGGACACAGACATAGTTAGAAGAAGTGGTTACCGATGCCAAGTCAGGGAATGAGAACTTGTTGGGTTATTGTTGGTGAATTTTGTTTTTGAGTGTTTCTTGGGCGATAGTGCTGGAGAGTTTGTCACACGATTATTGCAAACTGTTAAAGTAGTTAATTAAATGATTTTTTTACTGGTTTCTGTGAATTTGTATAGAAATTAATCTGAATTTTACAAGATTAGTATTTCAAATTTTCAGTAAGCTTAAAGACTATTGTTTCCATTAATGTCTTCTTAATAGTCTTAAGTTTGTGAGCGGTGTCTCAGTCATACTGATGGTGTGTTGCATTATTTGGAAGTATGAAGTTCAACATGTAGTTTCTTAATATCACCTGGTATTGGATAAAAATACTGACAGCAACAAGAGCAAACTTTATTTGTACGTTTTCACTTTTTAAACTCAAGGGAAGGGAATAAAAGTCATATATTCAGATCTATATGGTTAGGATTTATTCAGCATTTTTCTGCCAGACATCTTAATCGATAAACTATCTTTATCAGATTACAGCATGAGTAACAATTCAAAAGCCAGGATAAACCAGTTAATGTAAACCTGACTCACTCTCTCTGCAAATCTCCACTATTATGGTAAAGTTGAGACTCTGTTTAATTATTTTGTTTGTTTTTAAGTTCACATATGGGATACACTTTTAATAGCCCTTGTGATGATTTTCTTCAATCCTTTCATCAGTAACTTGTTGTGTCTGCTTCAAACCTTCAGTTGCTGTTAAAAAGACTAAATTTTCTCAAGGAGACATTATGGGACCGAATAGACAAGGTCAGGGTCTCTGCTTAATCAGCATTTCCACTTAATGACAGAACGGGTACACACTCCAGTCCAGAAGGTAGCGCTAGTTGGGGACGCAGTAAGCCACACACGGAGAAGAAGATAGTGTTTTTCATCACCACTTCTTCCTCGGCTCTGGATTCAAATCAAACAGTGAAAGCAAAAATTAATGCATACTTCAACGGTGATGGACGGTATGAGTAGGTTTCAATCCCAGCTGTCCTCCATCATGGAAAAACTGGTGGTTTCTGCAGTGACGGAGATCAACCAGCTGATGTGTGAGTACTGCACCGTCCTCCGGGTGCAGCTGAGCCGGGAGAGACAGGACAGCAGCGCCGTGAGTGAGACCCCGATGCTGCACAGAGCCGATACCGGCTTCATGCGGGACTCTCAGCTCGGTAAGGTGACATGCCACTAAAGCAGAGTATGATGCAGAGAGTCAGTGGGACTGATCACGACGGAGCATTTACACCAGAAGGAGCACAAATAGGGGAGACCGGGAGCATCTGTGACGAATTGAAGGTTTAAAGTCACCACTAAAGAACCTTCTGGCTAAATGTATTTTATTTTATTTTATTATTATTATTATTATTTTAAATTAAAGCAGTAACTTGTCTCTGTTTTGCCTTTCAACAGCCTGTCACACTAGCAACGTTAGAGTATTAATACTGATGGAAACACTAAAGGTTGGTGTTAAATCTGCCACCGCCGTACTGAGGTAGCCCCCATGAGGACAAGTGTAAAATAACATCACTTTAAATCATGCAAAATGCGTTTGACTGTATTCTCATAATTACTTAAAGGGATCTTCTGGGATAAAGATTAAGTTAGGATCAAACACACCATAACATCGAGTAAGACACTCCCTCGAAAAGTGCAGCGGAGTTTTGCAGCTCAAGGAAGAACATTTATGATTACTACTTCATGGAAATGCAATCGGGCCGTGGCTGCTGGAAGAGAGTGGGTGAGTTGTGTTTGGTCTCTTTGCTAAAGGAATCATCAAAGCTAAAAAGATGTTTGATGGCTAGTGCTATGGATGGGACCCTACATGTACTGTTCAGAATCAGAGAATCAGAGTGTCCTTTATTGTCATCATACTAAAAGTACAACAAGATTGGAGAGCTACTCCTTTTCCAGTGCAATAGACAAGTAAAAATACGGTAGTAAAAGTACAAATAGTTGTAAGAAAGAAGGTAATATACATACAAGACAAGAATTCTACAGAACAGTAAAATAAAATGTACGTGTAGGAAAAAAATAGAAAGATAAATACTAAAGAAAATTATCAAAAATAAATATATCTGTGTTTGAATATATGTATATATGTACTTTTTTATATTTATATGGACATGTGTTGCACAGGTTAAGGATATAATGATCGACACAGCAGCAGTAACATTGGTAATATTGCACTTGTTACCTCATCTTGAGGGCTGGAGCTGGTTTATGGGAGTTTATGGGCAGCAGGTCAAACAGCTGGGCACCGGGGTGTGAAGGGTCCTGGATGATGTTTTGAGCTCTGCTGAGGCACCAGGTGGAGTAGATGTCTGTCAGGGAGGGGAGAGTTGTTGATAAAGTTAGGTGCTGTTCTGAGCATTATTTGTGGCTATAGAGTGGCTTTTTGGTTGAGGTGTGCGCATGGAGTGATAGACTGCTGTGTATTGCTATCGTGCGGTTGTTACTAAAATTGGTATAACTGGAGAAGCAAGCAGTCGGCAACATTCATCTCTCAGGGGTGGGGGGTCTAACTTGGTGTTTCGGTGTGTTTGACCATAACTTAATTTTACGCCAGAATATCCCTTTAACAGAGGATTGCCCAAGAGTATGTCATTGATTTGAGGTTTTCTTATGGTTTGAGTAGTCCATATGCACCTTTACATATTTGTTTGATTTATTGTACATACGCATCTGTTTGTATGAGCAGGTGGGTAGAATGAACTGGAATCAAAAATGTGTTCACATACTGCCTCCAGGGGATAATCCATAGTCCATCTGTCCATACACAGAAGAACCCTCTTTTTTGAAGATAAGATCCTGCCAGCATTGCCTCCATGCTAAATAGGCATAACTAACAAAAAGAGGGCTAATATATGATTATACACTGGTTGTACCCCTGATCTCTGCGTGTGAATCAGTTTCATCTGACTATTTCTTCAGATGAGCTGGTTTTATTTTATCCCACTTGCATTTTTCTGTGCTTTGTGTAATTTTAGGAAACAATGAAGAGGAATTGCAGCAGCAGGTGGGTCAGATGAAGAGTAAGGGGACCACTGACAAGCAGGAGGAGGTGAGGCTCTTCACTCAGACAAGGGAGTATCTATATTTGGTTCCGTGCGTTTTTATTGTTACAAATGCTCTTTGAGAAACCATTAATTCCAGATTTTTATTTGTATCCCAACAGCAATCAATACATAAAATTCTCTAATGAAAACAGAGCTTCAGTGTCCTGTCACAGGATTGTAATGAATCGACCCATTCATGTCATAGTAACGTGCATTTCTTTTGCAGGCTGTAACAAAAGACTTTGCGCTGCTATGATTTTGATTATAATGATTAGATTTTCATTTGACATGTATTTGAACTTGTGAATATTTGTGAATATTTAATGTAGAAATTGTAAAAAACTTTTTCTTCAGCTGCTCGACTGACTTCTACTCCCCTTGAACCAATTTCAAGCGTTAAAAAATATAGAAACCCTTATTTTTGTCATGAATGATCTTGTTTGCATTTGCATATTATACAAGGACATAAATGTAATTTTTTGTTGATTTCATAGATGTAAAAATATCTCCTCACAGGAGCTTGGTTAGGGTTAGCAGTGATGTTGTTAGCCGGCCTTAGCTGTTGGCTGTTTTTGTTGTAGGCTGATTCATAGAGTCTCTGAAGTGTCTGACCCACAACCTTTGAACAGCTTCTCATCTGATAGAGCAGCTTGGACTTCAAAGTCGTGGACTTTGTTGTATACCATGCAGGACACTCGCAATCACAGAAATAAAAGACAAAACAAGGATGAAGAAACCAAATCCTGCTGTGTGTGTGTGTGTGTGCGCGTGCGTACGTGCGTGCGTGCGTGCGTGCGTGTGTGTTTTGTTCACAGATAAATTCAGTCTGATCTTTCTAAGAAATTAAAGGGTCCATCGATGCACCAAAGTAGTTATAAGATAACACTTACTGGATTTTTTTCAGGAACGAATGAGAATCTGGTGTTTCACCAAATATAATTGTTGTTTCTTGTTTTGCTGTTTGCCACAGAGAACCCTGAGGCCTATAGACTGCAAGTTTGAACCAAACACTGTGAAATCGGAGGATCCTTCAGTGGAGCAACTGAGGTTAACAGGTAATCGTGTTTTTCTTTCTTAAAATTTTTTTTAGCTAAAATAACACTCTCATGTCCACAGTGGCCACCAAAATGACTGAAATAAGATCCTCATCCCTCTCTTTTCAGGAGCTCCTCCTGCACTCTCAGCCACATGCTTGCAGGTTGGGGAGAATCTTCCACATCAGATCTCCCAGTCCTGCAGTGAACCTCCAGAGGCCAGCAAAGATCTACACACTGACTATAACCCGTCTGTGGAGATGCAATGCAGGTTAAGTTTATCTCCGAGTGCAGCTCAGTTCACCGATCTGGGATTTCAAATCAAAAGAGAAGCAGAGAGTCCAGATTTACAGACTCAGGGTGAAGATGTAAATCTGAGCTTTGAACTCCAGCAAGGGATTCTGGGTCAGATGTACACAGAATCTGTAGCATTTCCTGCGGGCAGCTCTGTGTCTGACACCCCAGTGCCCACATGTTTTAGCAGCCTACAACAGTCAGACAATCAGCGCGTCTTAAGAGTATTGACTATCCCTGAGTTATCACCTGACAGACTGTACCCTGCAGACAGAGAAACACCCAGTCACCAGTTTGAACGGAGGCGGGCAGCTCAGTACCGGACACCTGGGCGGTTTAAATGTGACTTCTGCGGGAAAGGTTTTCCTTTCCTGAGTGCGATGAAAGGCCACAGGCTCTCACACACAAGGGAGAGGGATCAGGTCTGTGGCCAGTGTGGGATGACTTTCATCAGGCGCAGCCACCTAAAGCGCCATGAGATGCTGCACGCTGGTGTTAAACCGTTTACCTGTCAGGTCTGTGGACGCAGTTTTACTCGCCAAGCCCACCTTAGCTCACACATGAAGACTCACAGCATGTGAATCCAAAATGTTTCTGTCTTGATGCCAGACTGTGTGTGATTGTAATCAGACCAGAGAGTAACATCTCAGCAAGGAGAATCTTTACTGTTAAAACCCAAGGCCGTCTATTGCTTTTCTATTTGAAAATTTGGTAACACTTTATTTGACGCCTATCTCTATAACGCATTATAAATGTATGTATAATGCGTTATAATCATATTATAGCACTGCATAACTATGGTTATAAAAACTCATAAATGATCATAATGCTTAATAGCAATAATCATAACACATTATAAAGCATTTTATCATGACTTTCAAGGTTAGGTATTATAATGTGTTATAACTGTTCACAAATCACTGATAATGCCCACATAGATAACGCATTAAACTTATATTTATAATGTGTTATAATTTGCTTCTAAACTTGTTTAACTATTATAAACACTTATTAATTTTCATAAGGCTTTATAACAATAAGCATAACACATTATAATACCTGACCTTGTAAGTCATGATAAAATGCTTTATAATGTGTTGTGATTAGCATTACGCATTTTGATCATTTATGAGTGTTTATAACTATAGTTATACAGTGCTATAATATGATTATAACACATTATACATATATTTAAAATGCGCTATAGAGATAGGCGTCAAATAAAGTGTTACTGAAAATTTCATACCCATGCTAAAATGGTTATAGCTATGTAACCGTATAGCTATGTGTAACAGTTAGGGGAAAATTTGTGAGATTTGTTGAGATGTGTTAATATGAGTATATGAGACGTCGAAGTCCCCCAATTGGGAACGTTCAGGCTACATCGATTTAAGAGCTGCTGAATAAGCAGGAAGAGGTTATGAGATCAATAAAACAGCATTTTTTTTTAACCACTGAGGAGACAAATGCACTCCTATATATGATGTATTGATTCCAAGAAATATACAAGAGTGTAAAAAAGTGTGACAACAAGCCCCGCTCTCCCCTATTCTAAAAGTTTGAGACATGATTTCTGATTTTCACGTAATGTAAGACATAAACATAAAATCAAAACAATAGAATGGCTTGAAATGTTTCATTTAACGTGCATAAATGAAGACAAATGAACTTTTTCAACATATTCTTACATATCCAAATGTAGATATTTGGAGAGCTTTATGGGTGTCATCAAGTAATAAAATTGTGCGTTCAGTGATAGCACATCCGAAAGATTAGCTAATGATTCTTTATCAGGTGGTGAATGACCATTTATCTGTTTATAACTGAGACCAGTATGCCAATGGTGTTCGCCGCCCCGTGTCCGCCTGGTGCGCTCTGCTGGCTCTGCGTCAGACAGCTGAGAGGCGCAGCTCTGCACAGTACACTAACGAACTGCAACTCTGCGGGTGCAAGACGCATCACAGTCCAGACAAGTCCCAGAACATCTGTAATGGGTATTTGGATCACCTGGAAATTTTAAGGTAAGACTCTGTAAACATGAATGGTTTGTTGTTTCATCCGAGGTTGCGCATTCTCCAACGCTCGTTGATGCAAAGTCTTTAAAAAGTGAGAATACGAGTACTATATTTGCGGAAAGAAGCCTTTTTGTTAGACCATGTTGTTTTCTAATAAACCAATCATTATTGCACTTTTTATTGATTTGATTGTAGGCGGTTTTGTGACAACATTTGCCATGTGCCAGTACGCGTAGATTAAGGGATCTAATCTGGATTACAGCGAGCATAACCGAGAGATAACCTCCACTCTGTTCGCGAGTTCATATCATATAAGAAACACAGAAAAGACAAGAGATATCTGAGTTCAGGGTAAAACGTTGTAAAGCCTCTTTGCTTGTTTCTATTGACACTTGTAATTACAGCCTGTGAATGAGAAAATGCGGCTGAAAGGGTGTTTCTGCCAACAGTCCTCTGCACCCTGATACTTAGATGTAGGGTGACCAATGTCCTGCTTTTCATGGCTTTTCATTTGGCCACTAGGATTAAGAAGAAAAGTAAAGCAATAGCAGTTTTGTGAAAGTTGGATCGCTAATAGTAGTATTTTTAGTTTTACTTGTTTGTTTTTTTTAATTCAGAAGAGACATTATTTCTGTGATTGCTTCACTCGTTATTTTTGAAACTTGTCATAATAAAACATGCTGAATAACCTATGAGAAGCCTATCTGAAATTGTATCTTTGCTTTTAGATAGTATTATATATAGTATTTAGTAATATAACTGTTTTCTATCCCTGTAAGGCATCTTTGAGTAAACCTCATGTTTAATTTAAGTATCTCATTGTTGGATCGAGTGTCCTGGTGTTCAGTTATCAAAATATAATAAGATGTTAATCATTATAGGGTGTGGATGTATGTTATAGGGCGGTCATTATTTCCGTTTAGTATGTAGTCTTTTTATGTACATGTTAAAACTCAGGTAGCACGATCAAATAAAGAGAGAGAAACAATATTTTACGTTTAAAGAACTTGAAGTTCTTGAAAACATGCATTTAATATAAGTATGGCCCTGTGCTTGAGCACATGTAAGCTGCTCTGAATGTTTTTAGTAGAAATCTGTGTAGAGGTGGCATGTGGGACTGTCTGAAAAATCAGAAGTCAATCAATCAATCAATCACTCTTTATTTATAGAGCACTTTTCATACATAACATGTAGCACAAAGTGCTTTACACAGAAAAAGGAATAAAATAAACAAAGAATACACAAATTTACCCCAACCCAAGATTAAAAGAATACCCAAATCTACCCCAGCCCAACCCCTCATTCCCACCCTATGATATAAATGCAACAGAAACAGTATTAAAATGCATAAACTTAAAAAGGGCTTGATTTCATGGAAACAGGAAAGGGAATGTGCGGACTAAGGAAACTTCATCTTAAAACTCAAGATAAGGAATCACCGGAGGTTTATTTTAAAATCTAAAAACAAAGGAACATGGAATGAAATTTAAGAAGTAATAGATAAAATGAACAACAGTAAAAGATACTAAAATAAGAGCACCAAAATAGCTCAATAAACCCTCCTGTGATTAAAAATAGAATAGATAAACGCTAAAACACTTAAACAGAGTAAATGGTATAAAATTTAGTTAACAGCAAGACTAAAAAGGTACGTTTTCAGTTTGCTTTTAAAATCATTACGATTGGGTGCAGTCCTCAGGTCTTCAGGTAAGCTGTTTCATAGACGGGGGCCGTAGTAATAAAAAGATGCCTCACCGTATGTCTTGGTTTTAACTTTCAGTGTTGTTAACAGAGAACGTCCTGAAGACCTGAGGGTTCGACCTGGCGAATAAAGTAAAAGAGGATCCGATAGATATGAAGGGCCAAAGCCATTAAGAGCTTTAAAAACCAATAAAACAACCTTAAAATCTATCTAAATGTCCTAGAATGATCAATTTGAGCAGAGCTGGCTGAGTATCCTTCACCAGATGAATGTGCAGTCCACTCTGCAGCTGCAGTATCACACCCCACTGTGTGAGCTGCAGAGGTCAAACTCTCCTCATGTACTGTTTTTGTTGCCATCTTGAAAGATTCAGTCAAGTGCATTTCCACACAACAGCGTCCCGTACTTCCAGCCATTCTCTTTAGGAGTTTCCTTAAACCCCAAAGTATTGTTGACATGTGCGTTAGTCCATTAAACAGCTTCACTAATGCATCTAAAGCCAGGATCATCTCATGCTAAGGCGCTCAGCGCTGTTTCGTATCGTGCTGTTTTGTGTAGGCTGACACCTGTTGTGTTTTTCTGTTTTGTCTTAGAAACTTTAGTCCAGCGCAGCCTCTATCTGCCCTGCACAAAAGAAGGTGTAGAGGAAGAGAGCGCTTAAACGGCTCTTTTCTCCAAGGACTGCATTTACACAGGAAGTTGACCAGCTGGTGAGGTGACGAAGAGGACCTAATCATGCAAGGGTGCGGAGAAGGTACCACCCTGCGCTACAGGCTGACTCTGGCTTCAGGGATGGTGGAATGCCTGGGCTTTGCTGGCCTGGTGTTTGGGTTTGCATCGCTGGTATTCGTGCTGAAGGCAGATGGCTACTTCAGTGATTTGTGTGTCAGTCATCCAGGCACCAACACTACAGGTAAAACACCCAAAGGTGGTCAGGGTGGTTCTCAAGTCCAGTCCTCGAGGCCCACTGTCCTGCATGTTTTGGATGTTTCCCTGCTCAACACACCTGATTCAAATGATCAGCTCGTTATTAAGCCACTACAGAGCTTAATAACGAGCTGATCATTTGAATCAGGTGTGTTGGAGCAGGGAAACATCCAAAACATGCAGGACAGTGGGCCTCGAGGACTGGACTTGAGAACCAGTGCTCTAAATGGACCAATATTTTCAACATTGAACTCATGCTGCTTTGGAGAGGATTTAAAACTGGCAAATGAGGCTGCTTGATAAGTTTGAGCAGACTCGTCCTTAAGATGGAGGTATGAAAGAAAGAGAGGATTCAAAAGTAGGCGTTTAGAAGTAGCAGTAATTGATCTGTGTCGCTTCTGGCGCCCCCTGTGGACAAACTGATACTGTACATGTCAAAGTTGTATTTCCAGACTTAAACGCTTTTTGACAAAGAAGTGTATCACTTACTGAGAGTATTTGCAGTGTTAAAAGTCAAAAGTAGGCTATTTTTATCTTAGTGACGGTCACCTAGCCCCTCACAGCATCGTTAAGCCTTAAAAATTAGGATGGTGAAATTAACAGAACAGCTGCTGATGGTCTCTTTTGCTTTTGAAGGTCATAAAGAGGAACCAATTACAGTTTTAGTCTGTTTCTAAACCAGTTTGAAACTCCTTGCTGTGCCTTCAGCATATTTCATTCATTCTTATTGTGTCTGATTTTAATCTTATTTTATTCAACTCAGACTTTTTCCTGTGAGCGGATTGTTTTGGGCGTTTTATTGATGTCCTGTTGGAAACTCTGTTGACTGTCTCTCTATTGTGTTAAAAGCACTTTGTAATTCCAGTTTTGAAAAGTGCAATGTAAATGTAGCTTCTTTGTCTTTGCAATAGTCGTAACAGACAGACAGACTGTAGGGAAGGGTATAAAGTTATTCTGGTCTGCTCGGCTCATTGATCCCTAAACTCACATCTTTATCTCCCATTTGACTGGCGCTCTGTTAAAAATTGACTAATAACCCACTGACTATAACCTCTGTTCTAATGGCAAGTTTTTGCATGTATATATTTCCACACAAACATCCAGCAAAGGCAAAAATATCATGCATTACATTCAGTCCTCATCCTGCTCTCAGTGTTCACTCTATCTGTCTGTTTATTAATATCCCATCATGATCTTCCGTTTGCAGACTGCAGCAGGCAGGACGAGCAGTTCTCCCTGATCTTCACCATCGCCTCTTTCCTCAATAACTTTATAAATCTACTCGTCGGCTACCTGTTTGATCGATTTGGCACTATGGTGACCAGGCTCCTGGGCATGTGAGTTCATTTTGGTTGAACCTCTGCAAACACAAACCAAGACAAATCTCAACACTGAAACTAAAGACTCCATCTGTGTCACTTTCTATGTTAATGTAGGAGACTCACAACTTTATGACAACTTTTGATTTTCATATTCCGGGTTTTTACTTTTAAAAATGTCTCACATAGCATGATGAAATTCAGTTTTAAAGATGGTCACATTTTGAAAGTGGTGGTCATTATTGAATGTGTTACATGGGCACGCTCAGGATATGTGAGGTCAAATGTATGTTTCAGTTTGCTCTTGGGTTCAGATCAGTTTCTACAGTTTTCAGTTGGAGTGAGGGGGTACCAGTTTGGGCTGCAGAGATAACAGGGAGTGTCTGACAGGGACTGAGAGATTACAGCTCACTTCATTTGACCCCAGATCACGTTTGAACAGCCTGTTTTTGTTCACGGAAAACAGAAATCCCTTAAAAGAAAAAAAAAAAAACAGGCAACCCAAGTTCAGACTGAAAATTTGTTAGCTGCAAACGCATTGACCCCAGACTTTTCTCTACAAAGTTACATTTCACTGGAAACACGTGCCCGCACTGTTGTTACACAACTTTTTGCATGATAATGTAAGAAACGAAGATAAGTAAATCCTTCCAAGAGTTGCTCTGTCCTGGGACAGTGAGAGTTGTAATGTTATACATTGACAGTTTTGTTACTCATCTATTCTTCGTGGCACACGTGGATGCATATCTTTAGATAACATAATACAGGTTATCAGGATGACTGTATAACAACACCAAAACGGTGAAAATGTCCTTTAAAGTTATGAAAAAGACTTTCAAATAAAAAAAGTACATTTTAAAACATCATTTCAGTTCATAATGGTGAGATAACTGTTTCTTACTTCACCTCAGGGGAACATACTCTGCAGGGGCCGCCCTGTAGTTGATAAAAACATTTGAAAGCCCCTTTGCTCCTTACCAAACAGCTAAGCTGCTTGGCATCATATTAGACCCTAATCTAAATCAGACTAAACACATACAGTAGATAATATAGTGACAAAATGGGAAGGAGCATTGCTGCATTGCAAATGTTCAAAGAAATACACGGAAAGAAGTGACACAGGCTCTAGTCCTGTCACACCTTGAGTACTGCCCTGCCATTTGGTCATGTGCTTCAAAGAACTGCAACAATTGCAAATAGCTCAAAATAATGCTGCAAGATTGATTCTCAAGTGCTCTAAGCGCACATATGTCACAGAAATGCACAGAAAGCTCTCATGGCTTCCTGTTGATAATAGATAACATTGTCATACCATCACTTTTTTCCATAATGTTTTAATGGACAAGAGACCACAGCATTTATACGACCAAGTTTGATATACACAAAATGCACAAAACTACATGACTCTTTCTCTGTACAGTTCTTTGCACACAACTGGGACCCTCCTGGTGGCCTTCTCCTCTGCTGGTAGGTGACAATTGCAACCTGTCCACTGAATTTTAAAGTCAAGAGGGTGGACTTCCTGTAGTCTGTTATGGCTATTCATCAATTCTCTTTGATCTTAAATTGAATGCATTCAATAGTCCCCAGTAACAGCAAGCAGAAAGCTATCCTAGAGCAAAAAATTAGTCACAAATAGTCCTGAAATCGATTTTGTCTGATTTATCACTCTAATAGGGACTTGAGAGGCAATGAAAGATAAAAAAAAAAAAAGAAACAAACAAACAAACATAGCTGGTTATGGTTATGGTTATCATCTAAAATGAACAGTGATCCATCTTTATGAGCTGCAAAAACTTCAGTAACAAGATTCACAATGTCTATTTTGTCATTTTTAATAGTCGTTCCTACTGTGACGGGGTAGATGTTAGATGAGACACCTCAGAAACAGCCTCTCTTCATCTTTTTACAGCAACTATTTACAGTGAGTGAGAAATCTGGCTAGTTAAAGAAAGCAGGATAAGATATCATGTCAGAAAAAAAACTTCATAAATGTTTTTGACAAAATCAGCAAAGAAGTAGCAGATGCTGCTCTGCCCATTCGGGGCATAAAAAGGGCCACTTTGATGCTGAAAGTTTCCTACAGGAGCTTTAAGTGATAATGGAGAACCGTCATTTTTGTCTTGTTTTTGTCTGCCTTTGAATACCTATTGGATATTTCTTTTTTCAGCATTTATCAAGTATCTCATCTTTGTCTCAGATTTGTTAAGAAGTTTGTTGTTGTTGATGTGCTCAGACCAGGGTTTGACTCCAAACCTCAAACATAAAAAAAACTGCAGCAAAAGTAAAGATTTTATCAAGCAGAGTCAAAGACAACCTCACCATTCCATCAGTTCAGTCGTCCAAAATTTAAAATTACTCACTTTACAATTGTATAAAACAGAAAGAGAAAACCCTCACTGGCAGGATAGTTTTGTTCTGTTTTGCTATAGTTTTGTTGGCGTTACTGCTTTTGGAATAAATAAATTGTTTAGTCTTAAAAACTGCTCATTATCTCTTTCTCATTTAAGTAGTTCAAATAACTGATTTTGCCCAATAAGAATTTATATTTTATGATGGTAAACGTATGAGACATTAACTAAAACTTCCATTCATCTTATAAATCAATATTCTTATCTATTCATGTGAAAGTGCTGCTGAGATTTTTACATTTAAGGGCTTGTGTGAGACGCAACTGTATTGTTTTATTGTTGAGATCATATTGACACATACCGAAGGGCATGGACTTATCTTTCTTCCGGGTAACTAACTAACCGATTTAAAAGCTTCCTGTTTTTTATTTTTTATTCAGTTGAGATTTCTGTGAGAAATATTAGAAATCAGTGTTAAAGTGAACTGAGGACTGCAGACATTAAAGCAGGGATTGAATGTAGTTAGTAACATTCTTAACAACCCTAAGATTAGACGGGGACTTAAAATAGAATTTCAAAAAGTGCTTTATTTGGTGTTAAGAAAAAACCTGGAACTGACAGAGCAGGATAAGTTTTAATATTTTTGCTTTCAAGGTAGCAGCAGCAAAGAATACTTGTTTACTCTCTCTTTTTTTGTTTGGATACCAGACTTAAGTACAGATTAGGCCAAAATCAAGATGTTAATAAAAACTTTCAGAGACTTTCTGGAAGTTTTAGCAGCCCTTAAACAGATTTCTTGTTTACGACTAATGAAGCTAACATGAGTGGGTTTTAGCAGACTATCAATTTTGAATTGCATTTTACATGTTTATGGCAGTTCACTTTCACCACTAGTAAATTAAATGTTCTAGAAATCTATCAATAAAATGATTTCTTTAACTGTATGGAGCACAGTAAACTCTGTTTTATACTTTTGTAGCATTTTCAAACCTGCTGTTTCCTGCATTGTCCTGCATCGCTGTGGGAGGTGTCCTCTTCCTTCTTACTAACATGCAGGTAAAGTCAACATTAATTTAAAGATTTCTTTAACTCACTGAAGTGCAAAGTTGAGTTTTGTGTAAAACACATTCAAACTCTCAGGGAGCCCAGAATGAGACATTTTTCTGATAAGTGTTTATTTATCTGTCTATCTTTAAGGTAGGAAACCTGTTCCCTCATCACCGCTCCACCATTATCACCCTCTACAATGGAGCCTTTGACTCCTCCTCAGCTGTGTTTCTCCTCATCAAGGTAAAAAGGGTGAACTAGTTTCTATGAGTGGTTGTCAGGGACATTATCCAGGAATTCTATTTACACACACATATAAAAAAAAAACATATTCACACACTAAAGTAAAAACTTCACACACTTACAAGTGAAATGCTCTCACACACACTACTGAAATGTACTCATACACACTTTTGAAATGCTCTCACAAACATGACTGTACGCCTTCCTGTGACACTGAAATCTTAGAACTGTTTATAAGAGCATTTCAGTAGTTTGTGAGAGCGTTTAAGTGGTGAGTATAAGAGCGTTTCAGTAGTGTTTGTGAGAGTGTTTGAGTTGTGTATGTGAGAGCGTTTCAGGAGTGTATGTATAACAGCATTTCAGTGGTTTGTGTGATCATTTCAGTAGTGTATCTAAGAGCATTTCAGTAGTTTGTGAGAGGGTTTGTGTAGTGTATGTGAGAGGGTTTCAGTCGTGTGTGTGTGTGAGAGAGTGTTTGAGTGGTGAGTATAATTGCATTTCAGTAGTGTTTGTGACAGCGTTCAAGTAGTGTTTGTGAGAGCATTTCAGTAGTGTATGTAAGAGCATTTCAGTCGTGTTTGTGAGAGCGTTTGAGTAGTGTTTATGAGAGCATTTCAGTGGTGAGTATCAGAGCATTTCAAGTGTTTGTCAGAGCATTTGAGTAGTGTTTGTGAGAGCATTTTAGTAGTGTATGTAAGAGCATTTCAGTAGTGTTTGTGAGAGCAGTTGAGTAGTGTATGTGAGTGCGTTTCAGTAGTGTGTGTGAGAACACAACATTTCAGTAGTGTGTGAGAGAGCGTCTCACTTGTAAGTGTGTGAGGTTTTTACTATAGTGTGTGAATATGTTTTGTTTGATACGTGTGTGTGAGTGGTAATCTTGAATAATGTCCCTGACAGCCAAGTTTCAGTGAGGCAATTTTAATTTCAAATTGTGCCAGTATCAGAAATCATTTAGCCGATGGGGAAACATCATAAAACAATAACAGCTCTCCAAGGCTGTAGGCTGTACTAAGTCATTGATTACTCACCAAACTAAGACAGACAGCCAAAAAAGAAGAAGAGGACTCTGCAAAAGTGGTGAAAACATAAAAAAAGATGATTTTAGGTCCATGTTTCACAAAGTGCAAGACAAAATGCAAATACAGGCCTGCAAAGTGTACTTCATAGAAAACAGAAGTTACAATCTATAGCATACCATTTAAGCAGCATGAGCTCCAACTTCAGTTGATGTCATCTATTCCCTACATGTTTAACCAAAACCTTTTCTGCTTTTCAGATTTTGTATGAACAGGATGTTTCTCTCCGTACCTCCTTCCTGATTTTGTCCTTCTGCAGCATCATACATTTGTTCAGGACCTTTGTGCTGATGCCTCGAACCCACATCCCCTACACTCTGCCACAGCACTACACCTACGGGTGAGGACATGAACCAGTCTGTTGCAACTAACGTATTAGGATAAACGGATCACATTTAGACTGTACAGTCATATTTGTTGTTTCTTCTGTCTAGATGGGATTGTGGAAAAGGAAACACCTATAATGTGGAGCAGCTGGAAAAGATAAGAGAGGGTGGCATGGGAACGTCTTTGGAGTCCAGTGAAAAGGACAATTTACCTCCAGCAGCTGTGGATGGGACACACTCTGAAAAAAAAGGTAGTAATTCTTTAGTTGTTGACATTAACTCCCTCCTGACTGGTGTTAAACACTTTCATTTAGCAAACTGCTTTTGCTTCTATCTCATTTACAACAATGCTTTAAAAAACACCATAAATCCTCAATTAATGACCAGTATTTAGTCAGCAGCTGGGACAGACTTAGATTTCTGGGAATATGGAGAACAACTTAGTGGTGAGTTTGCAATGATCACCACAACCATCCATACATCCTGTACAGTTAGGCTATAACCACATCAGATTAGAGTTAACCATTTCACAGGTCATCTTTGTGTAGTTTTTTCTCTCTTTTTCTTTTTGTTGTGACTGAGTTTACCGCTCAGTGCATCTTCACGTCCGCCCAGAGCTGCTTCGTCAGCACACATCCTGACAGCACAAAAATAATGCATTTACAGTATGTGACAAGCTGACTGAAGGTGAAGAGTCTTTGACCTCTTGGAGCGAACCAGGAAATTATTATTTTAAAGATAAATGATTAATCAGTCAGGCGTACCAGCACCATAAGTAAATAAGACTTTATTCACAAAGATTCAGTCCCTTTGATTCACCCCTTGAATCTCAATGTCACTATTTATTCATGGACTATTCACAGACAACAGCAATGACTTTAATTAAGTATACTTGGATTTAAGAAGTTTTCAGTTTTGTGAAGGATGTGTACAGATTTTAATGTGGCTAACAGCCATTTGTTGTGTTCTGATAGGTTGCTGCTCTAGTGCAGCCACTGGTGTTTCTAAAAGTCATTGTACCCTGAAGTTCACGTCTCGATTCATGTCCATTTTTTTGCCTTTTCAGTGGAGAGTTTCTGGAGCTGTGTGCAGTCCTGGTTCTTCATCTTGCACCTGCTGTGGTTGTCTGTGATGCAGCTGAGGCATTACCTCTTCATTGGCACGCTAAACCCCAGGCTCACACGGCTGGCGGACAATGACCCCGACCTGGGTAGGTTATCATAAATGCTGTTGACCCTTTGTCCCACATACTGACTGACTGATCTAAAGTTATAGCTTTGTTTATCCCTGAAGTTTCCATTTTCATCTCCTCATTATGACAATCTAACCTTAAACTGTGTTGTCTTTTTTTTGCTTTTCCCTGTCATCCTCAGTGAGTAAGTACACTAATGCTTTTGCCATGACCCAGATGTGTGGAGTGCTGTGTGCTCCCTGGAATGGACTCCTCATGGACAGACACAAGGGGAAGCCCCTGGCTCCAGGTAAATCAGTAACTGACAGTAAAACCTCCTAAGTGCAGCAAAGCCACTTTCATTGTAACATCACTGTAACTGTTATGCCTCCTGCAGGAGTAACCGAGCAGGAGGCAGACCTACGCTCCTCTGTGCTGTCTCTGTTCTTAACCTGCCTGCAGTGCCTGGTGTTCTCAGTGTGTGCCTCCATCCCCTTTCTCCCTCTCCAGTACCTCACCTTTGTTCTGCAAGTCCTCAATCGTTCCTTTCTTTATGGGGGAACTGCAGCATTTGTTAGCATTGCGTGAGTAGCAGCCATACACTTAGACACACTCTTACACACACTTCGGACAAAATAGACGAGAAATGAGAAGATGCTCTGCAAAGTGGACCAGCTTCAGACAACTCAGCTCTAAACCTTTATTTCCTCAGAGTTTTGGACTGCCTGGTCTCTTTCTACAGCGGTAGTTGCACTATTACTCAAAAAATTCCAGTTCCTGGTTCAAAGTTTTGCAATTGTTTGTACAACCCTAATTAAAAAAAAAAAACAGGGCACTGTCTAAAATGTTGGTAAAACAGAACTTGATGGTTTGCAAAACATGTGAACATTTAATTAAATTGCAATGTGTGCAAAGACAATCTAACAAATATTGACAGACAGTTATTTAATGAAAATCTTAAGCTAAATTTTAAAGTTGATGCCAGCACATGCTGCAAAAAGGTCAGGACAGGCCCTGAAAAAGCTGTGTAGAGCTGGAGGAAAGCCTTGAAGAACAGTCTACTTTAGGTCGCCTGTCGCAGCCTGCCATGATCCTTCTGTACAACTTAAGTTATGTTTCAAGTAAATCAGGTACATAAGATTTGACTTGGACTGCAAAATCCCTACTGAGGTTTAATCCTGAAAGATTTATGAACTGATGAGCTGAACCAAAATTCAAAAGGCTGGGAACTATTCTTACCTATTTACTCGCAAATGTGGATCTTCTCTCGTCTTTGTCTGCATACACACAGCTTCCCATTTCCTCTTAAAATAATCATAATAAAAAAACCCAGCTCTGTACACTGATGACCAAAAATTTGGATGCTGTTATGAAAATGTATGAAGGAATTAACAAGTGTCTCATACATGTTTAAGACAAACATGTTAAATTTACGTTGTTTTCTCTCCTCTACAGTTTTCCAGCAGCTCATTTCGGAAAGCTGTACGGCATGGTGATGTCTTTGTCTGCAATTTTTTCTCTGCTGCAGTACCCCTGCTTTTCCCTCATCAAAGGAACTCTTGGTGGAGATCCCTTCTTTGTAAGTTTTCAGTTTCAATGAACACTTGAGAAAACCCATCCGATTACACCCTTATCAACATATTGATGCTCAACCCAGAAAGTCACAAAACCTACAACACAGTCCTTCACATTCAGGTTAGGTATCACCTTCGACCACACCCACTCAGACCACTCGAGAAGACAGAAAGTGAGGTATTGTAACTACCTACAGATGAATAAACATCTGGTGTTGTGATCTGTTCCAGGTGGATCTTGCTCTGATAGTCCTCACCTTGATGGTGTTCAGTCATCCTGCCTACGTCTTCATCCACTGCAGGAGACTAGCCCGCGAGCGGGAGAACCAAACCCAGACCAAAGCTGACAGAGGCACCATATTGGCCGAAGCAAAGTTATAGAAACAAAGTCAATTCAGATTTTCAGATCATGTCTACATGCCTTGAGAAAAAAACAATGCCACTTGCCCATGTGTTTCTTTTCAGGGTTGAACTTGGAACCAAATTTTGTACTTTTTTTATACACTTGGCATTTTTATCTAATTACTCTTTACAGATTTAAAATGCTGTTGATATGAGGGAGAAAAGGCATTTTTAAAGATATTTTGTACAGCACAATAAGAGCAAATATTTTACTAAAGTGTTATTGAAGCAGTTTCATTCTGTCAAGTCTGTTTTATTTTTTGAACTGCCTGTGGTTGAATATTTATAAACATTGCAGTGAGCGAATAATTTCCTTGTAGTGTGCTGTTTCTGTCTTACATAAGCAGTGTTGTTTTCGTTGACGAAAATATTTCGTCAATGTCATTGTCAACGAAAACAACACCGCAGAATATGTTTAGCGTTTGACAAAATGCTCATAAATTTTGCAACTCGTTTTCGTCGTCCACCACTAACGTTTTCGTCATCAACATAAACACACATTCTAGTCATCAAAGACTTGTTTAGCTCTTCAACGTTATGTCTTCGTTGTGGAAAAATAGGGGCGTTAACGAAATATTTTCATCAACAAAAACAACACTGTACATAAGAGTTTGTAGACTTTGTAATACAGCTTGTGTTAGTATACTTTATTTTAGAAAAGTATGTGACTGGTATATGTAGATATATATTTACATAACAGTAAGACAACAGAAAAGACACGAACATGAATCAGAACATCACAGTCAAAGACAAAGGGTTGTGCCTATGAGAATAATAGTGGTAAAGCATCAGCAAAGGCACATGGTAGTAGTTTCACACAATGCTAACAGTACTATCCTGGAGACTCAGGTCTATGTTTTGACAATCTCCACAAAGCTGTACACAGTTAACATGTCCACAAATGTTATGTATCCAGAAGAGTTAAGGCACTGGGCCACAACATATTAAACAGATGCAGCAAGGGTGGGTGTCAATCAGGTGTAAAGCAGTCTGAACAATCTTTTTCTCTTGAATGGGAAGACAATGAAACAAAAATATCCTATCAGTGTTTCATTAGGGAGAAGGTTCATTTAGGGCTACATTTTCAACAATAAATGAATTACACAAATGGAATAAAAGAGTACACTTCATATAGTTTAACAGTCCCTTAAATCAAAATTAAAGCCCAACATTAATCCCAATGAATAAAGCCGGTAGACCAAAAATTTGTCAACGACTAAAATAACAGAATACCTCTACTGCAATATAGGCAGAAGAATTAATACTACAAGAAAATAGTGGGCTTTTTTTCTACTAGGAGTATTTAGTTCACAGTAGACTGTTTCTAAGAAGTTATTTTCCATTTTTTTTTATTCTTCTCCGAGGGTATTCTTAAATTTTCCAGGCTCTTCACTTCCTTTCTGATCACTTTTCAGTAGCTTTACAGATCAGGGAAAAAGCCTTGTTAGCTTCGGTCTCTTTTTATTGTAAATATAAAAAAGCATGATACCCTCTTTTTACTTTGTTATTCACAAACTAATGATTCTCTTCTTCCCTCAAACCTCTACACCTTTGGTCTCTTACTACAAACCTGCTTCAGCTGTTTCCACTTCTCTTGCTCTACACAGTTGCTCTGTTGACTTGTTTCATCAGTAGTTTATCTTATAAAAAGGTTCCCTCGCACACAACTTCATTTGGATTTTTCACCTCGAGCTCCAGTTGTGCTATAGCTAGCGAACCGTTTGGATGACTCTCGTTAATCACAAAGAACAACAAAACTATCAAAACCAATAGCTACCAAATGACATGAGTATGAACCAGGAACATTTAAAGTGAGAATGCACAATAGTCAGTGTTTATGAGGGGACACGGTGTCCAAGATGTAAGTAGACCCCTCTACTTACAAAATACAGTTGATACGCGAGTGTTTCGCGTATTCGCAATAATGCTGTTCGGAAGGGTAGAAAAAGTCAATACAAAACTGGGTCACTAAATAAACTGTCATCTGGAGGAAACAATTGTGTTACAGTTAATCAAAAAGGTTCGTTTCTGAGCTTATGGAAAAGGAATGAATGTCATTGGTGTGTTTATGGGATCCTTTCAATCCCACTGTTCCTGTCATCACTCCTCACTGCTACTTGCCCACTCTCAGTAGTGGGCATGTGGTTGTGGTGCAGAAACAAGATGGAGTCCAAACTTTCAGGTGGGATGTTGGCTCTCTTCCTGTAGATGGACTGCGCTTCTCCCTGCACAAATTCCTGTGCAGCACTACCTGCCACCGCTGGGGCGGCCAGGTACACCCGCGCCACTGTGGCTAACAGAGGAAACTGCGCGGCCTTCATCCTCCACCACTGCAGGGGTTCGACTCCAAGTGAAGCTCCTTTATCGGCTTTGAAGACAGACATCTCGACATCTACAGATTCCTCCACCGAGCTCTGCTTGCTCTTTGGGACAGAGGAGAACAGATCACCCAGGAGGAACTCCATACCAGTGAGCCCGCCACCCTCCTGTACATCCTCACTCTCATCAGGCTCCTCTTCTTCACTGTCCTCATCCTCATACTCCATTTCTCTGAAGTTGATCGGGCGAGATTCTTTAAGGCGTTTGCTTCGCCGCAGGTATTCGCTGTCGGACTCTGGTGACTCAGGCGAGGGGCTCCTCTTGCCCTGACTGTGCTTCTTCACTTTGTTTTTCCTACTGTCCTCCTTCACGATCCTCACAGCCTCTTTCTTCAGCCAATCGAAGGTGGCAATCTGCTCCTTAAATAAACAAAAACAGAAATGTTTAGTGTAAATTCATGTGTACCCTTTTTTCCCCACATCTTTGTGATTTCATTAACAAAAGACAAGTTTTAGGCTCATCACCTGGGTCCTATTCAGATGAGAAAATAATAGGGGTGCGCCAAAACAATCGATTCATACAAGAATAACTACGATTGAGAATCTATTTAAAATGTCCCAAAAACGATTTTAAAAGATTAAATATCCGCTGCCTGTCCGCCTCCATTTTGGAACTACGCTGGACGTCCTGACTTCATCACACTGCTGGTTCTGGAATGCATGCATGCGCAGGAGGCACCAAAAAAGAGAGGGAAATACAGTGATGGAGGAAAAGGAGATCCAGCCGACCCCATCTTCACTAAAAGCTAAAGTTTGGCGTCATTTCGGATTTTACTGAATGCCCGGACACACCGACACATGCAGTGTGCCGACATTGTAAAACTAGAATTAAGCATTTCGGCAACACGACAAGTGCGCGGGCTCACGTTACGCTTACGGAGCAGACTAAGCCACCAGCTGCAGATCAATGCATGCTGCAGAGCTGCAGCATGTTTAACTGCACTGTTTTTATATAAAGAGGTACTTTTAGTTTTGTTACTGAAGCAGTATGTGGTATTGCTTGTAAAAATTCCATCTAAGCATAGATAAATGCTTAACGCTTAATAAATGTGAAAAAGACTATTTAATGTCTTCATTTGTCATTCTGTCTTGCACAGCAGATGGGAGTAGATCATGATCAGAAATCATTATAAATAAAATCATTCTGAATCGAAAACCGATTTTAAATCGAATCGAGGCTCCAAAAATCGGAATTGAATCGAATTGTGAGACAGATAAAGATTCCCACCCCTAGAAAATAATGCATTGTTGCAAACCATCTGTAATCAAATCCACCTGGCAGCTGTTTTACTGCATCTGTTATTACTAGTTTAATGTTGTTGACATCCAAATGTTATCATTTAGATGTCAACATTAACCAGCAGCAGGCACACTGGTAAGACTGCCAGCAGTGTCTGCAGACAATATTCATTTTAAGTGATTGATTCAAGTGCAGGTACTGGACATACAAGATTATTTCAGAACGTCATTAATCAGCCCAACAATGTGATCGCTTTATATCTATCTAGGTCCATCAATTCATGGTGATCTCGGCTAACTTGTTTTACTCAGCGTCCGAGTGTGACTACTCTGTCTACCTACATCCAAACAAACGTAGCCAAGTAAGATAACAGCCTGTGATTTGGACCCTCTTTAAATAATCTGGATTGAAAGAATCCTCAGACTGCTTCCATACTAACATTGTACTTAAAACAAGTAATCAGTCCCCCTTCTTATCCTTTTCATGTCTGTCACATACATAATCAACTGGTGAAAATTTGTTCATAGTGGAACTCAGATAAGTTATACCCACTGAGGATAAGTTAAATTATCAGACATCTCTGCAGCTGGACTTCATGACTTACCCTTTCCTCCATGAATCCCAGCCCGTGGAACTGGGGATCGAGGGAACATGTGATGCACAGAACTCTGTTGACTGCAGGGTTGTCATAGCAGCTCATCAAGTTCCGCCTCATCATCCTCTTCACTTCTTTCAGGATAGAGGAGGAATCCCCGGGCCGTGGCACCAGGTGGCGAGACAGCAGGCCTGTGAGAATGGGTTTGACGAGGGACAGACGGGGAAATGCCTCCTTGGCGAGAGTCCGACATGCTACGTCTAGAGGTTTGAGAACCGAGCACAACTCCTCCAGAACCTTCCATTCCGACCTTAAGGAGGTAAAATTTGGTGAGGATGTGCTGGAGGTAGAGTTCGCTTGGCAGCTACCAGATGAGCTTGATTCTGAAGCAGTGTCTTCTTTATACTCTTCTTTAATCTCTTTTATCGTATCGCAGAAAACACTTTTATTCTTGATGAGTATGTTGAGTGCAGGATACAGCTTATTCCACGTTGGCCTGCTGTGAGCCCACAGCTTGAGCTCTGCCCGGTCTTCTTTTGACAGGTTCTGGAAAAGACTGTCGATATTGAGCAGATTCATGCCTTTGTTTTGTGTTGGCGGCAGGAAAAAAGTCGACAGGATACCTTGGAATTGTTTCAAGGTCTTGGAGATAACACTGTGTGACATCACTTCCTCAATGCAGCCCCGTACTGCGCTGAAGAAACATGGCACGGAGGGTAGTCCTTCACTGGATGCTCCAAGCTCCAAACCGCTTCGTTCCTCTGACGACACAGAGTCATCCCTCTCGAGAAATGTTGTAGAGTTTGGATGAGGAATGCCTCCTGCAGCTTCTCCACCTTTCCCCACTTTTTTTGGCCCAAGTCTCATCTTGTGACTCGCCTCCCCTCCGAGCACGAACAGATTTGGCTTGGAGACTCCCCACTCCTGTGCCATTGCTTTTACTTGAGCCTCGACTGCTCGAAGGCTGGAGTCCTTTTCCCCGTTCTCGGCCAGTTTTTGCGTGGCCAGTGCCAGGTTTTGAAAACTAAAACTATCGTCTATGAAATGTGCCCAGAGGGTAAGGTACCTCTCAGTGCTGCCTTGCCAGTTGTGGAACCAGACATCCACACTCAAAGTGATAAAATGAAGCACCTCCCTGTCACGGCTGGAAGGTCTGCCTCGCCTCCTGGGCTCAAATTCGATGGGAGCAGTGTAGTCAGGCTCCTCATTTTCTTCCTTTATAGTTTTCTTTCTCAACAGCAGAGCCAGGCTCGTCTTGGCTTTAGTGTGGTGTTCCTTCAGGAGGTTCTCAAGGTGAGAGGTTGAAGGCATCTCCTTGTAGAAGGGCAGTAGGGTGTGGATCAGCTGTTTGAAGCCTTCTCCTTCTACCAGAGCAGGAGGATGGAGATCCATGATGACAAAGTTGGTGATAGCGTTAGCCACATGGACAGACAAAACCAGGGGGAGAGTACTGACGGGACTGCTGAGGGCCGTCACTGGCTGAGGGCGCGGTTGACCTAGTTTTGGAAAAACAAAACAAAACTTCATTTAGGAAGTGATCTTCACAGCTTTAGATACGGGAACAAAGCTGGTTCAAAATGAGGGCGGATTTTTTTCAGTTTTTTTCATTTTTTAGCAGTTTAGAGCTGCAAGACATTTATTGTACATACATAACTGCTCATTTGGTTGTAGTGATTCATTGTTCGAGATCTTTCTTACCAAAGGGGGAAAAATTCATTGCATACCACTGACTGATGAAGGTGGGAGTGCAGTAAATTCTATTATATGTTTCACCAGCAGAGGGCACTGTTACACTGTAGGTAACCCTAGGCCACACAAGTCCCTGCCTATTATTTCTGCCATTTAACTGATTGTTAAAGGGATATTCCGGTGTGTTGACGACCGCTTGCTTCTATAGTTATACCAACTTTAGCAATGACCGTAGATAGCAATACAGAGAGCCACACACTCAACCAAAATGCCTCTCTATAGTCACAAATAATGCTCAGAACAGCACCTAACTTCATCAACAGTACATATAGGGTCCCAGCCGTAGTACTAGCCACCAAACATTTTTTTAGCTTTGCCTGATTTCTTGTTTCACTCAACTCACCCACTCTCTGAGGCATCTACTGCAGCTGGGGGATGCAGCTCAAGGAAGAACATTTATGATCATTTCTTCATGGAAATGCAATCAGAGCGAGACGCTAAGGCAGGAGAACTACCATGTGTGCAGTGCAAAACGATTAAAATGATTATTATTTCAAGGAAATGATAAAAGAAATGTTCATAAATGTTCTTCCTCGATTCCCTTATCGATACCTGTTTTTTTTTTTTTTAAAGTAGACTATAGGTTTTCACTGTTGACTCAAAATTTTATAGTCTGTGATAAAAGAAAAAATTTTTGTCACCTTCACTGAGAGTCTAAAAATAAAACGACAAACTATTTGTACAGCATTTACTTCGGTTGGTATAAAGTGAAATTAAGGTGACCATATTCTGGATCCCCAAAAACAGGACACTACTACAGTCGCCCGCGCGTAATCTTGGAGATTTTTCGTGTCGGGTCAAGTGTTTTTTACGCGCTTCTAATGAGTCCAACCCACACAAACTCTAGACTTCCATTTGAAGGACTTTCCAAACTCCCCCGGACACCCCCTCCCACATAAAGAAGACATGTTAAGTCTGGCATACATTGTGCTTAATGTTAACACAGGTGGACATACGTACCCTCCACATCGTGCTCAGACGGAGCAGCATCGACTGACGACCGGCTGAGAACATCTAATACATGTGACCCCTTATGTCTGATGCTGTGCACCGTTGACAAATGTCTGAGCAAGTTGGTGGTGTTTCCACCTGTGCATGATATCACTGCTCGACATAAGAAGCATGTCGCGCTGTTGTCGTCTCTCTTGGTAAAATGAAGCCACACTTTGGATCGTTTCTGCCTTGTTTTCGCACCGAACGCCATGTTTTTTCCCTCAAAGTTTCAGTTCTCGTTGGCGTAGACTGGCTCTCGCGAGACGTTTTTTTTTTTTTAAAAGGCACCCGGAAGAAAGGAATCGATAAGATAAAATGTAAACGATGTAAATGGATTGAACTATTCTCAACAAGAACTGGTTCTCGATTCCCAAGTGAGAAAACACGCTAAGAAGGTTCTAGTGTGCAGAGACTCGGGGTTACAAAGTTATATTTGTTGTACACATTTAAAGAAATCACGTTTTAATCACCTTCTGAGGTTTCGCCTGAGTCTGGGTCTAGGTCTTGAATGGAGAGTCCAGATGGGAGGACATACTGTGAACCCCAAAGCTCCAAAAATCGACTCAAATCCGCTTTTCCCACCACAAAGATAGGCTTTTTGTCCACAACTGGAGTTTCTATCCCCGTCTGCATATCATTTTCGGCCGTTTCGTCTTCTAGGTGGTTTATCTCCTTCTTTATTATGACCCGTGTCCTGCTCATCCGACGCAGCCGATTTTCCTCTGTAGCTGCGGTGTAGGCTCGGTACTCCTCTGCGTGTCTCACCCGCAGGTGTCGGATCAAGTTGGTAGTATTGTAATTGGCTAAAGTTGAACCGCCTCGCGGAATGGCCCTGTGGCACAAACAGCATTTTGCTGTTCTGCTCCATCTATTTTCGATATGAAAATAGCTCCACACTGCAGACATGGTTACACCCGGACTCATGATCTCGAATCCTCCCGCGTCTGAACCCTGCCGCAAATCAGCGCGAGATTACGACCGCAGACGTGGATTCTGTGGTGACGTAGGCTGTGCCTGAAATCAAGGTTTGCACACTGCTGAGAGCACTGCCCTGCGTTTGCAGCCTGAGTACCCTTGCTGCGTCCGAACTGCCCGCTCGGATACTACATGCTACTGCTACGTGCTACTGCTAGATCCTACTCCTACATACTAAAAACGTTGGCCCAATTCGGACACACTAGACGAGCGGTGGGGAAAGACGACCCCCGCAGGCAGAGAGTAGGTACTGCGCCCGTGCAGACAGTGGTAACTGAAGCCCCTCATCTGCGGGCCTGGCTGTAGTACTGCAGCTGTGCAGTTTAATGATGGAATAAGTGAGCTTTACCTCCATGATTTCGCCACTTGCTCATAAAATGATTACTTGGGCAAATATGACACCATGACATGACAAAGAGATACAACCGCACATTTTTTAGGACAGTGTGTGAAGTTACATGAAACTTACATCTGTACTGCTGCGGTCCCGCCTGCTGCTGCTGCTGCTGCTGCTCCGACATGGTGCGCGCTGCTGCGGCCAGCCGGCGTTCGCGACACATTTAAATAGGCAGAGCGGCTGGTGGCGCTAGCATCACATGCGCTTCTACAACTTTTAAGAGGACGAAGAAGAAGCCCGCGGTGCATTTTGGGTCAGTAGCATGCCCGTAGGATGCACCGAGACCAACCTACAATGTGGGCGTGTCTAGCATCTGAAGTAGTATCTGAAGTAGCATGCTACTCGCTCCGGTGGCCAATTCGGACATGCTAGATACTACTTCGACTACTACTTCGACTACTACTTGGCAATTCGGACGCAGCTCCTGTGTGTGAGGTGGATCAACCTTTGTAAAAAGTTGACGGTCTATAAGTATATTGGATAACCTTAGACCAGGGGTGGTCAATTATGTGCCATGGAGGGCAGAGAGGCTGCAGGTCTTCTTTCCAACCCAAAACTCCACCAGGTGATTTCACTGATTAGTTCCTGCTCTCTGCTTGGAGGGGAGGTAATCAGTGAAATCACCTGGTGGAGTTTTGGGTTGGAAAGAAAACCTGCAGCCTCTCAGCCCTCCATGGCACATGATATCCCACCCCTGCCTCAGACCGATTACGCTGCTTGATACAGAAATGTTTACTAGAAATGTTCGAATTTATATAGAATGGCCTCTAACATTGAAATTGTGTTTTTTTTTTCTCTCTTGATGTTATTCATGCTCAATCTGAGGCAAATATTCTATAATTTTCTGTTATGATATATAATTGCCTTGTTTATTTGTTTATAATTCAATAAAAAAAAAAAAAAACAACAAAAACCCTCCAGAGTACGTGCTGGTTGAGTCTCCAAATGTCTCCGCCCTCAGGCCACTTGACGACTGACTTGGAGAAAAGCGCAGCAGGTTTTTTTTTTTTTTTTTTAATTGTGCCACCTTGGGTACAGACGATACATAGGCTTACACAAAAAAAATAATAAAATAAAAAAATACTTACAAAAAAAATACGTACTTACAAGCACACAGGAGTTACTAAATACAACAAAAAACAAAGTGACAACGGAAAGGAGGAAAAGACTTTACAGATCATTTCTACAGAATTTCTCCATGATGGCATATGTTTTGTACAAAGAAGTATTAGGGCCACATTAAGAAAAAAATGTGTTTTTCAAGACCTTTAAGTTATAGTCATAAACTCACAAGAATAAAGTCACTGGTTTATGAGAATAAAGTTCAAATTACCTGTTGTTTCAGAGTAGAGTTGTTAAAATTAGGGCCATTTTAGAGCATTTCAACGAATGGTACTAAAGTATAGGTTTCAAAAGTAAGGAGATACTTAATCCTTTGGCACATTGTCGTAAGTATCAGGACTTAAAAGAATATACAAGAAATGCATCTTTCCCGCGGAAAAAAACAGGCAGACTTGGAGGAAATCACTGCTTCTGTGGAGGGGGAAATGGCTGGAAATGGCTGTGCAGAGGCTAAATCTGTCAAAGCAGCTGTTAGCAGCAAGGGCATTGGGCTTCCGTTTATCATATTAATCCAGATGCCATAAGGCATTGGTGCCTCTGCAGGTGTAGGTTACTGCCGGTATCAGAGAAGTGGTGCTTGTCTGAGCTCAACTCCCCCCTGGATCGAAATGTTGATCATCAGTTGGATTGTTTCTTGAGAGACCACAAAAGCCCTCTGAATGACAAGTTCCAGCCATTTTCCCCTCCACAAAAGCAGTTTCGTGATTTTTATTTACTTTATTTCTGACTTTATTCCTCTAAGTTTACACACTATGCACTCATGGAACCTGAGCATGCTCTCTTTACTCACTTAAATCTGCACCTGCAAACCAAACATTACACTCCTTAGAAAAGATCCAATCCGCTTTGCTACCATAATGAAAAACATTAGACATAAAAAGCTGCCAAAACATATGCCATCATGGGAGACATTTTGTGGAAATGATCTGTAAAGTCATGACATAAGCCTGGGTGTGGGGACATTTGGTGATGCAACCCGGGAGTTCTTCAGAGAGTAGACCATCCCAAACCACAAAAGTCGATCCACCTTATGCAGGATACTAAGAGACACACATGCAGGGTGCAGAGTGCACTTAGCAGTGTACTCAGCAATATGCAGATCCTGAATTGAGATACAGCCAGTGTACACAGACACTTCTTAACGTGCCAGAGCGTAATCCAGCTTTGCGGCCATTGTGGATGGGTCTCCCCACGCCAGGCTCACATGTAGGCACGTCACTAAGCGGGCTGCGTAACTGGAAGTATATGGAAGTATATGGCTGGCAGCCCCACTCTCACCAGCTTCTTCCCCTGGTGTGAGAGAATCCACCATTTAAAGCAAACTGTGGTGTACTATTAACTAAAAAAAAATAAACATGTCGACTGACCTCTAAACCTGAGACAACCAGCAGCATTGAAGCCAGACTGTTTCAGCAGAAGAGGTCAAACTGGGGCTCTGGCTTTTTTGGTACTGATTACAGGTTTACCCAAAAGCTTGACAGGCTATCTTTACAAATCAGAGCCATTCTAACTATGACATAACACCATCAAAAGAAAGAAGATTTTTGAGTATTTTTTAATTCTGGAAGGTAACTCAACAGAGTGGCAACATTTAAATAACCACTCCTGACCAACGGAGCCAACGCTTCATAATGTTCATTTACTCCATGGCGACCCACTGTTTGCTTTAAATGCATTCTGACATCACAAAGAGAAAAAGGTGGTTAAAAAGTGATGCTCTCGGGGGTTCCCTCTTTGCCTTGTTCGCTGACCGAATGTGACACTGAGTCAGAATTTCCAATATAGCCACTAACTTCGACAGGCTTCAAAAATCAACGACGACATCACAGAGATGTTTATGTCTCAGTGTCTGTGGCTGAGATTAATCAGATCCTTGTTTAGTTATAAAATGCCCAAATCAGCTTTGATCGGTTCGTTTAGATTCAGACATCCTTACCATGTGCTGCATTTTTACTATGGTCTTAAGAAACGTAATTATGACTGATTCTACAGTTAACATAGAAATTAAACAAAAAATAAATAAATATGAAAAAGAACATTTTTTTTTCTATTTTCCAACACCAAGCTGGGGACAATGACTATTACCTGTAGTCTGAAAGCTCCGCTCCTTGTTACTTTCACGTGGTCTGATGTGGTGTTTAATGGTCAGATGGTTTTGGAGATCCAGCACACCTCCTCCACAGCCCACACGATCCCCACACAGCTTACACACTGCAGTGCTTCGGTCCAGAGGGCGACCTGCTGGGTCTGGCTCCAAGCCAAAGAAGTACCACGGGCTTTGCTGCGAAACACTCGGATTACTCAGCAGTTTCTCAGTTCCAGGCAGAAATTCATACTTTTCCCCCAGTAGAAAGCTTGGGGATTGCGAGGAGGAAGGAAAGGCAGATCCAGGTGCCATGTCTGAATCACAAGCCGGGTCTGTGTTTGACATAGTTGTCACATCGCTGATGATAGGCATGGGACTCTGTGATTGGCTGTGATCTGACCAAAGGGAGGAGCTGCTGGGCTCTGGGAGGGTGACCAGCTGGATGTCCTGCAGAAGGCGCAAAACCGTCTCTTTGTCACCATATTCACATTTCACGTTGTCACCTGTAGTATCCAACCAAAAGAAAGGCATAAGAACACAGCTCAATCAAATATCAATTTCACTTACTGAACTACTAAATATCCTTTCATGCCTCTCACTCACCCATCCCAAGACCCAACAAGCTGGCATAATCCTTGCCAATCCAGACCTTCAGCTCAGCTCCCTCTGTGATGGGCTGGGATACCTTGTAATAGATGTGGCGGTAAAACTGAAAGATGACCAGATTTTGCTCCTCCTCACGACTGGTATAAGTCACATACCTGAAATTTAAAAAACACACATGCTTTGTAACTGTGGGCAGCAGAATAAGAGCCCATGTATTCAACACAAACCACAGTTTGTTGCACACAGTTACAAGGTCAAATAAAAACAGAAAATGGAAAAAGAAAAACAAGACTGCTCTGACATGAAATCATTTGAGGAATCATTAAGAACTGCCTACCTCATCCAGTTAGATTTGTTCTCGTCAGAGGCATCGACGTAGATAAAAGCAGCATCATCCCTGATCTGTTAATTGAAGCAAAGTGCACATGACCAGTGTTATATGGTAATTCTGCTGGTTATCAAGGTAAGTCAGAGAACAAAACACAAATTCACAAAGAATGCAGTACAGCAAATATCTACTTACAGCCCAGGCATATTTGAGGTTTGTCGGCATTTGTCCTCTGCACACTTCTCCTAAATACGGTCCAAACATGACTCCCTGCTGAAGATGACATCTGGCATGCACCTTCAGCTCTTCCTTATGTTCCTCCACAGAGGAGCCTGGACCAGATGTACCGGAACTGGTACCAATTTCCTTGCATAGACTAAGGCAAGAGGGCAGGGACAGCACTGCACGAGAAGGGCCACCATGAAGCCAGGGCTCTCCAGGTGGCAGCACAGCATCTGGGACATAGCTCTGGTTTGTAGTACTTTGTAGAAACGGGAAATCATCAAGGAATTCTTCATGGTTTGAATCCAAACCTGAAATGCAAAAATGGAGAAAGGGTTTGTAAAGTGTGGAATAAATGTCGGATATTAAAAGTTCACCGTCAAGTAAGAAAATGCATTGTCATAAGGGATGTTTTCTGTTTGTTTTGTTGATTTGGATAAATCTGAGATATCTGAAGAAAGCACCACATGGAAAATCAAAGATCTTTTGGAGATGTACTGCAATATTTTGATTGTTTCAAATTTTTAAACATTTTCATTATTGTTTATAGCAAAGACAGAAGCTTGAGGTTTGTTTAATAAGATTTATTTTGTGTCTGCACAACAGAAATGCTTGGATCAAGTTTATTGTACTTCCCTGATTAATGTCAACTTCGTTACAACATTTATCTTGCGATTTAACGCAGACTGTAAGCTCTATCACAGTAAGGAAACTGCCATGGTAGTGCAGACTGTGTGCTTGAGTAAACATCTCTAATGTTTGCCCAGTCATCCGGTGGTAGACCTGCTGGGGTAGACGAATCGCTCTTAGGCAAAATCTTTCTCCACTTCTTACTGCTCCCAAGTGATGGTGTTGACCGACTTTGAAGGGTGCTTACAACCCTGGTGAAAAAAAGTGATATTTTCCTCACTTCAGCAGGTGCAACGGGATAAATTCAAACAAAATGGCAACAAGTGAATCAACTCATCCTACCTGTGCATGATGACAGGAACTATCATTCTCCCCTCAAGTCCTGCATTGCACAGGTGGTGAAGGGGCGTGTTTCTAATGCAGTGATTTGTGTAGGTGACCGATGTGTGTGCTTCTTTACACATACGAGAAAGCATTGAGCCCAGATAATTGACCCCAAGTGGGGCATTGTTGTACCATACTTCATTTGTGATCTCCCTTTTTGGCTGTAAGTAAAGAGCCGTTGCATTGGATGGGAGCTTACTTAGGTACTTTAAAAGAGAAGTAACAGGGCAGAATTCATTGCCTGGCTTTTCATACATATAACATTGGTTCTTTCTATTATAAAATTTTGTCTCATTGCTAAAAGATAAAGTGCAGTATCTCAGTCCCTTTGCGTCTTGTTTGATTACAAATGAATCTGGCTTCAGATTCCTGTTGGCTTGCTTCCCTCTGCGACCAAAATAGACCTGTATGTCAAACCAGACTTTATTCAGAAGACCCCTTGGAGTGCAGCTGTCCATCACATATGAATGTCTGAGGATGCGGATATCGTCAGTAGTCATTGACGGATGATGCTGTGCTCTGTCTCGACCGGACTGCCTAATTCTCTTGAGCATTCCCGAGAAGACCTTGTTGGCTGAGGTAAACTCAACGTCTCTCATAATGCACACAGGGCGGCTCACAGGAGGATCTTTGAAATAACGGTTAAGTCCAGCTCTCAGTGCAACATAACTAGCAATCCCATACATCTCTCCTTTGCTGGTTCGGACTGATCCATAAAACTGTCTAAGCATCCCATTCAGCTCAGTCTTCTCCACTGTATTCAGGTCCACATGGAGCCCCTGAGACTCCAGCCAGCCCAGAAAGATACTCACAGCCCATGTTGTTTGCTTCCTTGTGAGCTTACTTATTTCAGATCTGCTGATTTCAAGTTCATCCAGCTCCAAGTCTGAAACAACTGCATGTCTGGCAATGTCATTGTAATTTACCTCACCCTCCTCCTCCTCCTCCTCTTCTTCAGACTCTGCCTCCTCTTTCAGGATAATCCTCTCTTTAAATCCCGCATCCACAGACACAAAACTCTGTCCAGATGCTCTCTTGTCTGTATCCATAATGTTAGCCATTAGCTCCACAGGCTGTTTCTGCTCTAGCTTTGTATCAACTTTCAAATGAAGCGAAGGATTCAGTCATGAAAACAAAGCGGAGTGGCACCGAGCTCTCTGTCAGGTGACGGTGCTGTATGGTGATTATACCCTGGACGTTATCAGCTGATATTGAAGACAGGACCAGTCCAAACGATACTAAAAACGTTTAAGATGGCGGCTCTGCCTGGCCAACCGTTGCATCAACCGCATGTCTGATGATATTTGCGACACACTGTACAAAAGTACATTAATAAATAACTCAAACCGAATGCCATTTTCTCTGTATATTCCTATTCGCCTCTACCAGCGCCTTACAATGGACTGCTAAGAGGTGCCATGGCAACACTACTGGCATGTCACTACCGTAAAAAGACTTCAACCGCTGGCAGGTTGTCACATCTACGCATGCGCACGGGGATTGGGGGTGGGGGTAGTTGTTTATTGCGAAAATCAATTTTTTTGCAGAGCACAAGCGTGACATAAAAACGACCCAATACAATGAAGCTGTTATTGGAGAGACACATGTAGAAGATATTGAACAGTTTTGCTTGGAAACTCGATGTGACTCAAACAAAGAATTAAGAGTAACAAATTATAAGAACGGAACTCTCTCAGTCAGACACAGTGATAGTCCAGAGTTGCCAATCGGGGTTACACGCATTGATCTGACATATTAAACACACTCGATTTTGCTCATAAAGTCAGCATTATATTAAGTTATACAACCTATGCGATACCACGTGGTCGGTGTTATAAAGAGTGATATCGTACAGTGAGGGTACCAAACCATACATCGACTATCGAACACACGACCAATGGTCACCTTCCTGCAGCAATGCACCTTCATGAACTGTGCATATCGGAACTTGCACTGCACATCTATGGTTGACGTTGGAGGATTGATTGAAACTGGTTGCAAAACAGTGCATTACAGACTCTGCAAACTGCGCTTTAATAGCCAGAATATGGCAGTAAATCACCTGGAAACCCAAACAAAGATCCGGAGGTCGTGGAAGGAGTGGGCTCGAAAAAATCTGCACGGTGTCGACGTCTCAGATGACTTCTTAAATTGGTGGTATTGCCACCCTTGGAAAGCACTACTTTTCGGCATAAACGACAAACGGCCTCGCGAGAATTCAGCGGCTGTCCCTTTTCATCCGCCTTTAAGCCAAAGTACATCCACACGATAGATTTGCCCCGTGGTTTGCTGATAAGATCCATGTTTCTGGACCGGGACTCTTCTCTTTTTTCCTGCAGGTTGTCGGCTAGCTGTTTGAGTTTGGGTTGATAGAAAAAGATCCTTTTTCTTCTTCCTCGTTGGTTTTCAATGGCATAATGTAGGTATGGCGTTGCATTACCGCCAACTGGTGGACAGTGCTGTCCCCTTCTCCAATCACAAGAAAACACAGAATAAAATGTACCGTCACTACGTCCTCTTTCTCACACTTACTTTATTATCGCTTTCCTTTTTGGCTGTAAGAGAGCAGCTCTAGTCCTATTAGGATCAAGCCAACTCAACGATCCAAGGGGGGCTATCTGCTTAGAAGCCCACACAACTAACAGACAATATAGAAGAATAACACATGTAGAAAAAAAAAAAGACAAAAATAGATATCATAAATAAATGAGTACCACGTTGAGCTGTTGGGAGGCAGTTGGGCCAATTGATTTTTCATCCTGTTTATACCCAATGCAACAAAACTACCTCAACAGCAGATGGTTCGAAGAAAGAGTGAAAGAACCTTTTCTCAAGTCCTGAGTTTGAATCTTTCCCTCATTTCATCATTTAAAGTAGAGCTGGAAATTTTGCTGCACATTTTGAGGACTTTGTAACTTGTTTCTATTTTCTCAACAATCTATAGAAACAATGAAAGTCAAGATAAATATTGAAAAACTTTCAGTGCATCAACAACACTTTTTAATCTTTAATATTTCCAGCTGGTAGCACAGGTACTGTTATTCTGTTAAGTGCCAAAATAACTGTCCTGATTACAAAAACTTCTCTTCATATCTTCTTTTTGACTTGCTTCCCGTTACGTCTTTTTTTTCTTTTTCTTTTTTTTTACCTTTCTGGATGCTTTTTTCTTTTACAAGTAAGCTGAGCATAGTTTTTTTAGCACTGTCTTAAGGTCCTTTCACACCAGGACTGTTTTTTTTTGTGCGATCATTTCGGACGGCAATGTTTTTTCTTAACCCGTATCCTGTCAATACAAGCGCTTACATCAGCAATGTTTTCCCATCCTGCGATATTGCGGCATTGCCCGTATTTTGTGCACCCTATGATTGAAAAAAATGACACAGTATTGAAACCAAATCACCTAGGATTACATTTCACAAGTATGATTGAAAAACAATTTTGGTTATTATTATTAATGTGTGACAGTGTCCCGTATCATTGCTATACCTCTGCAGTTTGTAACAAAATGAAACACGTGAAAATCTGGCTAAAAATTGGAGAGTTATGATTAATATGGTTGGACATTCCTACCTTTCTCAAAAGAAATAAATGAAACTTTTTAAACAAAAAATGTAAACAAAATAAATAAAACTAAGTAGTTAGTAACAGTTACATAAACAAAACAAAGACGTTAAGCAAACTGTTAAAGCACACATCAAAAAGCACTCTGTTCTCCGACACGTCAACAATCAGCCGGTTGCCCATGTTGGATATACCGGTGAATCAGACGTCGCAACAACACGCAATCTGATTGGTCAGAAATGGAAAAGTATGCGAAACTTTAGAAAAATCTACCATGATCCGAAAAAAAAGAAATGCCGCAATATTGCTGAAAATGTCGCTGATGTGAACGCTTGTATTGGCAGGATACGGGTTCGAAAAATAATATCGACGTCCGAAATAATCGCATGACAAAAACAGTCCTGGTGTGAAAGGACCTTTACTTCGTTTTCTTGCTTGTGTTGGCAGTCATGGCCTAAGGAGGATTCAGACAATTTTCCAGACTTTATGGTTGCTTTTTTACTGTCCGATTATGTAGCACACTAACCTTGGGTTCGTGAAGGTTATTCGAGGACGTGGAGTGCATCACAACATGGGGGAGCAGCGTCTGCCTCACAACCAATCAGGTTGGAGGAGACGGATAATGGCTTTGTTTACAGTCAGAAAGAGCGGGCTGCTCATAAAAAATTTAAATGTTGACTACACAAGCATAACAAAACACAGCAATATCGTTATATTACCAAATGTCATCAATAACTAATAGCTATTGACTGATATTAAAAGCTTTTTGTATATACACCACAAAAAAAGATGCTTCTTTAACGGAATCCCACCTACCCTACCTTTAAAATACCACATTAACGCAAAGCATACGTTTGTTGAGGATCCTGCTAACACTTTGGCATTCTGGAGTCTCGTTGCTCATGCAAATTGAAACACGATTAATATAGGTTAAAATTGAATATTAGACTGAGATTAATCCAAATTCATCCACAGCAACCATGTGATTAATCTGATTAAAATTTTTAATCATTTGACCTAAAAAAAAAAAGAAGACTTTTAGCATTTCATGTAACAATACAATTGTAAGAATATCTCAAAATCTACAGCTTTGATTTGAATGATGAAAATCAGGAATGAATTGCACCTGCACAACAACTCTCATTTATTCCCTTACATTTCAACATGCTCGGATTCATTCTTGTGGTGTGGATGACAGACTCAGACCTAATATTTCAGCTGCAGCCTTGACTGTGTAAAAGGATCAGTGGGCTCATGGATGATTAAAAATCTGAAAGTGAGCTATTCAAGACATCTAAAAAGTACAGCTTCATCTTCATCCTCAGCCTGTTTAAGTCTGGAGATCAACCTGAAAAAAGATTGAACAGGTGAGCGTGGACTGCCTAAGTAGACGGGGAGGAGGTCTCCCTGCATCCGCCGTGTGCTTGGCCATCAGGTGGTATGTGAGGCTCGACGTGCTGCGGTGGTAACTAATTTCACATCGACAGTAAATGCAAACAACTTTGCTCTTGTCAAGGGAACCATCTGGCAAGGTTTTGTAGTTAAACTTTCCATTCAATATACACGTTCTTTTATCCATCTCTGCCTGAGGTTTACTTCTGCTTCTGCCATTCACAGCGCAACTGCTGTATCCTTCCTCATTTCCCACGGGGCGGGCCGAGGGTCATAATCACAGAACGCGCCAAAAATCGTGTCGTCGGCAGGAACTCCCCTCCTGTGTTAGCGTGTCAAACTCAAACTCAGCAAGGACCATAATCTGGATTTAGGGCTAACCTGAGGGCCAGTGGCGTGCACAGACATTTTGGGGGGCAGGTGCTCAGTGAAAAATAAGGGCACGTTATGCGGCATGTAGAACTGACGGCTGCGTTATTATAGTATTGTGAGATCTAAAAAATAAATCAACATTACAGGCACATGTTGAATGTAATTGCATATTTGTTTATGTCAATATCTCAATAAAATTACTTGACCTTTGAACTGGTTTCACACTACTGCTTCCCTGCTGTAGCTGCCTAGGATAGAATAATAATAGTTTTAGTAATAGTCTATTTTTAATATTGAATATAGCCTATTAAGGTAAATACAAGATTATTGCAAGTCTTGCAACACAGAAATAACATGTTGGTACAAGATAATATCATTAGCTAAAATAGCTTAATGCCTAATTCAGTACAGCCAAACCACTTTGTGTAGTTAAAATAAAATATGGACAACCTTTTTCAGTAAAAAAATATTTTAGTAAAATTAGAGGAAAAAGTCAACTTTAAAATCTGAGCTTTAAAATACCCTAAACAGTAAACATGACTCTTGACTCTGACTTTTCATCTTCATCTTCCTCCTTGCTGCTGGTGGATGCTTTTATCCAGGAAAGCAGAGAGCTGCTCCCCTGGGCTGCATGCTGGAGCTCCCTTTCTCTTTCCCTTCTTATCCTCTCCTTTCTAGGCATTATGCTGGAATTGGTAAATAAAAAGAGACCAACGATATAAATAAGACTGTTTGGTTGTATTTCAACAAGGCACAGGGTTACTTTTTCTGGAGGCAATTGGGAATTGCCTGTTTTTAGAAAAAAAAACTGCAAGTGTTAATTATGTATCCTTATGTAAACCAACACAATAGCCTACTAACTAAATATTCATCTTATGTAAGTATATTGATAAATTCACATGCTGTAGGATACCAATGACAAACTCTACTGGTGGTCATCATCACGTCATATATCTATCACCGATTTGGGGTCGCTTCTAGCTTGTTAAACAGGTGAGCAGTCGGCTAATTTATGCCCAGCTGTGTGGCGTTGAGACAGGCTACTTCACAACACAGAAAAATAAATGCAAGTTACAGCTTTGCAACTGAGGCTTATGGGGCAAACAACATGCTCAACTCGATTCATTTATATGATACATGGCTGGTGGGCAGGGGAGGAGCCGAGGGAGTGTATTTGGGCTGCAGCTGTGCACTGTCTACAACGCGCCTCCGTTTGTGTCTGCTCTGCGCGTTCACATTGACAGAGGTGTGTGCGGGTGGGGTGGGGGGTAGAGGGAATATTAACTGGGGAATTATTATCACACGCTTAATCAACGAGCACCTATAGGTGATCATGTCAGCATGGGCCACAAAAAAAAAAAAAAAAAAAAAAAAAAAAGTGAATTCCCAAAAGTGTACTTGCTTGGTCCAGAGGACAAAGGGCAGGTGCTTTAGCACCACCTAGTGTCTACCTGTGCATGCCACTGCTGAGGGCCAAAATTTCACCAAAACTGTCAACCTCCTTTTCAAAAAATATGTAACAAAAACAGCAATGATTTAAATTATTTGGATATTCAAAAAAGATAATTTTAAAGGCAAGCTGAGATAGAAAAAATTCCTTTTATTTTAATCTTTTATACTATTTTTAATTTATTAGTTCAAAAGAGCAAATACATGAGGAGAATGTTGAAATCAGGTTTAAAGGGTCAAAATATGACTTAAAATTTAAAATTGGAATCTAAAGTATAAAAATGAACAAGTCTAAATACTGAGTTGAACAAAATCAAAGCATGAAATAAAAAAATCCAATCATGTTTGACCTGTAATCTTGAAATGCAAAATTGAAAACATGAAATGAACCACCAAATATTTTTTCTCCACAGTCTTGACCATATATCAAATCTTCCTTACTCTTGAATTTCCCAGATTTTCGTGGCTTATTAAGGACATTTTAAATACTGGTGCTAAAATTTACATCATTATACTGGAGGAAATCTGCAGACTTCATACTGGTGGGCCAATAATGATACAAATAGGATATGATCTTGTGGGCCAGATATAATTGTTCCTTCCTTGACATCTGTGGCGTATTGCATTCCCTGGATAAAACAGAAATCAGACACCTTATCCCGAAATTACAACAAAAGATAAAGGAAAGGTCTGTAAATCCTCTCTCAGTGGAAATGATGGTGCTATCGCAGTAAATCTGCTCTTACTACCCTCTCGGTTTGGGAAATCCCAAAGTTTCTAAGAAATGAGGATGGGATTAATATTAGTATTTTGGAGACCCTGCAGCAGGCTAATGTTCCAGTTAAAATGTTTAAGTGTTCTGTGTTTCTGACCGTCAGTGAATGTGTATGGCTCGGGCACATGTCACAGGTGTCAAACTCAAGGCCCGGGGGGCAAATCTGGCCAGTGGAACAATTATATCTGGCCCACAAGATCATATGATATTTGTATAATTATTGGTCTACCAATAATTGGGGGGGGGGGGTTGAGTGAGAGAGAGACAGGGTCTGATGTGTGTGTGTGTGAGTGAGGAGTTAGTAAGAGTGGTCAGATAAGTTTGTTGTTTTGGTGTGGCTACAGTATGTCTTTTATTTACTCATTACACACATTAAATTCAATGTGCTTTCCTATGAATTTACCTCTGGGTGAAGCAGTGGCCAATCTGGCACCTTTTCTCATCCCAAGTAAGAGATCTTTTCTCATAATAACGAGATTTATGTTTGCAGTTATATACTTGAGGAAGTTATTGAACATAAGATATTTGGGCAAACCAACACATATTTACTTGGTTTTGTTTTTGACCTGAGCAAATTCGACCCCCATGGTATCCTAAATTAAGTGGGGTAATGTATGTAATAAGCGGGATAATGTATGGTGAACAGGTTGTGAAAGAGGGGCAACCCCTTCAAAGTGAGTCCTTGAAGACCTTTCTGCTCCATGTCAAGGTCCTGCTCACCCTAAAGATGTTCCATTCAGCTATTACAACCCGCTTTCCATACATAATCCTGCAGAGACATGCAGAGATGCACTCACCTGCTCTGCTGCTGTTGTCTGGATTGCAGGTCTGGTCCTTGCTTGACTCCTCTCTATCACAAAGGGTTGGGACCCCGTAGCTCTTCAGGCTGCTCTCACATCTGTACCCGGTAACTGACATTATTTCCCGACTCTCAAGTCCAGCCTGTGAAAGGAGTTGAACTGCTGTGCTCTTCAAGCTGTGGTTAGTGTATCTCCTGGATAACCCGGCCGCCTGACTGATTTCAGGCAACAATTTTCCAAGAAAGTTGTGTCCCATTGGCTCACGAGTGTACCACACGATCAGTTTGTTCAGTACTTGCTGGTCAATCTTAAGAGGGTGAAGGAAAAAAGCTTTGGCGCCAGGAGGGCAACGAGCTACATACTTTTTAAAGCAGGCGACTGGGCAGCTGGGATTTCCTGGCTCTGCAAAGATGCATCCCTTGTAGTTTTCCTTACACAAGTCTTTTGCATCTTTGTGGTTGCCAACATCATGAGCAAGTGAAATATACTCGTTACCTTTCTCATCACGGTTCAAAATAAAGGAGTCCTTTTTTAGTTCTCGGATGCCTTCTCGGCTTCGCCATGTGAGGTGCAGCTGTACTTCAAACCACACTTTCCGAACCAGTCCAGTTGCTGTGTGTGGAGACAGCACCTCTGAAGATCTGATGAGCTGCAAATCTGCTGCTGAGATGGGAGGGTGGTGGCTGACATCTTGTCCATTTTTTCGAAGGTTTTTTATGACAGACTGAAACACCACGTTGCTAGATTTGAAGGTCGGAGAAGTCATAATATTAAACGTTGCGAAATATCGACTTATCCCAGCCCTTATGGCTATATAACTGGCAACTGAATATGTTTTTCCATTTGTATTTTGAACTGATGCATAAAAGGACCTCAGCACTTGATTCAAGTCATCGGCTTTATAACTGTCAAAGTCTGTAGACATTTTCTTTTCTTTCAACCAGTCCTTTAAGACAGACATCGCCCAAACTGTGTTCCGCTTTGTGTTTGCCTCATGTCTGCTGTCTTCAAGTTGATCAATGTCTGTTTCACTTAGTTCCTTATGTCTTTTCACCTCCTTTACTATTTCTGTGTTGTTATTATCCCCCTCTCTTCTAATGGTCAATGTAGCTGACTGGTCAGAAGAGTCTAAAGGATCAAGGTCTTTAAAGAAATCAAAAGTAATATTTAAAATATTCTCCAGGTTCTCCATGGTTCAGTAGGTTTGAAGTTTTGCCATATGGCAAAAAGGGCAGAGGTGGAACTTTCCGGACTTCTTTCAGCGGATTGATTTGTTTTGACGTGGGTGATCAGGCTGCGTCTTCATAGCAACGGTCTTTTCCTCATAGCAACAACCTGTCAAAGAGGAATAGTAGACTTGTGATAACCGGTCAACACAGAAATATAATAAAGGAAAAAATAAAATAGTCCAGTTTAGCAATGTGCTATTTGCCAAAAATGTCTGTCACTTTGATGGTATTTAAACACACCATATTTACTTGTTCTGGTCCCTCTCCACCCTCTCCACACTTAGTAACACTCCGTTTCCGCGCTCAGATGAGGGTCCGCATCATTCAGTGATGCTCCAAACCTCCAAATATGATCCTAGAGATGGTTACTGTACCCAAATAAAGCCACCGCACACCGGTACTAAGCATAGACTGTACTGTACTGTACTGTACTGTACTGCTAACTGCCATGCGCATCACTGTTTTCCGTCCGCCTAGGAACGCAATCCATAATGAACGTTCCGCCACTCAAATGTTAGTTACTACAATGAAACAAAATGTTCATTAGATGTAAAATTTTAGACAATCACAATGTCACGGTCATATGTTGCCACGTTAATTCGCCTGTAATGCACCATGTGTTTTTATTGTTTTAAAAGAATTTTATGGAGCTATGAGGTCCACTAACAAGACGTGAAATAGTCAAATGCTATTGCACGGGAGGTATTGAATTGGATACAGCGACTACAGTCATGAATCTGGCAACCTTTTTCAGTAACACGAAACCATGGTTACACCGAGTTTCTTCCTCCGCTGAACTTTTAACCTCAATAAAATTTAAAGTAGACACTGGGAGAGGGTTGCTACTGTATGTTATCACAGCACTACAATAAATGGTTATTTATTAATTCTTGACTTATTGTGCGTCTCTTCTTTACCCAATTTTCCTGCACCCTACATTTTCGACGAATCACAGTGGCAGTAAAAGGTTGCCATGTCCTGCCGCGAGAAGGCCGTTCATTTTTCCAGTCCAGTAAAAATGATCCTGATATCTGACAGGTTTTCAGCGCCACAGTGTCAAATCACTGATTGTAAAAAGAGTGTCTTCGAGACAGTGGTGGACTGAAAGATTGCGGTAATTTGCGCTGCATAAAAGTGCCCTATTTGATGCCTCCATAGATACTAAAACATCACAAATGTCTCCCTCTAGTGGCCTTGCAGGGGAAATCACGTGAAATAATTTCCTCGTGGGTGCCCCTCCTGTGTTGTGCGACGTGCCCCCTGATTGCTCTTCTGCTGTGTAAACTATTATCAAAGTGCTTTTGGTTGGCCTTTAGGTGGATAAAACTTAAAAACATAACTTCTCAGGTGCTGGGGTTTATGTGAGGATCATGTTCTTCGACTTTTCAAGTGCATTCAACACCATCCACCCCACTATACTCAAAGACAAGCTCACAGAGATGGGAGTGGATCCTTCCTGTGTTTCCTGGATCACAGATTACCTGACAGGAAGGCCACAGTTTGTCAGGCTGGGAAACTGTGTTTCTGGGACATTAATGAGCAGTACGGGGGCAGTGCTGGCGCCATTCCTGTCCACACTGTACACGTCAGACTTCAAATACAGTACTGAGTCCTGCCACATCCAGAAATACTCAGATGACACCGCTTTTGTGACATGTATCAGAAATGGACAAGAAGCTGAATACAGAGATCTAATAAGAGCCTTCAGTGACTGGAGTCACAAAAACTGCCTCCTCCTCAACACCTCAAAGACAAAGGAGATGGTCATAGACTTCTGCAGATCCAAACCCCCTCTTCAGCCAGTGAACACCTGTGGAGTGGACATCGAAGTGGTGACATCATATAAACACCTAGGTGTAGATCTGGATAATAAGTTGGATTGGTCTACAAATATAGACTTCATCTACAGAAAGGGGCAGAGCTGCCTCTTTTGCCTGAGAAAACTCCAATCAATAGACATCTGTAGTAAGAGGCTGCAGATGTTTTATCAGTCTGTGGTGTCTACAGTGTTCTGTTCTACGCTGCAGTCTGCTGGGGAGGAAGCATAAAACACAAAGATGCAAGACGTCTTAACAAACTGGTGAAAAAGGCTGGCTCTGTGGTTGGATTCAAGCTGGACTCAGTGGAGGATTTGGTGGAGAGATCTACACTGAGGAAAGTGGAGTCTATTCTAAAGAACATGGATCACCCACTTCACAACACCTTGATGGACCAAATGGTGGTGGACGGCTCCTCTCTCTTCACTGCAGGACAGAAAGACTCAGAAGATCTTTTGTACCAACAGCCATCAGACTTTATAACTCTTGTGTAAATAGTAGATAACTTTTAGAGACATATTTTGTGAGACAACAGACAATTGAATTTCCCTTCGGAGATTAATAAAGTTATTCTTATTCTTATTCTTACTGGATAAAATGTAAATGAAGTGCCATTAGGGATATTACTCTATGTTTGCTTGTCATGCATGGTTTGTAACTAAAGTTTGATAAGTGTAATTGGCCAGCAGAGTTCTGTCATTTGATTGTGTGCATTCTGTATTACAATAACCAAATTAAAGATGATCATATAACTATTTAAATCTTATAAGAAAATAAGATTAACCCAGGCGGTAGTATGATTGGTCTTTTATTGATTATTGAGCTTTATCATTGATAATTTTTGCGGTTTCTCTTTACATCACTTGTTTTGTTTGAAGTTTGGCGCAAGCAGTGAGCTTGTGCGCTTTATCAACCCATGTCCCATAGGGGAGAGTGGGGTAAGTTGAGCCAAAGGGTAAGTTGAGCCACCCCCTGTTGCTTGGAAATGGTAAATGAAATTGATCGTGTCACCAAATATTTAGGAGATGGGCATCAATTCATGTAGTCTGTGAAGGTTAGAAGCACATGGGTGAAGAAGCGGTTTCACATTTATTTCCAAAAAAACATTTTTCACTCTTGAAAGTGAATTTAGTCTGTCATAAGTTTTATTAGAATTGTGTTCAGACAAAAAAAAATAATATTTTAAATTTGTTTTATACATCAATTGTGGTATCTATGAGCTACAACATGAGGTCAAAAACCTAGCATATAAGTCCACCATTTAAGCTTAGACATCTTCGGTTCATCTTAGGACTAATAAAGTCATAATAGTAGTTCTGGGGTAAGTTGAGTTAGTGGCTAAACTGAGGAAGTAAAGGAGTCTGATGAGAGGATCAGAGTTTCAGTTCAAATTGTTGAAATGTGTTACTTTTTCTTTTCAAAAATACAGCTGGGAATGTTCTGAATCACTTAAAGGCATTCTCATGTTAATATGGCTTTTTACGAAACAGATTTTTAGTAGTTATATGTAATATTAATAAAAAGAATTATTGTACCAGTTGAATAGCGTGTAATAGATCAAAACACACATGAATGTGACTGTTATTTAGGGAGAGAGAAAGTGAGGGAGGGCTGGGGTGGAGAGTGGGGTGGTAGTAGGGATACGGCTCGACTTACCCTGCTCCTATGGTCAACTTACCCCATACACGGGGTAAGTTGACCATAGGAGACCACTGTTTTTTGGCATGCTATATTATCAAGACAGTTATGTTTACATTCATTCTGTTGGTAGGGATGCACAACATCTTGAAATATATGCAGACACACTAGTTAGAGACAAAACTATGATTGCCTTGATTTAGTGATCCAGAGTATGAAAAATGGCTCATCTTACCCCACTCTCCCCTATCTGTTTTTCAACGATTTACGTTAAAACGCCAAACCTGGCAACCCAGTGCTGTCGTTACCGCCCACTATTGCGTACAGTGAAGCTAAATATGCTCCTACAGCCGAGGTAAAGGGTGAGTAACTTTTGGCTTATACACACAGATCTCTGTAGATTGGTTTCTGGAGTGTGTCTATGCATTTAAAGTTTGAGCTAAACGAAAGCCGTGTCGGTGGGTTAGCTAATCGATGTTTGCTATTTTTTTTGGACAAGTTGTAACACGCGATCTCCAACGCTTTAACAATTCCCTCATGAAGGTCACTCGACTCGCCGGTAAGTTTAAACTTAGCTTTTGGAATATTTCCTGTCGAATATCACAGTAAATGTTTCCGTTATACATATTGGCGATTAGTTTACGGAAAGCCATCGTTAGGGACAAACTGACCTCGCAGACTTCCCGTAGCATGCCGTCTCCGTTGTGGTTGGGTAACTGTTGTTGGCATGGCGACCTCACTCAAAGTAAACATTTGAGGGAAACAGGTAAGTACTACCAAGTAGCCCATTTGAGCAGTCATCGCACCGAAAAAAAAATGGCCTCATCATGCCTTGTTCCTGTCATGGTCGCTCTGGAGCACATAAAGAAGCTGGACAAGCAGCTGAAAGAGGACGGAGTACCATTCTCACCAGAGGCTAGCCTGTATCTGACAGAGATCACAGCTGCTATTAGTGAACTGGAGGTAGACCGACGGGCCACTCATGAACATTTAGAAACCATAGAAAACAGCAAACTCAGGCAGCAAATTAACATCACAACAGAGAGAATGATCCAAGACATTATGGCCCATGTTGCAGCAGCTCGAGCATCCAAGGTGAATGAGATACAACAGCTGCACCAAGACCTCTGCCCAGTACCTCAGCTTGAAGAGACAGGACGCCCTTTCGAGCCACAATGAAGCACTGTTACCTGAGCGAGAGCAGGTGTAGCTGGACACGAGGAGATCGTGCGAGCTCTGAATGATCAAATCACCCTCAAGTACAGCGTGCAGAATCAGATGGATCACACACAGGAGAAGACAGAGGAGCTGAAGTCCTCCATGGATGCAGTTAAACAGGACATTAGAGCCCTACAGCAAAACATGGAGCTGGAAAAAGTCGTTCTCTGTCAAGAAAGGCTGCTTGTAAAAGGAGAAGAACCAGGCGGTGGAGAAAATAAAGCAGCAGAAACAAACTATTAGTAAGTGCAGAAGAGAGTTAAACATTATCCAAAGCACTAGAGTTGAGAAGTGTCTTTTTTTAAAGTAATAAAGACATGAGAATTTGCCAACTTTTTGTGTCTGTTTTCAAAAATCTTTTGACAAAGCTGACAAGCAAGGAGAGGAAATGATGTCTACTGCTTTGATTTTGGCAAGCTCAAGGAAGAAAAATTCAAATGTAAAGCTTAAACACAGCTCTCCTTACAGACAAGACCTCACCTTAGAGGCATCCACACATATATGTACGATTGTATTGTTGTAGTTGACCACAGCGGAGAGGGTATTTGTGGAGATGGTTGAGTCCTGTAAGTTCACAGAGACAGTGATCGATCAAAAACTTGACCCACGCTTGAAACACATCCAAAAGGGCCCGTAGAGACTGTATTTCCTGTGCAGACTAAATTCTTTCCTTGTTGATGAAACTTTGATAGGTTTGTATAACAGATCTTGTATCTTTAATTTCATAGTAATTCTTATGTCAAACACAAAAACTGTATGTCCAGAATTAGATAGTTG